AGCGATTTCGACCAATCCAAAGACCAAAGCAGCCAACCAGCCAACCAGAAAAAGCACAACCTCGCAGTATACAAAATGAGAAACACAAAAAAGGAACACATGGTAATCCTCCTATTCAGAAAAAAAGAAACAGAGAAATGAATCCTGATTCATCATGTCTATGGTTGCCTTTTCTTTTCCTTTGCACACTTCAACCCTTCCGGTTTGGAATTCCGGGGTTTGCTTCCATGAAAAGACGCAATGCTTCTTTATGTAGGTAGGTATACATGTATGTAAGCATGTATGTATGTATGTATGTACTTCTAGTACTTGCCTACTTGCCGTCGCATTACTAGCTTTGTCGAGGGTCGTTTTCTCTGGTGGATAGGATATCCTGTGTTGGATGGCTGGATGGAAGGCCCTTACTTCCATGGATCGATTGTATGTTTTCTTTCTGGGTCGTGGATGTTTGCTATAGACTGCCTGGGTTCAAACCCGTGACTTGTCGGGGATTATGCCCGGCTGGGTTGTACTTGGTTTATCCGGGTGGCTGCGCCCTACCTTGTAGGTACAGGAATGGGGTGATTTGACTTGGCCTTGTAGAGGTTGCCTCTCTATGTGGACAGGGATTTTGTTGCTCGGTGCGATTGAATACTCTAATGCGCGATAAAACTTTATGCTAGAAATCGCAAGCATGTGCGCTTGGAGAATAAGATGTGCAGTGCAGCAGGTCTGGGAAAACAGAAAGGGACAAAAGAGGGGATCGGCTCGGCTGGTGAACTACATCCCTAAGTTACTGAAGTTCTGTATGTAAGTACAGTACTATGCAAGTGCTGGCTCTCTCTCTCTCTCTCTCTCTTTTTCTTTCAAGATGATTGGTGGGAATCAGGTCTACTCTTTTAGCCCCGGCCCTGTTGTACTAGTTCCTGATAAAGTAGTGTGTATCATCAAGGTAACAGGTTGATTAATTTATAAAGCGGTTTTTTCAATCTGGTTGAGTATGAACGAGCCTCGGCGCATGTGGTGTTAATATGCACAGGGCAATTTGACTTGAATGTAAAGTAGAGATCTGGATAGGGTGGGTGATCGGATGCGCGGTGGAGAAATATCTACATGGAACAGTCGGCGGCCGGAGGATCTCGGTTAATCTACGATGCGAGAGGGGAGTCATCGAAGTAGATTGCGCCGGATGGTCGACGCTCTAAGCGCAGCTTGAGAATTCTCACGTTGGGGTGAGCTGAGGACCATTGCCTTGGAGATGCTTCTTCTCCGTATTTCGCCTGCGCTCGTTGAGTATGAGACGTAAGGCAGAGGACATCTTGTGGCTGACGCACGGAATTCAAGGAAGAAAGACGCACATGCACAAGTTGCCTAGTTCTTCCTTATGCGCGCTTCTTCTCTTGTGCTTGTTGCTGACCACCTTACCTCGTACGGGATCGCATTCTCCTCTGGCGCGAGTTGACCGAAAGCCCGCGTTTTTTACTCTAAGCGCATCTTAGCATAAACTAGAAAGCAACACAATCACTCGCAATTAGGCTTGACGCATGTGAGCTGAGGGCGTGCCTGCGGCCGAGCAATAGACTAGAACCGGGGTGATAGCGTCTTGGTAACTTCTACGGCAACCCCCCGCATAGGACCTCACGCCATTTTCCTCGGCCCCCCCGGTTTCATTTCTATCCCATCTATCGGTCACTGTGGCAGGCTACTGGCCAACACGGACACTTCGGCCGCTAGGGCAATTCGCGAATTGGCTCGTATCATTTTCAGATCTATGAGAGGTGAAGAGACCCGTCGGCCGCAACTGCCCTGGGAGCAGCTGGGTTCAACAGGCGCCGCGGATGGTATAACTGTACGAGAGCGAGGCACACGCACCGTCGGCAGAATTCCTGGAGGTGCTTCTGACTGGTCAGTGGGAGCGATGGCAATCACTCGCATTCGCCATGATGACAACCCCATAAGGGTGGATGAAAAGGAAGAGCGGAACGATAGCTACTCGTAGACCGAGGCCCTAGTCGCTAGTTGATATGCCGGCTATCGGGATGGAAAAGCCTGAGTTGCGATTTTAGTCCTGCTGCTCCTGCATTGCTGTTCGGAAGACGATGGCGAGATGGCCGTTTTTTCTTCCTGTGTTCTACCGGTACGAAACATGGTAGGAGTGGCGATAGCTGTCATTGTATCCCGGAGAAGATAAACCCACCCTCTTCGTTAGTCTGTGCTTTGTCCGGGCCCTCCATGGGCCTAGCTGATGTCATCAGTCGTCAAAAGTCCCAATTATCCGAACGGTGGTTTGCTTTTGCAGGCATGTGGACAACCCGGACGATTATGTCGACACACAATGAATGAATGATTCGCACGAAGAGTCTAGTGGCGAGGTTAATGATTAAGTTGGCTGCGAGGAAAGGTGAAAGACGATGGTGAAGAACTTACTTTGGGCTAAGTACGGAGTAAGGTATTGTAGTGATGATCAAGAACGAGGATTGCCGACCCCTCGAGGCTGGGGAGGGGAGATTGTAGGGGGTGGAGGGAGAGGGAATGATGACGGGGTGCTCGGGCCCATTATTCGGTAAGCTGAACAGGAATGGACCAGCGGGCTGGATGCATCCCTACACGTATGGACGTGCGTACGTTTTCGACTCTCCCCCAGTGTATTTTTGCATCCCCGTCAGTCTTTTTGGTTCAATCAACGGGCGGACCTCCGATCCGAGCCGCCAACATGACGGGCCGAAAGTTCCCTGGTCTGTTCCAGTGTTAAGATATGCGGTGGGTGAGTGGATGACTGGGGGGGAGGGGGGAGGGGGTGTGAGATGAAGATGAAGATGATGACGACAAAGAGATTTGACCGGAGAGTAAATGAGACAGAAGGTACCCGACTAGTAGGTAGTAGGTATCTCTTTCTCTGCTCCGAATCTGGAAACCTTCTAAGCCACAACGATGAACTGAAGGTTTTGCTCTTCAAAGCTCAGGCCTCAATCTAGCTCCCCATCGGGGCATGATCCCACTTTGCCACACCGGTGATAGGCTCCTCTCCATCTCGAGGAGAAAAATATGGCATGCCTGACAGCCTCAAGTGATTTATGCAACCCGACGGTCGCCAGATGGTTGGCTTTGTTTGTATCTGGTCTATAAAAAAAGAGAGATCTGATGGATGAAAATAGTACAGACACCGATGCTTTGTCTCAGCTTTTTTGTTCACAGACACTTTTTCTTCCATTGGACGATGGAGCGTTTCGAGACAGCAAGTTGGACTCTCCAGGCTGGCGCCAATGCGACCAGGGTGAGGCTAAGGGGGGAAGTACTGGTCGATCCAGTCGCGAGCCAGCCAGAGCGGATCCTCCTTCTGCTGCCTTCTGCCCTGAGATCCCTGCCATGCTTGAAAAGCACAGTGCTTTTGTCATCCCATCCCGTCGAAAAGGATTTACGGGAGAAAGCACCGAGAGCGACCACTGTCAGCAAGTCCGGAAGTAACTATAAGTAATGGAATTATGATCCCCAGTGGTTGCACCTGCAGAATTGGCGCAGGACTGTCTGGAGGGGATCACCATCTGGATCTATTCTTGTCACCTTTTGAGAGGGGTCATGTCCCGCATCGCCTAAGGAAGGGGGGAAGGAGTTTCTACGGAAGGTTTCGTAATTGTTTGATTGATACCTGATATCTTCTGTTTTTCCTTCTTCCCCTTACCCATTGCTCCGACGACAGCGGACGGCAGAATGAACGATTTTGGTAAGAGGTGTCTCGTCTGTCTGTCGCTAGACGCATTAGAACGACAGGATCGCTGCTGGTGAACACTGAGACGGGATAAGATACAACAAGTCAGTACATCCTGTATATGTGCAGGTACATGTACCGTACCTACCGTACTTAGCTACAGAAGTAGTACTTTACGTATGTTTTCGATGTTTCTCAAGTTCTTAAGGGGAGGGGGGAAAAGGCAGCAACAGGCTGGAGACCGACAGAACGTGACAAAAGTACACGGACCATGTTGAAAGGGTCCGTGATTGGCGCGCGGCAGCAAGGATCATGACATCCGCGGGCTTTTTCTTCCATGGGTCCAGCAGCACGTCGCCGGAAAGGGCAAGCGGATGGCTTTAGCCTCGCCAGTCAGCATTCGTACTTTTATCTAGCGTGGGGACTAGTGGTCCGGGGTGGATCTTTTACCCCGGCGGCGAACCACTCCCCGGTTGCCCTGTGCCTTTTGATACTCAAAACTCAGATACACACTCAGATCATGGGCAGTCACTGCAAAGGTGATATGACTATACAGTAAGTACCGTCTCCTTGGGTCTGGCTCATCTACCTTTCTTTACCAGTCAGATTCATCCCGGGAAGAAGTGGATGGATGAATTACTAGCAACCAGGTTTTGTTTAAGTTGTTGGCACCGTTTGAGTGGATGGCAGCCATGATTCTAGCTCTACCTAATTTGATGCCTGCACCTCAAGTAAGTAAGAGGGATAGATAGTTAACATTTACATAGTGCAAGCTTACAGACAGACAGACCCGCATCCAGCTAGTAGTCCAGTGGGTTCGTAGAGATGAAGGAGGCCGGTACCTACTGTACTGTACCTAGAACTTTCCTTCCCTCTGAACATGACTTGACCACTCACTGATTGACTGGGGTTATATTTTCTTTTTGATTTTCCATTTTTCCATTAATTCTCTTGGGATCTGTGTTTTCCTTTTTCTTTTTCATCTTTTTCGGTGGTGGTTCCGGTTCTTCGAATTGCAACAAGTTCAAAAACCGGTGGCCAGCGGAAAATTCAATAATTCTGGTGGGTTATATGCTGGCTGGAAGAGTGACAGCTACATGTACTATCACCACCACTATTTTCGACTCCTATCCACTCTCTCTCACTGGCGTCTGGGGGCAAAGCTTCATCGCCTTAACTGCTGAACACCGTGACACCTTCAACTCTTTCTGTTTCTCTCTCTCTTTTCCCCACTCCTCTCCAATCTTCCTTCCCTCTTCATCTCCACCCAAAAACAAAACTACTATATCATCGAATCTTCCCCTTCCCACTTGCCGCAACAAACTAACTCCACAGTGACTCGACTACCTTTATTTATGACCTCTCAAGGTTACGCTCTCATTGCTTTCATTGCTTCCATTATAACGACCAAATATAAGACCCATCTCTCGGTTCTCATTTCCGTAACACCGCTCCTGAACCCTTTTGAGTTCTTCTCCCTTACCTGGTTCCATTTGATCGAATCCCTGAATCCACTGTCCGCAACGGCCCCATCTGTCCCAGATATTTGTGAAATCGTCGCATCAGTTCGAGGAGGGTCCAGACTCCAGAGTACGAAAAGCGGAGATCATCACTTAGTTACCGGTTCACAATGAATGGCTCCTTGGGACCCGTTTCTTCCATTCCCTCGACCACCACCACCACCACCACTACCACCAAGAAGACTGCTGCCACCATCACAACATCATCCACTTCCACCTCCCCTTCCACCACCTCCTCCACCACGACTGCTAACACAATTACCACGAAAACGCCCACTTCTCCCAACTCAGTTCCCGCCTCATCAAAAGGCACTCGACCTCGACGAACAGAGGACTGGAATGTTCATCGAGACAAAATCGAAAGTCTTTACCGCGACCGCCAAATGAAGCTTCGCGATGTAAAGAGGATCATGGAGGAAGAGTTTTCCTTTACTGCATCGTATAGCCTTCCGTTTCCTTCTCCTACCTCTGCACCTCAGTATTTTCACCACCCGTTCAACACGGTTTCACTGGCTGTTTTCACACCTTCATCATCTTCGTCCTGTGCAAAACGTTCGGCCCCTTCCTTCACTTATGATGAAGATGAAAGGAGGAGAGAACAGTGCGCTGGGATTCCCATTATTGCTTTTTGCTTTTTGCTTTTTCACTCCCGTCATTCATTCACCAGTGCAACAAATCAATGGCAGACGTCCCCTGACTTTGAAGCTTTTATAGAGAAAAACAATACAAAGATCGCCTGGCTTCTTGGAATGTTCGCAAGAATATCAAAGCCAAAGAAGTCCATATCATGCTTCGCAAGCAGCAAAGGCGAGCGGCTGAGGGCAAGCGGACAGCGTTCCGCGTCGCTGGTCAGGTGATCGAGCCCAAGCGCATCTCTCGCTTCGTCCGTAGATATGGCACCCACTGGGAAGTGGACGAAGCTCGCGAGAACATCCAGCCGGGTAGCATTCATCCCAGTGTGGAGACTCAACCGGTGGATCAGCAAACGCAGCAAGAGTTACACCAAAATCTTCCAACAAGCCCTGAGCCAGGTAAGCTTTTCAATCCCGAGTGACCTACCATGCATGCATTGCTCATGCTGCGTGACAGAAACCCCTACGGATATCGAATACTTCACACCCGAGCCGGATCAAAGAGCTATGACCCTGTCTCCCTTGACGGAGACCCCATCTCGTTTCCGTGAGGAAGCCCCGCCCCGCCCTACTAGCATCTGTCCTACAGTACTCTCCAGCCATGCCCTTTGGGCTTCTCGACGAGCATTTCGCTTTTCAAGAGGGAAATTTGAGCTAATTTTGTATATTACAGACGACGAAACTCTCGAGCCACTTCCTGACCCAGAAATCGACCATTCTCAACCTCTACCAGTCTCCCCTAGTTCCCACGAACCGCCCAAGCCAATCGCCAGCACCCTTCCAGACAATGACGCCTGGAAGGCCCTCGATGTATTTCAAGGGCAACTCTTGACCCTGTCCAGGACTCTTGACCAATCCATGGCCAAGTTCACATCTCCGCATGATGATCCACCCCAGTGACCTCGGTGACTTATGGCGGCCGGCCACCCATTTCAGTCAAGCCTCGAATGGTATGACTTGTATGCTTGGAAACCACCCGACTCTTCGTGCATCTCTCCACTTCCACTCAGAGCCCAGGCGTTCGTTTGCCTCATGCTCAAGTTGGTGTTGTGATTACTACCCGTTCATCGTTGCTTGATTCCCTGCATTATCCCCCATTGTCATATTTCCAGCTTCACGTGTGCTTTCTTTCCAAGTTCGCAAATTGCCAGCTATATAGAGCATCTATGGTCTAGTTTTTTTTTTTTTCGGGAAAGAGGTCTTGTGTAGGTCTTGATATACCCTAAGAAGATAAGAGACAGGAGACATCTGGTCAGAACTGGCATGTTTGTCTAATGGTTTGCTGCTTTAGTCACCCTTTGGCCGCTACACTAGCCTCCCGCCGCTTTCTGCCTCAGTGCCAACCTATTTGTCTTTTGGGAGATCTACGCCTTCGGACCGACACATAGCGTTGCAAACTAAACCGGCGATGGATGTTACGACCAGCTCTGTGAGGAGAGAAAAGATATCACGGAAGTTCTGAAGGACTGAGAGCAGGGACACGGTATTTGCAGAACCTTACGCCGACCGAAGTGAATCTGGGCCCGGAATTCAGGCAGTGGATGTTGGCCATCGATGATTGTGTCGGAGGCTCCTGCTGCAGCCTATCTCTGGCGTGGCTTTCAACTCGACGCAGTGGCGGGAGTTGGCAACCAAACAGCTCCGGGGTGAAGTGGGTGTGGTCATTGCTAGACGTCAGTCGAGATGCCGGAGGAATCAGTGTTGTCAGTTATGAGCAGAGATCTGTCAAACCCTACCAGCAGCCACCTCGCAGGGAAATGCATGCTGTACCAAGAGGGCAATTTCATCCAACCGCCCATGAAGAGTTGACTGTTATCGCCCGGGACAACAGCACTACAAGAACAGACGGGCAATAAACTTCAACGAACGAAAGGCAACCGGCAATTCTCGCCGAATCATTCCGTTGTGATGAGCACAAAAGCCCCAACTGCGACAGACACCGACATCTGCTCACATGGCACTCCCTTCGATTCAATCCACACACCCAATCCAACAAATCAACTCACCCGGAGTCCTCCAGCCGACAACCAAATCCCTAGTATAGTACAGAGGAGATCGAATCCGGATTCCAGTTCCCATCAGCCATACCAACCACCAATCAGACCTAAGAATCAGCAAGAGGGGGGTGAAGAGAATAGAATAGTGCCAGAACTCTGAACACCGACGGCGTACTTTCGCCTCCCCGCCACCACCGCGTGCTCGAGCCCACAGAATATGTACTGTATAGTACTAAGTACGTCTGTCCGTATGCTTGTATATACCATGAAAAATAAGCAAGTGAAGTCAGATAAATGAAGACGCAAATCAAACAAGGATAAAAGCAGCCCACCCGGACTTTTGGGCCCGACTTAATGACTCGAGTTGATCGCCCCATGCCCTTGCCCTCCACTCCTGCCCCGCTGTACTCGTACTTTGTTCTTTCATATACTTAGTACTAGTACTTCTACGGATGTACATACACTCCTTAATAGTCTTAATCTCGAGTTAGTCACATTATCAACTTTAGTACACCCTCTTCAAGAAACCGGTACCACCCCACGATAAGTCCTATACATAGGAAGTGAGACGGAGCCAAGCTACAGTACTCCCAGGCTCCATCATTCCCTAAGTTACTTATGTTTATTACTCTCCAATCATGACAGACAAACAGCAAGTGGCCCAGTACGGTATGTAGTAGCAGCCTAAGGCCACCACCACCACAAGCGTATACAAAGTACGGCCCACCACCTCCACCTCCACCTCCACAGTACAGTATAGTACAGTACAGTACAGTACACCCATACTAGTCTAGGTAAAGTATCCGCCTCCGACCACATCCACTTCCACCTCCACTTCCAGATGGCAGAGACATGCCTGCTCGCTTGCTCCACTCTACTTATCTATCCATCTATCCATCTATCCTTCAATACTCACTAAGAAGCTGCCCGTCGTGGTTCAGTACGTACGGCTACTGAGCCAGATAGGAAGGTAGACTACAATAGTATTCTGTCTCTTACTCTGTGGCTGGTTCTAGCTGGATAGAATTAGGAGGAACTGGAGAGGGTGTGGCTTGTATTGAGAGAGAGGCAGGCATGGCTTAGACTGAAATGGTTTGCGGCGGCTCAATCACTCGAAGGTATAGATAGTGGCTCTAAGGTGAATAATGTCTACAGCTTGTGAGTAGATCATCGCCTGAATCGTAATGTGAACGGTGGTACAAAGACTGGATCATGTAGGAAGAATCATAGAGTATTTTATTCTCCTGTACACCGGTATGAACGTCCCAGCAGAAAAGAAAACAAGACGCAGAATCTGCATCTCCCGTTTCGCTAAAATGGATGTATACACATTGAAGAAAAGAAAATGCACGACGAAAGAACCGTAGACCCAGTACCCAACGCTATAGAATCCATGAGAACAATAAAGAAAAGAAGAAAGAAAGCCGACATGGGAGATAATCGTATGCCACTCAGTCATATGCTCCGCCACATATGTCCTGTGGCCATGGTCGTCCCATCCACGTAGTCCGAGCTGCCGTGAATGAACTAAACAAAAAGAAAGGTGGGAGGAAATGAGATCACCTCTTGAAAGAGGCTAAGTGTAGAACGCGCTCTTCTGGAGCGTCTCCGGCGAAATGTCACCCATCTTGCCCTTCAACTCCGGCTTGACGGTCGCTTCCGCGACTTCGTCGGTCACGTGCGCTTGCAGTGAGTTGCTGCGGCTGTTGGCTTCACTGCCCGAAGTGATCGCCTGCTGCTGAGGACGACGCTGGATGGTTTCCAGGTACGGGCCAGGGAGGTAGCCGACGCGACCGTCGCGGGCACGGCAGCGCCACCATTCCGATGCATTACCCATTGGGTCGGACTTGCTGAGGACAGCGACGATGTCGCCCTTCTTGACAGCCAGGTCGATTCCGGAGCTCTCCTGGGACTCCGGGGTGTAGTCATATAGCACGCGGCAGAAGTCGAGCTTGGAGGGGTCAAGAGGTGCCTGCTGCATGGGCTCTCCATTCGGGCCAACCATCATCTGACGACGCTGTTCCTCCTGTGAGCGTGCGAGCGCCTTGATGAGCTTGCCCATCAGATACGGAAGGCCGAAGACAGCAATGAGGAACATGAAAAAGGGCTTCTTCGACGGCTTGGGAGGGGCGGGAGAGCCATCAGGCAGAGTCGCGGGCACGGAACGACCGTTCAAGAAGGCCGCGAACGCAGACGGCGTGAGAGCGGTAGCGTCCGCCGGTGGGGGACGACCGGTGATCTTTGCGATGAGCGTTCTGAACCAGCGAATCAAGGTAAAGATCCCCAGAGCAGAGCCCAGGGTGTTGCGGAGGTTTCCAAGTTGCTCCGCCACTGAGACCATGGCTAAGGTAGCAAGCATATTAGCAGACATATACCAGAAGGGGGATGCCAATATTGCATACCGAAGAAGGAGCTGTGGGTTGCCATATAAGTACTCTCCAGCATCTGGGCGAAACCACCAAACGCACCAACGATGCTCTCAATCATTTGGAAAGTCGCCTGGGTGCTTTGGCTGAAGGAGTTCGTCAAGCTGTTCGGGTCGTTCGGATCGCCGGGCATGCCACCGCCATACATGCCTCCCATGCCACCGTACATCCCGCCGTAGCTTCCGTAGCCCCCATACATTGACCCCATTGACCCGAAGCGAGAATATGGTGAAGAGTAGGCCCCGTAGCCGCCATAGCCACCGTAGGGAGTGGTGCCTATCCGAGAAGCTCCATATGGCGAGTAGTTCGACGCTGTGCGGTTGACGACGGCATTGAGAGTGTTGGGACGAGATGGTAGATCCGGGGTAGCGGTTGTGGAGGTGGTGGTAGAAGCGGAGATCGGAGCGCTGGTGGTTGCGGCCAAGGCAGGCGAAGAGGCCGTCATCGTTGCTGAACCCGCCGGTGAGGGAGTAGTGGTCGCGACAGATCCTGGTTGTGAGGTCAACAAGAATGCTCAAACAAGACCAGGCGACCGGGGGTGCACGTACCAGCAGCAGCGCCGGCCCTTTCCCACGGTTTAGGTGGCGAAACCGAGGCCATTGATAAGCGGGAGTGAAAGGTACCTTAACAGTCTCGCATGGGCAGACACCCCGCGAAGCAAGCCGGTCGGGCGAGACTGGGGTGTGGGAAAGGTGAGTTGCGGAAGAAGGAAAAGACAGACGATTGATTGAATGTGGAGAGGTGGGGTGAGGAGAATGGATGGAGAGAGCTGAGGAGAAAGAGAGAGAGAGAGAGAGCGAGCGAGAGAGATAGCCAAACGTTAAGATGGAGTCGGGAGGCGGTGGAGTCACAAAGAGGAGAAAAGTCGGCGAGGGCCGCAACTGCCGCTGCATGTGGTTTGCTGGGCTGGGCTGGGCTGGACCGAGGTTGATCGTCTACTCCGAGTCTCGGTCCACCAATTTATACATTACGACAAGTACAAGTAATTCATTGCCACAAGATCAACAGGGATATCTTATTCTAGTCAAACAAAAAACAATTCATCCGCTCCATCCCAGGAAATTATTATACAATGCATCGGTGGCGATCCTCCAGCCAGTCCAAAAACTCCAAAAGATGCGAAATCGACCATCTACCGCCTCAAGTGTAGGCACAAAGAGAGATGTCTACAAAGATGAAATGCGAAAAAGCATACAATCTACAACTCGTCACGAGCTTGCATGGCCTGTCGAGGAGTCCGGACTTTCCATGCTCGTGGCGGCACCGGAAGCCCCAGCCAGTAATTCCACACCCGAGCGAACTCGATCACAACAATCTCGAACCTGAGCCGCGGGATTAGTATGAGAAAAAGTTTTGTCAGTGTGGATGGAACCTGCTACTTACAGTGTCTTTGGAACGTTCGCCCAGCTCCTCAGCACATAGACATATGTGTCCCAGACAAGGGAGAACTCGGCCTTGACATCATCCCAGATGGTGTCGGTTTCGCGACGTTCCCGAACCCGTTCCCAAGGAAGCTTTTCGGAGATATACACAAAGTCCTCGTCGTCGTTCTCATAGTAGAACGTTGATCCTCCATCCTTGAGCAGGCGCCGGGATTTCTCTCCACGGCTCTTGGACGAAACGCTGGCGGGGATCGAAAACACCTCGCCGTCTCCGACCTCCATAGCGCGGTGAAAGCTGCGAACTGCGGCTACACTGTGGGAGATACGACCAAGGGTGTTGATCAGGGCGACCAGTTCAGTCCGGCGCAGCAACGGGTTCTCGCCGTTCTTGGTCTCATCGTACTCAAAGAGCACTTTCAAGGCAGTTCCGTATCCGTTGACTTGAAGCTTGCCCCAGAGGCGGCACTTATCGCACCCCACGCAGTCCATCAGTCGACTCACGTTTCGGAAACGATTGCGGAAATCTTCCTTCAAACCAAGGGCGCTGGGATCCTGGAACATAATATTCTCATCGAAGATCTGCGGCCGCTGGGCAAGGGTGTCTGTCAACAACGAGACCTTTTCACGAGTCTGGGTATCTTGTTTGGGGTCGCTAGTACAGTAGTTGTAGCTCTTGAGATGTTTCTGCAGCTTCGCCACAGCCCGGGAGACCAGGGCATAGTTGAAGTACAGGTTCGAGATGCGCTCCGGGTGGTCATGCAGACGCTCCTTGAAGCATTGCAGGTTGGGGTGCCACTGCCCGGTCGTCTGGTTAAGGTAATCCCAGCACAGATGCGTCGAGATGGAGGCATGCATTCCACTGATGAGCCGATGAAAGACCCGCTTCTCAAGGCACTCATTGTCAAGGGGAAGGCGGTCCGGGCGTTTCAACTCCTGCTGAAGTACACTGCGAAAGTCGTTCATGGCCTGAAGATCGCCAAGCTGGGGATTGGGCGACAGCTCCAGTTGGGAGGCAGGCTTGAGGAAGCAGTTTTCGCGATAAATCGCATCCCAGACTTGGTGCGCTCCCATGCCGGCATAACCGGTGAACCGCTCTGGGTTGTCCACCAGACTGACGTAGTCTCCTTTGCTGCTGGCGCCCTCGTCCTCGGGGACACAGTAGTCCCGTTCGTCGCATTCATCGTCGTACTCGACGACACAACTTTCTCCCACGTTTTCTCCCAGCATGCCTTGAAGCGGGCGGTCCCGGGGCCGCTCCTTCTGCTGCCTGCGACCCGGATGGCCAGCCTTGGGTCCTTCAAGCTTACTCAGTTCCTCCGCCCGCCACGTCAATGGGATATCTTCTTCCGACTCGATTGTATTTACTGAACATGCGATGTTCCCACACATGCTGTTGGCGTCCGACCAGAAAGGACAGACCTTGTTGAAGAGGTTGAGGCGGTAATAGGAGAAGAAGTCGGTTTCTTGCGTGATAGACTGGAGGAGCGGGTAGATTTGATCATTCAGGGCATCGAGGGTCGCATAGGAAGCGCAGGCGTCCGACACCATGGCGGACGGTTCCAGCTGGAAGACAAAGAACCACAATCAGTCATGTCGCCTCTAAATTGACTAGGTAGAAGCAGGGTTGGAATGGGGATGAGTCGGGAAGATTGAGCGCTACTTACCGCGCATTTTTCATGGCTATATTGTTGTAGACCGGCTTTGCTCCCATAACTCTCGGCGTTGGTGAGCGTCGAGAACGCAAACACAGCCGAATAGAAAAATTCGGCCGCAGAACGCATCTTGGTGCGGGGGCGAACAGGAGAGAACGAGTGACAGCAGAGGCAGGCGGGACGAGCTCCCGAAGCGACAGGCGAGTGAAATTCTAGCAAAGCGCAAGGCTGCTCCAGGTATGTGTTGTATGGGCTATAGTCTTGGAAAGAATCGAACCGGATTGACCTTCACATGAAGATCATCAACGGCAAGGGAAAGTCGAGCCGAAGTACTCCGGGCCAGGAAGTAAGTAAGTAAACAGTCGGATTCAGATCAGGGTAGATGGCACTTTGCGGGGCCACAATAATTGCATTCGGTGTCACCAGAACGAATGTTGAATGTATGAAGCGATCAGTAAACAAGGGATTGCGAGGGGTGAGTTAATTAGTAGTCATGAAAGAATGAGGGATGTTATTGCTGGTCGAATGGAAGTGGACAAGCTGTCCTCGGTGAGTGGCGCGGAGTTGCATGATCCGCAAGTAGTCATCAATGGATTCGATCCCCTTCCGACGGTGTTCATTTATCGCCGCCGCCTTGCGCCTCGAACCTCCTGACTCCGGATCGGTTGCTTCAGTTAGCTTCATCCTTTCATCTCATATCATTACTAATAGGAGCCCTCCTAATACAAGGTAGTGATAGTTGTCGGACCCTGAGGGAACCCCTCGTCGCATCTCAGCCCATGTCAAGTATGCCACGCCCTCAACTATATGGCACTGATTCGCTTGGGATCGTCGATAAAGAAAGGGGATATTCATGAGCGTTGACCCGGGTTTGGCAACGAAGGAGCCCACTTTCGTTCATTGTATTCCCATTGTTCAGAGAAGCGATCGGAACTCAAGGCCAAGGGTCCGCCCCTCACTGAGATTGTTTCGTCCCCCTCATTGTCAGGTTCGGGGGTGGGAGATGGCCTTGAATCCACGATCATGAAGAGAGGACAAAACTGCAGCGATAGTAATAGTGACTGACGCATGACCCGGCACGGAAGATCCTCGACCGGCGACGGTTTTCATGTATGGCTCAAGGGATGTACATACAGTACCGGTGCGACCCGCCTTGATGGTCACATCGTCTACTTCACAATAACAGCCAGGTTGACTGGAGGAACCTACTGTACTTGACTTCACTAGGAGAGTCTAAGCTTTATGAGGTGTTGGGCAGGTAGATAGGATCAATAGTGTCTCTCTATAGGTTTGGACTGGTTCCACCCAGGCATGTCCTTCAGCTACGTCTTCTCTCTCCTGAATGAGCGGTGTCAAATCAGATGATACGTCGTCCAATTGTAAACTGTCAAGTAACCAGACCGACACAGAAGCCAGGACAAAAAAAAACCTAAACAAAAAATTGTATATACCCATTCCAAAAACAATCCAGATAATCCTCAGTCAAAAGCGCACCGGCAGAGAATATCGTTCATGATCCTTACTCCGTGCACCGACTCCAATTAAAAAGCATAAGGTTGTCGCTGGTCTTATTCACCGAAGCCGTAGCCGGTAGACAGAAGACAACACGGGATATAGAAATATAAGGGAAAGAAAAAGAAAACCAGTCCCCTCTTCGCAAATGTCACCAGACATATTGGCGCTCGCGATTCTGCCCGGAATCGACTCAGGAGCACGGCCGTTACAGCCGGACTATACCGGCGGGAAGTAGTTCGTTACTTATCTTAGGTCGTTCCGCGACGGTTACGACGACGAAGACTGAATTTTTTCCGCAGACTGGCAAGTGGGTTTGGATGAGGCGTGTTGTAGAAAGGGTCGTTTTTGAAATCCTCGTCCTTGAATTTCTGCCCAAAGGTTAGAAGACTTGTCCCTCAAGAGCATTACAGCGAGCAAAACAGTGACTTACCATGCCGGGACAACGCATAAAGTTCCCGTAGTCATTCATCATGTTGTTTCCCTCCTCGTATTCGTATGTATGGCCCTCGGGGTCCGTGTGACCTGGGGGGTAATAAGCCACACCGTCGAGGGGGCGATGACTGTCAATGCAGTCGATGACTTTGTCGCGTGGGGTAGCTTTCAGGGCCTCAGCGTTGGACTCGCGCAGGGCTGCCACCGGGCTCAGCTTGTCAATCACATTTCTCTCGGGATAGACAGCATCGTACGGCCCTTCATGGTGGTACTGATACACCCCGGCGTCGTCCAGCCGATCGATCACATCCGGGTTCACCAACTGCGAGTGACGGGAGAACCGCGGTTGGTGAGACTGGGTACGAGCATGGCGTTGTGAGCGATGGTGGTGACTGGGGCTCGCTTTTCTACGCCGTTGCTCGACAGGCTGGTGTTCTGGAGTGCCCGAATAGTGGACCGATGGAAAAGAAGTCGATCGCTGACGGTTCAGAGTCCGCGTGCTTGGAGTAGAAGACAGAAACTGCTGATAGGGGTTGAGGTTTCCCATCTCAACTTCCGTATTGAGCAGGTTCATCGAATGCCGGTGGGAGAGGTAGGCAGACTGATGTAGATTTGAAAAGGACGGGGCGACAACCGCTGCCATTCTGAATAGCAATAGAGTGTTGGAGAATTGGGAGGAGAGAGAAAGGGAAAGAGAAGGGGTTCAAAAGCAAAATGGCATGGGTTGTTCAAAAATATCGAAACAGCGTGCTCGAGAGTAATATATGTCGGTCAATATTTCGAAGAGCACCTATAAATGTATGTAGGCACCTAATAGTATTGAATACTAGTGACTGCCTGCGTTCTGTAGCCCGCAACTCAAAATGGATGTGGGGCAAGCGGTGTAAAGTCGTGGCAGTTCGTATAGTTCAATAGGCTGTGAACCCTGAATAGATAGTACTGTCTAACCCGCAGTCACAGGAGTCACAGGAGTCACAGGGATTGGGAAGGGAGGTTGTGTCAGGAGAGTAATATTGATAGTTAAGTCGCTGGTAGGAAGTAGTAATGGGCGGAGAGATAGTCGTAGTTGTAGTTATAGGAGTAGTAAGAATCGAAGAGCAGAAAAGAAAAGGAAAGCAGCGAAGAGTCATCGTTAAGAGTCATTCCGCATTGCTTAATAGTCCGCTCATCCGTCGGACTACCTATCCGTTCTTCATGCTTTCTCGCTTCAAAGATGCCGAAGAAATAGTCTGTGACGTGACAAGTTGCGTATGCTCCGTATGATACTTTGCAGGTCATCCCGCGGGATCCATGCGATCTGGGGGTGGGCTTATCGATAAGCCTCTCCTTCGAGTTTAGTGACAGGATAGGGCCGGAAGACTAGACCCGTTCGGTTGCATTGGACCCTCATCGATGATGAAAAGATGTCCACCACGGCCACGAAGGAATAGAGGCGAATATTCGAAAGGCTCGCCCCGGGTCTCTGGTCTGGACTCTTGAACCACTCATGGCTTTTCTCCGCCGGCGGAATTTGTGGGAAGCCCCTCTTGTGGCACCCGGTGGATTCTGGTGGTCCCCCCCTGGTGGCAATTGGCAATGCTCTCTTCTCGCGATCTTCCCATCTGTCGTCACGTTCGGATTCCCGCGTATGCTCTGAGTCTCTGACGGGCACTGCTGGCTGACTAAAGGCTGACCCCCCTCTGACGTTCCAATCTCCTTGACATCATCACCACCAGTTTTAGGGCGCAACACACATGAGAAGAATTTTCGTTTTACTAACCGAACCATGATGTTACCTTCCGGGGAGTAAAAGACACTACCAAGTAAGTACTAAGTAAGAACCTCCCGGGTGATCCGAGCTCCAGGGTCTTCAGTTGTCTTCAAATTGACAATCTTAAGCTTATCGCTAGTAGGCCGGTAGTGGCATCGGCTGTAGTCAAGCCATACTCAAGTAGGGCAAGTATAGCCCGGCTGAAACAAGTTTTCGAGGCGCGCCTAGCTTCAAACAACAAAGCACGCTCCATCTCTGATCTCTCCGCTAAGCCTGGCCTGTCAGTCCCCGAGCTCCCAGTCTTCTGGGTCAAAGTTCATGATCAAAAGTCGATAATCATCAAGGGTGGAGACTCATGGGTCGTCGAAAGCCGTGCTTTCGTATTCGACCCTGCACTAGATGATGCATGGAAACCGTTGTTACACCGGGCCCAGGGCCGGTCCAATGAATCATACATAATCCCAGGTACCAGGAACAGGGGCCAGCAGAGTTTTTCGTGTCAAGTCCAGAGCACCTTGCATGATCTCGACGCATCGTTCATTTATGACAGCTTGATTACTTGCTCGATAAGAAGACGCTGCTTCTTCTATCCATGGCTGTCAAGTTGGCCATTGCAGTCTAGACCTGTACGGCATACTACATGATCTAGAAGATACTAATTGTAGTTATTCGCCAAGAAAGGAAAAGAGAAAGCAAGAGTATTTGTACTCACTCGTATCGCCCTTCAGTCATGCCGCATCCGAGCCACAATGTGCGATATGTACGGTATGTCTGTATAGGACGAATTAGCTTCAATAGGCTGCCTTAGGAGCCGTGCCAGGATGACCCAATACGAGATCGCAGAAAGCTCATACACGGATAAAAGCAAAGCATGATCCAAAATAGCACGCTCTGCTTTACCAATAACTTGATAAAAGCATGTAGCCTTCACATCCATCCATAAACCATTACCGGGATGGAGTCGAGTGTCTGTACTACGTGCGTGTCATTACCGATAGATACCGCTTAATCTTACCGCGTCGAACGGGTTGGAGACCAAACTCCCGATGAGACGCGTAAATTAGATCGACTCTGTCTGGCCCACCACGCAGGGCGGTTGGTTCAGGATATGGCCTTAGTGCAATACTCGGAGTCAGAGTCAGAGTCAGATTTCGAGTCAGGCAACGAGTCTCAGCGACCACCCACCAAGAGGCTCTGTACGACCAAGCCATCCCGCGACCGATCCCTGCTTCCGCCGCTACCAGCAGCCTTCCATGACCTCTACGCCTCGAGCACTCGTGTTAGTGTAAGAGATGACCCGAGTCTGCACGGCGGCCGTAAAAGGGTCATCCCTCACGTCGAGGGCAACTGGCCGACGCACCTCTATCTAGAATGTATGCTCACCTCCACCTCAAGACCTAAGACTTTGATCGGAGGCCGCGTATACGAGACTGCGACAAGCTAACACCGGCAACCGAGCGACGATGATCAGGGTACGCGTCCAAAGCAGAGCTTACTCTTCTGAGCGAAGTGATACAGCAGATCCAAGAAAAGCTCCACGGGAGCAGAACAAAGCTTCACAGCCTCCTCCACAGCGATCTTGGCGCCCAACTGCCTCTCCACATCAGTCTCTCGAGACCGGTGGTGCTACGGACCGAGCAGCGCCAGCCCTTCATGGAGGCCTTCGAAGCTGCGATGAAGGACGCGAATGTCGCACCGTGCGTTGGTTTCATTTGTTTTTGTTTCTAAAACCGGCACGGCATCCCGTGTTGTCGGATGCCGGAACGGAACCTCGTCGCTAACTTCTCCTGTCTGTCCAGGTTCGACACCACAACAGATAGTCTGGACTGTGTGTCCAACTATGAGCAGACACGGTGGTTCTATGTCTTGCGGGTGCGATGCCCCGACCATGACGAGCTGAATCGTCTTCTACGCTTGTCCAATCGCGCGCTTGCACGCTTCGGCCAGCCGCCTCTTTACGAAGTAACTGCTGCGGCTGCGGCGGCGGCGTTGTTGTCGTCGTCGAGGGATACCGCTGCGAAGGGCAATTGCAAGCCTGCGGAGACGGACTCCTCGAGGTACTTCCACATCTCCCTAGCCTGGAGTCTGACGGAGCCGTCCGCGGCAGAGAAGAAGCAGCTTGCGAGCATAGATCTACGCAAGCTTCAGGCCCTGACGATCGGCTTCGACTGTGTGAAGGTGAAGATCGGCAATCATATCTCGAGTATACCCTTGACATCTAGAGTACCTTAAAATAGCATGCATGCATGAAAGAATGAAGACCGGATGGACGGACGAGTCTACTCTCTACTCTTCCCCGAGTAGCGAGTAACAATCAGTAAGGTACAATACCTCCCGTAATTTACCACATCAAAGCGGTGGGTGTGACTTTACCCTCAACCGCGCTAGTCAGCTTCAATTCCCTCCAAACACAAACACACCACCACCAATCCATCACCCTTGTCTTTCCCCCTCCCCTTCCCCCAAACACACAAGCCCTCAAAACAGAATGACAACAACCCACCCACCTCCCGTATCTCTGGTAAGTCCAAACCACCTCACACATGCAAAACCAATTCTAACCCACACAGGAAGACCTTCAAGCCTTCCAAGCCAAACACTTCGCAGCACAGACGCCCCAGACCCCCCTAGCGAACAACAATCATACCGAAGAATCCAACCCCACCACCAACGAAGACGAATACTATTACGACGAGGACGCCGAAGAAGACGATGGGCTAGGCTACTACGCCGACGGGGTCAAACGCACCCTCACGGACGAACAGATCCGTATCTTTAGGCACAGTGAGATTCACGCGCTGTTACGGCAGAAGCAGCTCCGTGAGGAGGCGGAGCAGGAGCGAAGGGAGGAAGAGGAAGCGGAGGCGGAGGCGGAAGCGGAGATGAAGGCGCGCGGCGCGGAGGATGGCCGTGATGCGCGGGCTGCGGCGACGGGGAAGGTAGGTGCTGGCGGGGCTGAGGTTGGCGATGGTGCTGGTGCCGGTGCTGGTGCTGGTATGGTTGCTACTACTACTACTACTACGGCCGACAAGTCTGAATCATCACCTTCTACCGCGAAAGCATCAGGCCGGAAGAAAAGGCAGCGTGATGATGAAGCCGAGATGGATTATGGTGATGGCGGCGGTGGACAGCAGCGTGCTTCGTCTGGCCCTGGGAGGAATGCGTCCTCGGATCCTTATGCGGACCCGTCCCGGCGGGCCGCTCTGTTCACCGGGAGGAAGATCATCTCGTATGATGATTGAAGGGTGGAGATGCTACAGAAAATAGGTTCCAGTGTGTCGATGGGTCTCTGTTGGGTTCCGGCGTTTCGTCGTCTGTGTGATGTGGTTTCTACTGGTAAGTTTTGTATCTCTCTCTCTATTCTATGCTTCAATTTTGCATGCGTGCCACCCTACATCCTATGATGAAAACATCGTATCAGTCATCCTTAGTCGGAGCGCCATACCATCTGCGGATGTGTAAGGCTATGACGACTAAAATCTTCTCTCTGAAATTTCCTTTCTTTGCCCTTCTGGTCGGGTTCTTATATGCGTTCATGTACTAAGCATGTCCAGGTCGAGGGCAGGCGAGCGCACCATCCTGCACTACGAATACCAACAGCCTGCCTCTAGAAGCACCAAGACATGGTCACTCGGCGTTCCGGCCGCCTTGGCAGCCTCCGCCCGGCTAGAAGTCCGTTCCGTCTAGGTCAAGCATCGAGTAAGCACACTATGGAATTATACTTGGGGACCACGCCACAACAAATATTCTTCGCAGCCGTTGAATACGTGTGCAACTAATCTATCATTGAGGTAACATGGGTGGTGTCTACTGTCACCTGCGGATGAGTCGATCAAGCACTCCTCGAACTCTGCCTGGGAACCAACGACCAGAATGTGATAACTCCGATAAGCAGCCCCACCATGATAGGTTGCAAGACTTGGACACCGGCTTGCGAGGCTATGGCGCCCGTCATGAATGGGAAAGCGGCGGACCCCGCCTGTCCCAGACTCGCAGTGAAACCTGTCGATCATCAGCATGTCTCTCAGGGCATCGTTGCACTGATGGTACCTACCCATGGCTCCCACGTGCAGCTCTTGCGGTATCACCTTGGTAAGAATGTAAAGCCCAACCGGATAGCATGGTCCAATGAAGAATCCTATGCATTGTGGTTAGTCTGCGCCAGAATGGTCCATGTCTCGCCACCCCTTGACAGATTCCCAATGCTTACCTAGGAAGCACACCGTAACAGCATTCACTGTTATGTTTGGTACCAGCCAGAACAGAAATTGAAGGGCTATAGCCAATAACATATAAATAAAGACCATCCGCCGTTCGCCGAACTTGTGTGTAAAATCTGCCAAAGCAACTCGTCCGATGGTGAACCCAGCCCAGAACGCAGAAGCTACATAGCCTACTTTCTCGGGGTCGCCATGTCTTACGGAAACGAGAAATTGAACGAGCCACCCTATGTGAATTGGGATTTGAGTCAGCTAAGGTTGATCCAGATTCTCGACATGGGGTATGAAGGGACCCTACCACCAGCTGTGACCTCGGCGCCCACATACAAAAAGAAAAAGCCGTTCAGGATCCAGACCGCGCGGTTCGTCAAGGTTGCTTTCAGGTCGCGACTGGCGCTACCCTTGGTGCTGCCCGCATTGGGCTTGAAAAGTCCCTTTCGGAACGTCCACGCCAGGAACGAGATGTTCACTGCCCCGACCACCATCGTGGCCAGATAGTAATGCTGCCAGTGGGGTGTGCGGGCGGCGATGGTGTTGGCAATCAACGGGGCCAGGATCGTGCCGACCCCGTACACGGCGTGCAGGATCCCCAGCCACCGGTGCGCGTCCTGAACAGTGATCGTGTAGGTATTCATCTGGGCATCCTGCAGGGCCACACCGCAGCCGGTGAAGAAGAAAGCGGCCATGAAGAGGGGGAATGGGGGGCCCCAGAACATCAGCGCATAGCCGATGCACTGAATTGAAGCCCCGAGGACGAGGGTGCCGCCTGTGCCAATGTGGGCGCAAATGTGAATGTTGGCGAAGGAGGCGAGCAGCCAACCTGTGAAGTTGACGAGATAGACCATAGAGACCTGAAGCAGGCCAACGTGGTAGGTCGGTTGGATGTAGGGAATCAGGACACCTAGAGCGGCGTCTGAACCGTCACACACGAAAAATGATTGTCAGCCACGGATTCGACCTAGATCGATGGCTTGTTTTCCTCATGCTTAGAAATTGAATCATTTACCATTTAATCCGGCCGTCAGCGCACTGAAGTTCGTACTCAGGATCCTGCCCATATCATCCTGTGCTCGTTTGAAGCCCAGGAGAGGTGTTTGAGAAGTTGCATATTCCTGGCTATTTGGAATCACCTTGCCGTGCTCCTCGTCTCGGTTGTTGTCCATTGTGCGATCTTGTCTTGGTGACTGACCTTGCAAATCTTACAGTCAGAGATCGTCGCCATATGAGAGCTAGATAATATATGAGCCCCCGGCGTCTACAAGGCTACGGCATCCGTCTCGAAAAGCGCCATGGTGGGCTTCAGTACTAGGTTAACGCGGCTAGTGCAGCGAGGGCCAAGCGAACTGAGGGGTAATTCCCTTTTGACTGAGTCCAATCGAGGGGTATTGAGTGGGTCGTCGGGATGTCGGTGAAGCATGATTCAAGGAGTGTAAGGGATTGGGGGGCCTTATTGGGTCGGGCTCTTGCTGGATCTGATATGCGGGCTAAGAGACTGCGACGCTCGTGCGGGATGGCGCCAGAGGCCAAGGAAGTTGCTTGCCCCGCCATTGCAATCTTGCCTTGGGGCTTGTCGTCGACTGCATTAAAGGGAAGGTCCAAGCCCGGCTCTGTCTTCCCCCCAAAGGTGAGCATGCATGATAGCGCGAGACCGGAGGCGGCAATGGATGCATACTCCGCAAGGTGTGTTGTCTGTCGAGGTGCAGGCATGTTGAAGTTTGAGTTGTAGTTCCAATGGCCAGGTGACTTCTGAATGCAGTACAGCTGCATTGAGAACTCTGATTTGCATTCAATCCCGTGGGAAGGTCATCCGACGGTGTTACAAATGATGGCCAAATCGCAGCAAAGGCCGGGGAAACGGTCCGACAAGGATGGATCTAGATTCAAGATCGGCCTTAAGGTGCAGATGGGCCGATGTTGTGCAACCATGCGCCAGTCTCAATGCATTCGAACGGGCCAAAGATGCATGCTCTGCCTGAGGCTTGCTCTTCGGAGTGAAAAGTCAATCAAGCAGGATCATGATGTTATATAGAGATTGATTGATTGAGAAAGCAATTATGCATTGTGGTGGCTTGCAGGCTTGCAGATTCGCGTGGACGCAAATGTCTAAGTATGTAGTATAAATACCAGAGGGTTTACTTCGCCTGCTCTGAGCTCCGCAAGCCCAATGGTCTCCAAAGTCGCATACGGCATTGCCCTCCCAACCGTAAGTGACTACCGCCTCTGCCTGAAATGGTCAGATGTGTCGAGCTGACATACATTGACCAGATCATTATTGCCGGTGTCATAAATGGTCATGCCGCCTTCAAGTACATCTATTTGCGCATCTTCCGGGGCACAGATCAGATACACAAGCGTGACTGGGTCGCAATCAGCTCCTGGGTTGTCATTGCATTCGCCTTGTGGGTGATTGCCTGGATCATCGCGGAAGCTATTCCTATGTTCAGCAACCTACTCAGCTTAATTGTACATCCCAGATCCTCAGACCCCACATCTATAACGTGCGGTTAACAAACAGGCAGACGGCGCTCTTTGCCAGCTGGTTCACTTTCGGCTTCAGCGGTGTCTTTTGGTTGCACATGAACCGGGGCCAATGGTTTTCGTCCCGCCGCAAGACTGTCTTGACCATGCTCAATATCCTTAATTCCAGTGTTGCGGCGTGTTTGGTAGGTAATATCTCCCAACTGATGTGATCAAAGACTTGCTGACGTATGTGGCCAGTGCGGTCTGGGGCTTTATGTCTCCGGAAAAGCGATCCACGACCATCCCCGTAGCATGAGCTTCTCGTGCGCAAACAACGCGACCTGAGAGCTGGTGCATCTAGCGCACTTTATCCTACTGCTATCTAGTCCATTCGATATCAGCGGCACATGCGGTACGTTTTCGAGGAAGTGCTCTGCCAAGCGAGAGGTTGGTCGAGCAGGGCATGTACATAAAATTCATGGTTTATAACAACCATGAAGACTAGGCTAAGTCAATGGAGTTTGCGCAGATGCCGCGTTTATTCAGCAAGAATCTTCCGCTGTGATCCGGCTTCAACTTAATGTAAGGGAGGATTAATGTGAGAATAACTAGTATGATGACTGAAAATGGAGCCAACGAAGACATTCTTTTTTGCCCGAGGAAGCATACCGTTCTGGGTGCCACACCGGGTATTGATTAGTCGATTTCATTAATGCTATTGATTACTACATGACTCTGACGAAAACCCATGCGTGGAGCCGACGGTCTATACTTCCAAGGTATGTATGTATGTACCCCTTGATGTAAGTGAACTAAAACTACAGGTCATTCGAGCCCCGACTCGCGCGTTTCATGCGCCGCTTCTTCCGTCGACAGGAGTCGATGGCTTCTGGCGTTAAGATATCCGGCGGAAGCTCGAAGTCCCGCTCCTGCAGGGCGGGGATGCGGTGGCCGAAGGCGAACGGTGTCCGGGCGTCCGTTCGGTAGGCAGACAGAGCTGCTTTGCGGGTATGCGGGTCGGCGAAGAAAGAGGTGAATGGCTTTGCGGGATCGAGGGGCGGGGGCAGAGGAGGAGCCGCCGTGGCAGGGGTATTGGAGGAAGGGGAGGAGGAGGAAGAGGACTTCGACTTGAAGTATGCGGTGATAGTGGTTCGCTTGGGCGCGGAGAGGGTCGATTTGGGTCTCTTGACGCCCGGTCCTGTCGTCGTCGTCGTGGTCGCGGACCGAGCCTCTTGGAGTAGTTGGCGGGCAGCCCAGGCGTCGACGTCGTTGGGATCCGGCGGGTCCCCTGCATGGCTTTGTGCGTCCCCTCCTCCATCTGCCGGGGCGGCGGGTCCGGCGTCCCCGGCCTGCGCTTCTGCCGTCGTTCCGTCGCCGCCTGCGGTGGTGGTGGTGGTGGTGGTCGTTGATCCTTTCGCATCGGGAGTGATTAGGTCGGCTGGTTTGTCCTTATCTGACTTGCGGCGCTTTTCCTCTTCCTTCCAGATCTTGAATTTCTGGAGGACGGCGGAAATCTCCCGTATGAAGTAGTCGCGTTTGGGCTCGTAGAGCTTCTTATCTTGCTCGGTGTGGCTACTGATGCCCATGACTCGGAGCCATTCTGGGCCCTGTAGCTCATCGAGGAGACGGTCGAAGTGTTGCTTCTCATGCTGGGCTCGATCGCGCTCGATATTCCGGAGCTGCTTCTCCTGTCGCTCGTTGCGACGGTGAGCGCGGAAGAAAATGCTCTCGTCGAGCGGATCTTCCGGGATGGGGTCGACGGGAAGATCTGAGGGGGGAGGCGGAGACGAGGGAGGTTCGGGAAGGGAGATAACTTCGCAGTTGTGGAGATTGGTGAGTGGGTTTTCGAAGGGACGTTCCAGGTCTAGCTCTAGGTTGGATTTTATTCGGGTGACGAGAGGAACAGGAAGGTCATCGATGAGTTTGATGGTGGTGCTACCAGTTAGGAATTCTGGAGTAGGTACCGTGAGCTTTAGGTGCATGATAGCCTTGAATGCTGGTGAACACTACATACCGGCTTTCGGAGGCTCCAGGCTGAGAATCTCTTCGTAGTTGGGGAAGTAGGCAGCTAATTCGCTGCGGGCGCGAGCGCCAGTGTCGTTGGAGCGGAGGGAGCGTCGCGACTCCCGCGCATTGGGGGGAGAATCGGCAACTGGCTCCGCAGCGACCACACCACGCGTGGTACGACTTGGTCTTTGCGCCACAGCAGCCGGTGATTCTTTCTGAGGAATGGGTGTTGTATCTGGCGCCGGGGGCGGAGCTGGCCGGCGCGGGCGACGGGCTGATGAAGCGGTAGCGGTGGAGGAGGCGGCGGCGGCGGCGGAGGAAGAGGGAGCGGAAGTGCGACCGGCGGGGGAAATTCGTCGGGAAACGGAAGGGGAGATGGTGTCTAGTGGATCAGGCGATTCACGACCCTGGTCAAGGTAGAAAGGAGGAAGAGGAGCGACTGGGGTCTCATGGCGCAGAATGCGACGACGGTCGGAGTGTCGCGGAGTAGTGGGAGGAAAGTGAGACGTGGTCGTGTTCGAGGAAGCCAGCGGACGGCGCGTCGACGTCCGCCGGGATTGCGCTCCAGACGCAAGTTTGGCGTGCGGGGAAGTAGCCGACGAAGCAGCAGGCGAAGGGGAGGCAATAATGTGTGTTGGTCGAGGGTGAGACGAGTTAGTGGCGTCGAGTAGATCCGGAGAGCTCTTGCGACGCCGTGAGGAGGATGACTCCTGCAATCGAGCTCGTTTGGCAGGCGGCGGCGGATCGAGTGTTCGAGGCAGTGAGACACGGGCGGACATCAGGAGGAGGTTTGCAGGAGGAATTGCCAACGCGACAGGGGCATATTCTGGTCGGAGAGGACGCGGTGATATGGCAGTCTGTCGCAGAATCCGCAACAAAGAAATTATAAACAGTGTATGCTGGTGAACAGAGAGAGAGAACGTGAGGTTGCAGTTTTGGGGGAAAAGGACTTTGTGAGCGACCGAGAGAGAGCGAGACAGACAGACTGAGTTGAGGAATGTTTGAGAGAGTCGGAGACGTGACGATACGTGACCTGCAGTCGTATTATTCTCTTGTCTTCAATTCTCCCATCCCAATTCATCTTCTAACACCTATTCATTCATTCATGTTGCATTCAACTATTCATCCTTCCACTATTCACTGCTTCTCCCATTCTCTTCCTCCCACACCTTGGCAGGATGTTTGATAGCATGACAGACAGACAGACTGGCCATCTCTCCACACGACAGGGGACACTCTCTACTATATCCAATTGACTCTATGCTCCCCACATCATCGTTGTCGTCACTCCTCCTTCTCCGCTTCAACTGCGGGCGCGAATAATGGATTCATAGGGAGCGTCGCTCGCACATGTTTCCGAGGACAAACGTGGGGGAATCTACATCGACTCAGTCAACGACTCTTTTCCGCTCTTTTTCCCTCATTCCTAATTGTCCGAACCTTACAGGAGGAAATTCCCCCCGCGCCGTGACCTTCTCGAGTGGGGGAGAACGTGGGGGTGGATGGAGGAGGAAATGGCGATCAGGGCTTCATTCAATCCAGTGAGTGCTTTCATGGTGCTGTCTTGAATCTCCCCCTCTTCCCCTCCCCCTCTTTTGCTTCTTATAACCTCCTCTCCTCCCTCTTCCTTGACCTACCACCCCCGCATATTCATCTTGAGAGTTGACCCCGCCGCCGTTGCCGCCGCGAACCCATATAGATCCGAGCTGACCAGGTTCATCGTATCGCCCTCTACAGTCGGAACCCCTCGCCTCGCATCGAGACCCCTCAATCTACACAGACAGAGTACAAAAACTCACGCATCACAGTCATCATGGCCCAGACCACTCGCCCCCTCACTCCCGGCATCTACGTGCCAACCGTCGCCTTCTTCTCCGCACCGGACGAGGATCTAGATATCCCGACTGTCGAGCGTCACGCCGCGTACCTGGCCGAATCCGGCGTGACCGGACTGGTCGTGCAAGGGAGCAACGGCGAAGCGGTGCACCTGTCGCGTGAAGAACGCAACGAGATTACGGCCGCCACGCGGCGGGCGCTCGACGCCCACGGCGGCTCATCCAAGCCCCTGATCGTCGGGACGGGGGCCGCCTCGACGCGGGAGACGATCCAGCTGTGCAAGGACGCCGCGGCGGCGGGAGGTGACTACGTGCTGGTGCTGCCGCCGTCGTACTACAAGTCCCTGCTGACGACGGAGGCGGTCCGCGAGCACTTCCGGCTGGTGGCCTCGGCGTCGCCGCTGCCTGTGCTCATCTACAACTTCCCCGGCGCCTCGTCGGGGCTCGATCTGTCGTCCGACGACATCCTCGCCCTGGCCGCCCACTCCAACATCGTCGGCGTTAAGCTCACCTGCGGCAACACCGGCAAGCTGGCCCGCATCGCCGCCCAGGCCAAGCCCGACTTCCTGACCTTCGGCGGCTCCGCCGACTTCACCCTTCAGACCCTCGTTGCTGGCGGCGCCGGCGTCATCGGTGGCGTCGCCAACCTGATCCCCCGTGCCTGTCTCCGCGTCTTCGACCTCTACCGCGCCGGCCACGTCGAGGACGCCCAGCGCCTCCAGGCCGTCGTCGCTCGCGCCGACTGGCACGCCATCCAGGGCGGCTTCGTCGCCGTCAAGAGCGCCCTCCAGACCTACCGGGGCTACGGCGCCCTGCCCCGCCGACCCTGCGTCGTGCCGGATCCAGAGCAGGTCAATGCGCTGAAGGAGTCCTTTGCCGAAAGCATGGAGCTGGAGAAGCAGTTGGAGAAGAGTGCTTAGGGTATTACCGCTGCACAATGATGCCGGCCGTCTCATTTCTCTTAATACAAACCAAGCAAGCAAGCATAATTTACTCTTCTCAATGCTATCTACTCTTGATATCCCATATCCTTTCTCCGCGGCTACAGTAGTAAGGATTCACCGGGGGAATCGTGACTCCCTCTTCTCGCCAACGTGAATGCAATAATAATAGCCCAGTAAGTCCTAAACGAGCGTCAACATGGGATAAGACATGCCCCCCCTCGTCTGAAGAAACAGATAGGCATAATAGTCCTCGACCATACTGGTAAGAATATGGTAGAGACGCGTTGTGCGGGCTCATGAACGACGCTTGAGTAGTGGTGCCACTTGAGTAGTGGTGCCAATATCTACACTCTGCGTCCATCTCTCACAATCAGATGAGCCCATCTCGTGACTCCGGGTAGGTAGGTTACTACCTCACCCGTCCCTTCAAGTCCGCTGCATACACCGTAAATCTACCCCGAAAGGCAACTCTTGAATGCAGTGAATGTATGTATGTATGTGCAGCTATCCTCGTGTGCTTATGCGATGAATCTATCAACCGAGAAAGAAAGATTAAAAAGGAATATCCCGAGATAAAATATGTCTGGTATGTATGTCTTGTCTTCGCTGGGGTTGGTGGCAGGTCGGGGGATTGTGGGTGCTGCGGGGGTGTTTGCTCTTGGGGCGTGGGGGGAAGGTTCGGGCAAAGGGCTAGCTACTACAGCAAGGAGACTTCCGGTAGGTTCGATTGCGGGAAGCCGATCGTCGAAAGCACGTTGCCTAACGACTGCGGATTGCGGCGTAGCTCGTTCCATTCGGCCTCGGCCTTGACCATCAGGGTTCCCGCCAGGATGGTGCCGTTCAGGGCGACGACACCCGCCTCGGCGACATCCGCACGGGCGCCGGGTTCGATGGGGATGTGAGCGCTCTCGCTTCGCCGCGGGCAAATCATCATTGTGGACTCGGTCATGGCGAGGTTGTAGCTGATGGCGGCGGGGCCGGTCGACGACGTCTCCTGGGCGCGGTGGTGGTCGCCGCTGTTTGTGGCTGCGGCGGTTGCTGCTACTGCCGCTTTGTAGAGGCAAAGATAGGTTGCAAAGAGAGCTTCACTCGAGGGATTCGGCGGCAGTGGGAGGACGAAGTGCGCAAAGGGAACTTGGTCCAATCGTCGCAAGTTGGGACCGGAGGCTGCAGGTTGCGAGGAGACGATATCGATTAGCGGTCGCCAGTCATCGTTGGCGCTCTGCTGCTGCGCCATTGCTTCGACGGGCAGGAATTGCAGGTGTCGGTGGGGTTGACTTGCGCCGCTCTCGTCGCCCGAGTTGAAGAATGCGAACAGCCTCCTCCTGCCCCCCTCGGACGCCTGATCGCTGCTCTCCTCCGCCCATGCTCTGACACATGCGTATGCGGCAGCGAGATCGTCCTTCTCCAGGATATCCGTCTGAGACTTCCAGGCCGTAGTGGCGAGGATGAAGTGGTTAGGGATGACGGGGAATTTGTTGAGGACTAAGAAATGAGTTGGGTTCTCGCGGGGGATCTGAGCTATCAAGAGCTCCGGCGACGGGTTTTCGAAGGGATCGAACTTCGGACCGGGGGAGGCTTTCTCGCTTTTCGGGGTGCTAGTTGGCTTCTTTGCCAGCGCTGGACAGTACCGGAGTTGATACTGTTGTGGAATTGAAAGTGTTAGCAAGTGATGCGGATGAAGGATTGAAGACACGAGGCATGTTTACTGGTATCCCCGACGCATGCAGTGTTGTGAGATGGGTTGGAGAAAAGAGGAGATGGCCAGCCTCTTTGGCAGCCGAGAATCGTCGGCTCACTAGAGCAGGTAGACTTTCTGAGATACCAAGTTGCATGATGCCGAATGTGCGTTGTTGTAATATGCTGCGGCTGCGATTCGGGCAGGGTGCGGAGTTCGCGAGGGGATGACATGATGCCTTTGGCGGACGAATGCGGGGCAGGAACGGCTAGCCGAAAGAAGTTGGGAAATGCAGATATAGACTGTCAGAGAATAGATACGGTATAAAGAAAAAAATTCCCAAAATGTGCGATCATTGTTCTAAGGGGTTTAGCTGGCGCATATGTATAGATCACGATTGCAGATTGGAGAGTACAGTTGTTTCCAGCCAGGAAGTGTCAAACCTTATCCATCTCCCTGTAGGAGAACAGTATGATGTTCATATTCTCATAATATGAACCTTGAGCACAGAAGGGCATTGATAGCAAGAGTAGACGAATTGTAGATCAAGACGCCTCACTTGTACATTCAAAAATCGGACTCATGTTCCATGGCTGGATGCCAGTGTGATAGAATATCAGGTTGAAGCCTACCAATAAATATAATGTATCAATTGTCATTGCAGGACGACTTCGTCAACCACGGCTCTCGACCGTTGAGAGAGAGCAATGCCATTACATATATATTGGTTCTTGGATAGAGATCTTTAGCAAAGCCAGTATGTAAGTATCTCTAGCCATCTCGTCAGTTCGGAGCACTATGCAATTTGGAGGCCGTCGCACGTTGGTTAGCATAGCAAGATATACAATGACGTCACTAGCAACTCTTCTTTGGCCTTGTTTGGCCTCGAGAAGTGTGATGAAGATCACACAAGTTCTACTTGTTGATACTCTAGCACTCTTAGCTCTGATCTTTTCGGGGAAACCAATGGCAATCATTGTGATACCTGGCAGCGACAAGGATACGGGCATCCGGCAGACTTGCAGATCTGGGATTGACCTGATCTGTCGAATCTGCCAGTTTTGTTGATGTGGTCTGACATTATAGACCCCTCTAAATTCTCCTGTAAGATACCTCAAGCTCAGTACTGCGTTTAATGCCTCCATAACTCGGTCTATCCTTAACCTCGTAACTGGCAACTGCGCCCCTCAGCCACTTTTCTCAGCCACCGCTCATTCTACTGATGTGTTCATGATCCCGAGAACCGGATGCAGTAGCTTGCATGCAAGCCGCTTGCAATGCGCAATACATGAACAGACACCCCGACAACACACATTACCTACTCGATACCCAGCTAGGAACGAAGCTATGCGCCTATCAATGCAGGTCCAATCCGGCGCTGCCGAACCATCCACCCATCCACCCATCCACCCATCCACCTCGACTAGTACGAACCATGCAATTCTCCATCCCTGCCCAGGGCGCTCGAATGCAGTTGCAGTGGGATCCACCCCTCAACCTCTCCCAGCCAATAACTCAAGTACTGAGTGCAGCCAGTCGACTAAAGGCAACTGAACTAAACACGGGGTGCCCGCCATTAACACTCATTTGGAATCTCCCTCAGCCAGCCTCTTCCCACAACCTCAGTGCACCTTACCTTAACAAGTATGGCTCATCCATCCTTTCCCTCCACTCCCCAGTTCACGCCTTAAGAACGAGAAGTTAAGCCCCTGCGAACTCAACGTAACTTGACGGGTATTGGACCTTAAGTCCGATTATTCGTTTTCCTCCTTATCGGCGCGGCCGGGGCGTTAAGAATTTCCATCCCCAGAGCACGTTTACGAGAGAGGAGGGGGAGGACGAGGAGGGAGAGAGACCCTTAGCTTGGCCTTGTGTCACCCAGAATTGGACGAGTTGGATCTGCGAGTCAAAGGTTCCATGCTATGCGCCCGGACTTATTGTTGGCGATTGATCCTTCCTAAGTGGAATCCACCCCTTGGCAGGTTTATCCTGATTGCTCTCTCATCAACTCCTACGTTGAGGTAAGTAAGCAGTGTAGGATTTGATCTCCAGAGGATCTACTACCTGATTTCGATGAATCCCTTCCCAGGACACTGAAGATCGTGCGGGCCCGAGATTGCTGTACGCCGTGCAATGGGGGTGGACATACTTGCCCTTTTCTGTGTGTATAGACGGAGGATGTACAGGTACATACATCCATACATGCCTAGCACCTGCATATATCTGCACGCAGCAGCAGTGGGAATGGCAAGGCCTGGAAATCACTTGCCTGCTGGTCTGTAAATGCCGCCAGTCAGTGTATGGCTCGGCATTTGCCGTTGCATGCAACGACCACCATCACCATCAGAAGTCCTTGCCGTCGACAATCGGGCGGTTGTTGCAGGGGTATGTGGCCAGTCCAGCCACGTCTTCCCCAACCGGGGTGACGTGGTCGCCTGGGGGTGCTTTGCACCACTGCTTGTCTTGGATGAGGCTCTGTGTATAACCTTGATGCTAATACCTACGGCGTTGCTTTGTGCCCCGCTGCCCAGATCGATTCGGGAGCACAATGCTTTGACCCATGAGCGATAGGTAGATTGCACTCCACTCGATCACAAGCTTAAGGGGGTCTCGAAATCCGTGCTAGACCGTAGTTGAAATTTCCCGTCAAGTGTGATTACCTCCTCGTGATATATCCTCTGATGAGAATACTCAATATTCACTGAAACTGTATTCGCCTGCGCATCATTGCTGAAAGGCAACACACCATACAAATCCCAGAAAATCCCCCCCGAATACACCCCGTGAGAGTAGGGGGCGAACAAGCCTTTCTTGCACGCTACACGGGCACTCCCCTGTCATAATCCAAGAGAAAAAGGAAATGCAGTTTCTGGTGATCTCTGTTGCGTAGCATTCATAACCACCACCACCAGCCTATCAATGCGGTAGGATGTAGGTACTGCACACAATGACCACTCCAAATAACTGTTTGTACCAGTCGAGATCCCGATCGTGTGATACTTACCTAGTAAAAACCCACAGCAAGATCAATGATTTGTTCTTCTCCATCACTTTTCCTCGATATTCCCATTCGCCAGTCCATCCATGTAAACTCTATTCCAAGTTTAAAAGACCTCGTGGCATTGACAGCTGCGTGGCTTTAGAAGGGGGCGGAAAAAGCCCACTCAACCCATCCAGTCGGCCGTGATTTCCTCATGACATCGGGGCCAAAAAGAGAAACCGTGCAGAGAAGGGCAACTCGGGTCCGGACCTCGGAGCCTGGACCTGCGGGTTCACTGATTGATATGTGGTGATTGTCTTTCGGCCGGTTGTCGATAGACGACATCAGCACATTAGAGTAGTTTAGCGGGTCTACCTAATTTTCGGAGGCAATAATTGACGGACGAAGGATTAAAACCTACGATTGTTTGTTATCAGCTCTTAGTAATCCATCAATCGGCTGTCCAGATCTATGGTGGCTATTAGCTAGTTAGCCCCTCCCTTTCTCTCTTTCTTGCATTGCACCCACCCCAGACCCCGGATGGGGTATTCCTCTGGTCTGATCGTCACGCAGAATGTCGGTATCGCTGGGATGGCGATCCTGCTGGCCGACTCTGTTTTGACTTTGTTGATTGAAGTACTGTAAGATTTGCTGGGCCCTGGTGCAGCACCCCAGCATGCAGCAAGAAAACAAGCACACCCTGATGAATTCTTCTTCGCCATATATTGCTTTTTCGCCCTTCTTGTAGCTGGCGGACACGATGATGATAATTATGATGTCATCTCGAGAGAGTGATATACATAATACATATTGTACCATGCATACATGAACAATATCACCCAGACAATAAACAATGCCATGTCAGCTACTCTCGAATACCCATTGTACTGAATGCAAATTACCCCTCTATACATCCAAACCCCTACCGCCAACCATTCTCCATAGCTAGCCACGGGCAAAGACCGATATGAGATCCCAAAGTCAAGAAGAGACGATCACCCCCTCTACTAAATACCCACACAATAATTCCTCTCCGCGAACCCTCCAAAAGACGGGACAAGAGCACGATGCAACTCGTATACCCCTCGCTTCGAAAGTGCAAACCGTTTTGCCTTGGGCTCACCGTTATCGAGGATGATTCTCCACTTCTCCCCGAGATCGAGAGAAGGTTCGTCTGTTTCCTTGCATAGGATAAGTATGATTGTTCGGGGATGCCGAAAACCAGTGCGGTGCACACAGTGTGGGGTGTATGGTGTAGGTTAGCTGGTTAGGGCGAGGGAGGGGTCCCCGGACCGCAGATCCTTCAAGTATGAGTAGTTCGGATGCTCTTATCACGAGTAACTGCGTTGCTGGACCTAAGAACCTCAAATGGCTATTTTTTGGGCCCAGACTTTTTCGTCTTTTTCAGAGAGAATGACTCTAAACCAATGCCCAAATCAGAGCCCCGAAGAAAGGAAAGAAAGAAAAGAAGAGCAGAGTTCAAGTGGGGTGGGAGATGATGGGAGAGGGGTTCCACTCGTTCCACAAGGCAGGATGCAAACGAAGTACGAAGTACTAAGCACAGTAGGGGAAAAAAAAAAAACGCCCAAGGGTTTAGACTTTAGTCCAATACACCCGGGTGACACCGCCGCGTCTCATGGGTATGTAAAATAAATGACGCTAAGGGAAGGGAGTAACTTTTCACTCTGCCATGCGGTCGGTGGTGGTGCGTGCCTTTTTGCGCTCACTCGTCTCTGTCCTGAACTCCTCTCAAGACCGCCCCGAGAAATCGCTCGTTCGCTCGCTCGCTCCCCCTCTCCCGGCGCTCGAGATCTCCCGTCCCCTAACCCACATTGGAGTTCGCCAGATCCGTGAAACCGTAAGCTAGAATAAGAAGGTCTCAGGGGAACTCCACATTGGTATTTGTTTAGCGGTCTAGCCCGCCACATGGTTCTGGTTCTGGTTCTATGCTGGATCAGGGCTTTTTTGATTTTCTCGTCGGCTTGAGGACGGTAATGTATGTAGTGCTGTGCGCCAGAATGCTTTCCCTCTCTTCGACTCAGCCACACTTCGTCGGGCGTCAGGCACGGGATGGGTTATCCGGCGACCAGAAAATGTACTGTACCCGTCTAGTCGGTACTGATGATGATGTTGAGAGTACATGATCATGTACATACTTGGTACTCCGTACTGTACCCGGTTAGAATTAGAAATACGTAATCGTGATGTATGTATGCAGACATGCATGACCATGTGAGTATAGTACTAAGTACTTCTGCCCCTCCCCTCTCCCCTGCAGAATCTCACACTAAAGGAACCAACCCATGAGAGTTCTGATGGCATGTTGTGCGCATTGCCTTTCATGTGGATAACAACTGAGGGGGGAGGGTGGCTGCTGTCAACCCCGAACCCTAACCATGGATCGAATCTAGGTCAGATACTCTAAAGTAATTGCTGATCGCGGGATCGGAGCGCCCAACCACAACCACGGAACCTACTTGGGTGCCGCCCCGCCGAGACTGATCTAGTTCCCTTTACCTAGATATGGCCTTGAAATGTTGTCGTGCGGGTTGGACAGAAGGGTTCCTTCCTCACTTCTTCCTCAGAGGCGGGTATGACTGTGATACACGACCTCGTATCTTGGATTTCGGTGCAAGTGTCCTTGAGATGGCCTAGGACGAAACGATCAAGAAAGGGGGCGAAGGGAGAAGCTTGGGAAGGTTAGGTAGGAAGGAAAGGTAACCTTCCTGCCTGTGAGGGGGGAGAAAAAAGAAAACAAGACAAAAACGTGGTTGGTCGCTGACGGTATACGGCCTATGTCCAATAAGAATGGTGGATTGACCCGTTCTCATTTTTGACGATTAGAGCCAAGTGTGTTGGCGTGTTGGACTATGAGCTCGTATGGGTCCGGAAGGGGAAGAGAGCGGGTAACTGAGGGTATGCGCTGGGAAGTCGCTGGCTGTACTCCGTACTCATGATACAAAGTACTTATCATTGCACTCGTTGCCCTTGGAACGAATTGTCTGGCGCGGGTCGTGGTGTCCTACCTCCTGCGAGTCAAATGATACAAGACCTATGAGATGAGCCCGACCGAGCACTCAATGGAGAATACTCGCACCTTCCCAAAGTTAGCAGCAGGCAGCATCAAGCAAGCTTTGTGGATGATCAGCATCAGTCCTCGCTGTGGATGTCGTAATGGCCAGATAGTCAATACTTATTTGCCTGGAGAAAACCCTGGTAGCTCCCAGTGCGACGGACGATCTAGACGATCCGACCTACCTGCAGGTAGAGAGAGGGGGAGAGAGCTTGCTTCTGGGCAGGGAATCACATAAGGATGACCAAGGGGGCGGGAAGTGTTTCGTACGGTATGACTGACATACAGGAGATTTTGCCTACCTCAGAGCAATCTAAATCGTTTTTATCTGTTCCTTTGTACCACGACTAGGGAAAAAATATAGACCTATAGCCTGTGGCTAGGCTTTGGGGATTAGACTTTTGCCTACTCGACTCTTCTAGTGCGCGGATTCCCAATGATTAGATTCCGAAATAGAGTTGCCCTGGGCTCTAATTTACGATGCGTGGCAATGATTGCATGGTTAGTGTTACACTGATTTGATGCAGGCAAAGTGGCACAATGGCATTGAAGCGCATACGAGTCCCCAACACCACGCTCTCCGCTACCAGTAGAAGCAACATGCCGGATTTTGAGGGCCTCAGGGGAGTTGGCCTTGCACAAGGAAGCCATGAAGAGCAACTAAAAAGGGCACGTTGACTATCTTTCAAGATGGACACAGATGGCTAAGCCGCTGTCTGGATCCGGTTAAGTGTTCTTGCGGTCGATCTGCCGGCACAGGTTGATCAAGCGTGGGCGAGGTTAGTCATTGGTCAGAACCCGGTCTGTGCATGATGTGCAGTCACTAGTACTAGGTACCTAGTTGTAACACTGTCATGATCGGCAGGACTTTTAGGTCACTGCAATCAGGAATGGTCCTTCGGGCCGCAGGTAATGAAGCCCGTGGTCACCGATAGGACCCCGCGAAAAGCTCCGCGGGACAGTAGTCTGGTAACTCACAGCTTCAAATGCATGATGAATGTCTCGAATAGTTGTGTGCGGAGTTCCAACTTGGTCGGAGCTGGGGAGTAGAGGAGGAGAAAAGGAGAGGGGGAACAGGATCGCCAGACGCTGCATGATTCAGGTGATGTCAACGCAAGCCGGACACTAGGCGCCGTACCGTACGCACCTGTATTGGAAGACCTCCCAATCGCACCACTGGGGACCAGTAGCTCTGAGACATGCGGTCAACTTTCTTCGCGTGCTTTGGCAAGGACACAACGGCAGTAACAAGTTTCCCGTTGAGCAAAACACGGACCAGCAACGATCAGAACACGGGCAGCGCGATACCCGCAAGGTCCAGAAGAAATGCGATGTGGAGGATTGGGTGATCCTGGAGTCGGATCCAATGCAGGGGGAAATCATGCGATATCACCATCTGTTTGGCATCTTACCAAGAAGAGAATTTATAGGCGAGTCCTTCGAGCCTGGAGCGCAGGCCACTGAGATACGGGGCAACTGCCTGGACACTAAGCAACAACATTGGGAGTGCGAGAGAAGGTAGGACAACCCATTTGGGCAATTCTCACAGTCACTCAGTAAAATGAAGGATAGCTATTGAGATTAGCTCATAGAGTAATAATGTCAAGTTGAGGCCCGATCTTGCCCCGCTTCATCTTTGACACTTGACAGGTTATAGCACGGATCATGTCCAGGGATATCCGACTCACCCTCCCTATCCGACTCAGTCTGTGCTAATCCCTCATCAGTAGGTGGGTAGTCTCCAGGCCTGGGGTTCAGTAATTTATCCTTTCCCCCTTTTAGGAATATTGTCGTACCAATCAGAGCGTTTCATAGGCGGATGAAGGTAGTCCCAATGATCTCACTAGCTGTAAATCCTAATTACTAACCGAACCATCTCAATATCGGACAATCTAAATAGATTAAATTGTCCCAGTAGTGCACTGCACTAGCAGGCTTAATCAATCCTCGAGAACAGTAATCAGAATGCAGGCTTTAATACGCCAATTGTTCCGTCAGGGGACCCCCGGCGGTAGGCTCCGGGCCTTCCGAGCAGTGAGCACTAGCTATGGTGGTCCCAGACAATCTTTTAGGCTGGGCTAGCAACAAAATGGTGGAGCTTCTTTCACTCCAGTTTATAGTGATTAGTAAATTGGGTGGTGATCGGGGTAGTCAGGGGAACGTGGGGCAAACAGCCTAATCGATGGCATCACGGCCCGCACATCTCAGACCTTGGTTGAGCAGCTGTCAAATCCCACTCCAGGTTGCTATAGCGTCACTTTATTTAATCTATTCCATTCGATAGATCCGCCATGGCAATTGAGCGATCATCAGTGCATATCCCGCATCCGCCAATGGACCAGATATCCCGGATAGGGTGTACGTGCGTGTGACAAATCTTTTGCCATTGGAAAGGCAGGCGAGTCGCTAGTGAGTGATATCCTGTTTTGTGGGCAGATTATCTGGCCAGCATCTCGAAATCACAGGCAGGCTTGTAATCCACTGCATGCTTGCCAGCGATCCAAAATTAGCCATGTTTCTAAAAATGAACCATCCTTTTGGCGTTTCACGTCAGTTTCAAGAGCGACAAGCCAGTTGTTCTGGAAGCCTTCTGTGGCAATCCGACTGGCGATTCGCTGTCATGCCAGGGGTCAGCATCCCAGCGCTTGGATAGAGGGTGAACTAAACATTATGCGGGATGCTGTAAGCGCCGGGGCCCCAAACATCAACAAAAAAAAAATCAAAGTATGCGGAAACCCAAGGGCAAAAGTGCTAGTCTCCTCTGGTAGGAGACGCTATCTTTAGACAGAAGTAGGTCGCACCAACTAGTGAAAGACTCCAAGGAAACTAGCCTTTCGCTCTGGCGCTTGTTTTAAGAGAGTCCGCGTGTCAAGTTGTCGGGACGAATTCCGCTCGTCATTAATAATCCTGAATCCCTGCTGCGGCTTTGACATGATCCCCCCCTAATTACCGCTATATTAGCAGTAGTAATTTGATACCGTGACGGTATTTGGGGGCCAAATCCCAAATGGTCGCGGATTGATCTGTCGTTGTGAAAGAGATGAGAACTTTCAAGGACGGTCGGATTAGGGGGTTCGAGATGTCCGGACTTTTCCCCGGCGATATTAGCCAAGTGAATGAAGCGGGGGAAGAGATTGTACGGTTTGGTGCGATATTGCGGTAATCTAGGCTGTGTTTTTCGTCTATGATGTCTCACTTCGAGTTGACCAGTGTATTCGGAGTTATTTGAGTCAATGCTAGGAAGAATCAGGTTCCATGCGACACACTGCTGTTGATTTGTTTCGTATGCAATCAGCGATCGAGACGAATGGGGTAGTTTGCCATCAAGCCGTGGTTGTGCAACCCTCCATTAAGGCCAATGCGATTAAGGTATATCGAGGTAGTAGTGCATATTTTGGGAAGCCGATGATGCTGCACGTTGACAACATGATGCTATTGTTGTTCAATGGTAAGACAAGCTACCTCAAGCTTCCACGGAGAATGAGAAGACTGAATTCATGAGCCGCATACAATATCCTAAATGGATTCATGGAAAGTAGGCCCGGGCGGATAAGCACCCTTTCCTTTCTCATTTTCAAGATAGGTAGGTAACAAAATCTACTAGGTACTATATGGATCTGTAGAGAGCGCTCGCCCATCGCAGTCCGTGATTGGCTGTTTCGTTAAGGGTCCCTTTCTCTGGCCCCGCCGTCGACAGATCACCTCGAATTACAGAAGACCGCTATACCTGAGACACCAACCTCCTGGAGCGAACAATATCTCAGCCTCTTAAGATGATTGTTCAGGATAAACTTATCACAGGGTAAATATCGACCAGAGGAAGAGGCCACTAAGCTCTTTACGTACGGGCGAAGCGAGGTGATGATTTTCCGCCCCCTCCCTAGATACCACCAGGTCAATCACGGAGGTCGACAGAAATCCGTCAGCATGGTACCTCTAATCCCACCGTGGCCCCCTCTAAAGCTGGATCATTTAAGTTACACTCTTTTACTCTTTAACATGCGCCAATGCCACGTGCTGGGTAATCGCCCGAGTTGGCAGCTGTCACACCTCGTGTCGATGTCCGCGGCCATATCCGGCAACGGAACTAGACATCATGGATGATCATGATGGATCCTTGATCCATGATAGGTGTCCACTCCGGTAGAATTGGGGTTGACTAAGTAAATGATTAGGGGTCCGTTTCAACACGAAGAATCCGTGTTGAACAACGTCGCGATGATGCTTCCTGAAAATGACTCAGGAGTGTACCACAGAGTTGTCGGATTTACGTTTCAGATCTGCATGGCCTGTTATTGCAAGAATGACAAAGTGACATGACAGGTGATGCGGGAAGTACGGAGTACAGAGAATGCGGCGAGCGAGTTCTGGAATGTTTCAGGCTCGGATGGCTGACGGGGGGAGGGAGGGAGGGAGAGCAGACTGAGATTCCTGCCCCGCAGTGCCATGCCCAATTTTCCGAGCGTCAATAACTCACTTAACCGCGCTCCAGAGAAATTCTCCTAGATGGTAAGTACTGAACGGATAATAGCGATCGCATCTAGACTGTTACCAAGAAGCTTGGCGGTTCCTGGTGGTCACAGTATTAAGTCAAATCTTCGGGCAACACCGAGACGAGACCATTGTAATGTGTGCCTAATAATGATAATGATAATAATAATAATAATAATAATAACAACAACAACAACAACAACAACAAAAAATGATCGATAATGAGATAGTGTAAGGGCAGGGATTCTCTGCTCAGCAATCCGCATGGAAGCGTCGATGGTGTTCTAGCGTATTTCGAAAGGATCAAGATGCATGAATAGACGGGCATTGGGCCCTTTTCCCCCCTACGGTTTCAGAATTCCAGGATAACCCCGGGCCACATCCATCGAGTCCGGATCTCGAGGGAGCGGTGAAAAAACAAGATGGCTGCGCCTCAGTTGAATTCCCAGAGGCCGTCACGCACAGGGATCTCCCAATGGTAAGGCGGGAAGATCCGCCGAATGACACACGATAGGCTACTTCGGTGTGGCTCAACCAGCGATGTGGCGCTAGTTCGGTATCAATGGCACGATCTTCACCGACCGGGCTTGGTTTGCCCTGCCCTGCGCACGCTTTGATGCACACTCGGAGAAGAGCGTCGGCAAAACATCCGCTCGGTTTGGATCGTGATTATAATGACGATGATGATGTAGGTACTGTCTGTATGGCATCCTGCACACGCATGCTTGGCGACTCTGCAGAGTGCATACCTACTGTGAAGTTTTTACTTACCACGATAGGTTATTCTTACCAAGTGCCCGTGCCAGTGCCAGGTGTTTACCATCGGTCGCCGAAAATCCCCCTTTACCTTACAGGATGAAATTCATGATGCTGGGTTCCAAGAACCTGGTAACTTCAAGGACTCAATCATTCTTAGCCATTGTTCTTCATAATAGTATCCTACTATAACCAATATGAATCATAGAGTTCTATTGTATGATGGCCCTCCAGACTTTGTATCATAGCGTCTCTGTTCCTGTGCCGCGTTCCGGGCTGTCACTCTACAGCAAACCAGCTGAGCCACGATAGACCCGCCCAACCTGGCAGCCTCAATTCTAACTACGTGTGCCATGTCTGTAGGCATGATGTCATTTGTATCGCCCTTTATTTGTGTTCGGTTCTCAAAAAAATACTTGCTACAATTGTATACTGGAATAGATAACTGACTGCATCTTATCAATTTGCACAAGACAACGATTCTGGTCGGGCCCCGCCAGAAGAATCCAGATGAGCATGTGACCCCTATCGTAACGGACGGATCCTTAGTCTGAAAGACCAATACGGATCACAGAGCCTGTGCGGCTCTGAGCGTAATCATGGACACTCAATCAACCCACCGCTGCAGGTTCGTCGGCGTCCACATTGGGCCCAAAAGGATTGACCATCCCATGTCCGGGTTCCGGAAGTACTGTCTTGTGCCATCCCAGGACAGTGATTGGATGACTCGTATAGCAGTCCAATGACGATTCATTTCACCATCCTGTGCAGTCGACCAATGGACCGTCCAGGATCCGAGATGCACGTTTCTCGAAAGGGGGGCGGGCAGGGGGAGTTTGTGACGGGGTGGAGCTGAAACTAAGATCGTCAACAGGCCCATGAGTTTGACGAATTGTGCTCGGAATTGACGGCCAAGGCCGAGATGCATCTGCTTTAGTGCTGCGACTAGCCCATTTCCGGATCTCCTCTGGGCTCAGTAGTGGATACTGGAGTGAGGATGATCTGAAGTCTGACCCGAATCGACGGAACGATGTGCCCGCTGTAACATGGGGCTAGGATGGATTGACAGGTCAATCGCGGAAAAAGAATGCCTCTCTCAATCTCATGATTCAGATAAATGACTTCAGTACACTCAGTATATTGTACCACTGAGTACATACTGTCGGAGGAGACTATCGGGATTAGACAGCATCATGTGCAGTATTGTTGAAGAGACACTGGCTGCAGATCCCCACGATGGTCGACGCAAATGATCTCCTGTCATCATCAATACTCCAGAGCCGACCAGAGCGCGGAGATGTCAGATAGTTTGATCTCGACCAATGATACTGTGCCGCAAGTGAGGTTCCGTAGTTAAACGGGCCATCGGCATGGCCAAGCTCTTGTGAAGGGATGGGTACTATCTGTGCCGCTACGGACTTACCGACAATAAGTTGCGGATACGAATGGTCGAACCCGCACGAAGTCCGGCGACCCCGTGTGTGTCTGCAAAATGGGTCTCACCGACTCGACTCCCAACGATTATTGTTTCTCTTGATATGGTGACGGTCGAAAATGCCCCGATAACGTCTAGAAACCTTTTCGACCCCCAATCTGGAACCAGGAATGGGTAACCATGGTTGAAACGATAGACAAATAAGATCTCCAATTAAGCATAAAAAATGGAATGCATTGGTGATGAAAAATGACCACTACCAAGCCGAATTGTCTTGGGGTCCAATTCTCAAATAAGTTGAGGGAAGTTTTTGGATGAGTCGAATTGTCTCGAGAAGTAGTGGTGGGTCTACTTTTGCTACGGGCTTTCAGTCTCTCTCTCTCTCTCTCTCTCTCTCTCTGTTTCCTCTTCCGACTTGTGATCAATTTTGTGTTACAACCCCGGAAAATTCTCCCTAACCCGCTTACGAATCTCGTCGGATCCCCGATTATCAATCGAGAATCCCCGACCATATCCACCATCTGGTAGTCGACCTCGTTCGGCCAGGGAAGCAATGATCTACACACAAACAAGTACTCAAGTACACAAACAAGTACTCGTACTTGAGTACTTGTACGCAAATTGAGTTGATGTCAAGCACGGGTCATGTCAGCGACGATAGAAAGTTGGGGTGAGGGGAAAACCCAAATCAATAAAATCGAGAAAATCGCGAATCACAAATGACATCTTCCCAGTCCCAGTCTAGAGGATCGCTAATTGTAGCAAAAAAAAAAAAAAAATAGAAAAGAAAAGAAAATGGAAAAGGAAAAACAAAAAAGAAAGGAAAAACAAAGAAAAATCGACAATAAACCCGATCAGTGTTCTAGGCAGGCTGTGCAGGAGAACTCAAGTCTCAGCGTCACAGACTCACAGCAATGCAGGCTTAGCGGTAAAGCTGGCGTAACGAGGAAAGAGCAGTGAATTGCAGTGCCAAAAATACCAGGCTCGGTTCACTGGCTGCCCTGCCCCTGCTTCTTTTGCTTGCCTGGAGATCCCCACTCACCCTTCTTTTGATTTACCCCTGTTAGGGTGTAAGTAAGTACCTAAGTCAGTTAGTTAAGTTAGGTAGTAAGTTAGTTAGTTATACACGGTTCGGGTTTCTTCCTCTCCTCCCATCATTCATCATCATCATCATAATCATCATCGGCGGCGGCGGTATCATCCACACATCCACCCCTCCACCCATCATCCACTCACCCACACCCAACCCACACCCACCCCAGTCACTTTCGATGCGCGCTAAGAGATGACTCCCTGGTCCAATCTTGTATACTATGGATGGTCGTGGCTTTTTAGCGTTGTTCCTTAGTTCGTGCGCAGTAGTTGGTCAATCCTAGTTCTTTTCCCTTTCCACCCGCGCCCCCCCCGGTCTTATCCACACTGAGTGCAAATAGTAGCAACTCGGCTTCTCGTAGGGCCAGCAATCACATAACATTTAACAATGCTTTTACTCCCTCTCTTCCTCCTCAACTTTCTTTTCTAGTCTATATCACTGTTTTTTTTTTCTTTTTCTCTCCTACCCCTCCTTCACGGTTTATCTTCGGCCTTCTCCCTCTTTGACTCTCAACCTATTGACCTCGGCTCGGTATAGATCTTCGTCCATCATCAACCAACAACAACAACCCTCTGCGCGCATCGCATCCAAGGGAGAAGCACTATAGGAAATCGTAAGTTCCTCCGCGCGGCCCGTTCCCATAACGTACCCTGAAACTCAATCGCAATTCCAATGGAAGAGGCCTCAACAGAACCTAAACTGACTTGTCAACTTGCAGGTATTGTCCGCTCTGTCTCACTCAACCCTAGCTGTCGCATACACGATACCCACACATAAACTCCTGCACATTCCTTGTACGGCGTGCCTGGACATGCAGAACCAAAGAGAAAATATCGATTTTGTCCTTTGTCCGGCTCAATTCACCGACAACAAGAAGATGCTAGCGGTCGATTCTTCCAAACAACGTCAAACCTACATCCCACATTTCACAATGGAGACCACCTTGGTCGATGCGTTCGGCTTCCCGGTGGATAGCATGTGTGATTATGCACAGACACATGATCCTTCCACCTCATTACAGCCAGCCTACTATGATCCATCTTCCATGTACTCGGGCGCTTTCGCTCCTCTGCCAAAGACCGCAAATTTCCCTTCCATGCCCGTCACGCCTCCTTCGCTCCCTATCGCAGCTGACCACTTTATCCCCGGCCTCTGCACCGCTTCCGGACCTTCAATCGCGAGCGCCTCATCCTCAGCCATAGGATCGCCTCACTCAGGAACAGCCCATCTTATTCAAGAGGAATGGATTCACACCACCAACGGCTTGGGACTCGCCGATGCTGTCATGGGTGGCATCTTCCCCCGCGAGTACTTTGGTGGCGCAACGGACGCGGATGGTCTCTATCAGAAGAAGTGGATCGAGAGTTGTGTCGGTTAGTACTCTCTCCTCCGAAAACAGGTTGACTCTAGTGCTAACTATGGAATTGCCGGACAGATCCTTCGGTAATCCAGCCGAATCCTCAGCAATGCCACCTTTCACCACCCACCATCTCTTTCCCCGAGCCGTCCGATTACATTCTACAGGAGGGCTTCTTTCCCCAATCTCCCAATCCATCCCACTACCAGCTCGAGGAGAGCTACCCTACGACGCAGCCATTCCCACAACAGCGGGCTGAGTTCTCGACTGCTTCTCCGTTTCCCACCACTCCTCGTTCCTTGCCTGTCGCCGCCTCCCAGCGAAGGTCATCCGTGGCCTCAGTGCGATCTCGCCTGTCTCAGCCAAGTCCGGCCTCGAGCATCCACGAGTCAGATGATGAGACCAAGGAGAAGGGCAGATGCCCTCATCCAGATTGCGGACGAGTGTTCAAGGACCTCAAAGCTCACATGCTTACTCACCAGTCCGAGCGGCCCGAAAAATGTCCCATCGCGACTTGCGAGTACCACATCAAGGGGTTTGCCCGCAAGTACGACAAGAACCGGCACACTCTTACCCACTACAAGGGAACGATGGTGTGCGGGTTCTGTCCTGGATCCGGGTCGCCCGCCGAAAAAAGCTTCAACCGGGCGGACGTCTTCAAGCGCCATCTGACTTCAGTGCACGGTGTTGAGCAAACACCCCCGAACTGCCGCAAGCGAACTCCTGTGGCTTCAACCACCAAGGATGCGCCCAGTCATGGTGCCGAGCCCACCGGCAAATGTTCAACGTGTTCCATCACCTTCAGCAACGCACAGGATTTCTACGAGCATTTGGACGATTGTGTGCTTCGTGTGGTACAACAAGAAGAGCCTAGCGAAGCCATCAATCAGAAGCGGCTTGCGGAAGTGGAAGCCGACGAGGAGGTGAAGAAGACGATGGAGAAACACATGCTGCTCGACACGGCTGGTACCGTTGATCGATACAGTGACGAGAATGACGACGATGACGATGACTTTTACGAGAGCCCCAATCAGCGACTGGCCAAGAACTTTCTCCGAGTGCCCCGAGGTAATCCAGCTGCCGGCGCTCGCGCGATCCTAGGCAGCGGGAACGCCGTCACCAAGTCCTCCGCCAACAAAATGCGTGCCACTGCGATCAAGCGGCGAAACAACCGTGACCGGTATCCGCAGTCTTGGGGCTGCCCAAGCAGCAGCATCAAAACCAAGAAGCGCGTTCTCTGCGTCTTCGATGGTCAGCGTCGGTTGTGGAAGGATGAGATGATGCTCGACAACGATTTCGAAGTCCGCCTCAAGCTCCCCGGTGGCGCAGGAGATGGCACGACCCGGGAGGCCTACGTGACCGACCTGGACGTCGAAACCCTGAAGCGTGCTGAGGGTGTGTTGAATGCCAACGATGAAGAGCGCGGGCCATGGCTCAACGGGCCATCCACGCATCTGATCGGTCGGCCAGCCGTCCTTCTGCCCGACGTTGCTCATCCGCATGAGGGAGAGCTTGACCTCGACGAGTTGATGTCCTAAAAAATCCAAAATTAGGGTGCTTTGATCTCTCTGCCTTGGATTCTGCCTCTGCATAGTTGTCTCGTTTTGTCTTCCGGTTTTGCGTACCTTGTTCTTTGGAAAGCGACCTGATATTCCTGTGTGACTGCCTTGAAAATCCTGACTGATACCATCATGTCCTTGTTACTTGAGCCCATTTTCTTTATATACCTACTGTTTCTGTTTATATCATACTGTATTATATCATATCCCAATTGGTTGAATACCACCCCGGCTGGGCCGAGGGTGTATTGGGAGCCATGAAGTAAAGAAATTGGCATCCTCAACATTGCCATCTCATGAATCCCGCTGCATCCATTCTTATAGAATAATTGTGTCCATATGTGGCAGTTGGTACTCGAGCAGACAATTGATTGAACCACTATCATCACAAGTCTCTGGTCATAGTCAACTATCACGTGCACCATCAAGCTTCATCCATCTCTCGGCTTCTTCTTCTTCTTCCTCACTCACTTTATATACAGATCGCTTCATCAAACAAACTGACACCTCTTCAATGCAATTGGAGACACCCACCCACTTCAAACCCTAGGACCATAATCTAGGATAAACAGATCCCCTCTTGTCTAGACACTGACACGCCTGTTCAAACTCCTCTTTAGATTTGTATTCCACGAGAAAGACAAGAAAGAGATCCTCCGCTCAGTGACTGTGGGAAAGAGCAATCAATGGTAGTTTAGGTGGAAGGAACCACCTCCCGCTCGAAACTGGCTCTCATTTTTTCTTCTTTCTTTCGGCCAAGAAAACCAACTACCTCAAGAGATCACACTATGCACCTCACACCATTTCTTCTTGCACGTGGCGTTCCCAAACAGATACGAGCCTCCGTTATCGTATATATAGCGAGCAACGTTCTTCCATGACACTTTGGGCGGTAGGATGGTACTTCGAGATCGATAATCACAGAGGTAAGGACACGCCTGCCTGCCGCCGTATGCCAAACACGACACGGCTTCACAAAGAAGTTCGATCTGCACCAAAAAAGAAACGAAAGGATATGTTAGCCCGATGACTCAAAACTTTTGCGATGGCAAAGGGGCAGCACAGGAGGGCTTACATCTTTTTCGAGCCACTGCGGCTTCCTCACACGCGAGCCTTTGGGCTTGGTCAGAGTACGATATCTGCCCCGTAGCGTCGATTCAGCCTCCTTGAACTTGCAAGCTTCCTTTATGGCCTTGTAAGACCAGCCTCGTTGCTTGTATTGAATAAGGAGATCGTTCTTCAGCTCGGAAGCGCCAGTGGGTTTTTTGAGTGCTTCTACATCAACAGTGGTCGTTGTATCGATGGGCAGCAGCGGCGGGAGCGGAGGGACGAAGGTAAGAGTGTCTCTGTATTGAGAATATGTGGAGACTGACTGAAAATCGGTTGGCCCCTGACTCGATATCTGTCTGCCTTGGCCCAAGACTAACTGGGGAAAGCCGAACTTCCCTGTATATACTCCAGCTAACGAGTCCGGAGTATCAGACAGCCTGACAGGGCTGGACTGAAAGCTGTCGTCGGAGTGATCCGACATGGAAATCAGCTGGTCGAAGGCGCTACCCAAGTCACCATTACATGAAAAGCTTGTACTGGACAGACATGGTGCGGCGAATGCACCTACACTGCGGTTGACATCCATGCAGTGTGCCGCACATGTAGCTGGGGCTTCGGGTATGGGCCAAGTAATGGGGCTGCTGGCATCGCTTGTGCTCTCTGCACCTTGGAAGCCACTGTCGAATGTTGTAGCAGAGTTATGATCTGGTGACCATTCGACTTTCGAAAGCGAGACTTCAGTGATACTGTTGTTCGTCGGCTCAGGGTCCTGAAGCAAGGCTCCACCGCAATGGCAGCTCCACAATTTCTCACTGGGTTGGTCACAATGTGCGACGAGATTGTCTCTCGGGGTATCTTCCGAGTCCAAATACGCAATAGCGATGGGATCATCGTCTGCGCACGTCGCTGGGGGGAAGGTCACAATTGTCCCGGGTGGTGCTTCTATGGTATGAATAGGCTGCCTGGGTTGACTGCAGTTTGTTCGCAAGGGGTCCCGTTTGGCAAGTGGCAGTGCGTATGAGCAAAAGTCCTCCGCTAAAATTGGAAGGCCGTGTATAATATAGGATGGATCTTCATCCTTTCTCGAATCTGATGCAGAAGGGTAGGACGACCAGTATGAGACGTCTTTCTCTTTGATTGAGTCCGAGATGATCATGAAGGTGTTTGTCATCTCGATATCTTCCGAAGAACGCGGGTCGATCTCCATTGGATGCCGCAGTTCCTGATTACTGGGCTGGCCAGGTAACAATAATAAGCTCAATCCGCCGAGTATATGTCGAAGCACAGGAATGAGTCCAACTCACCCACGGTAAAGTTGACCGGGCCTTAACGATAAACGGAGATGTTTACCAAGATATCTGATTCCAGGCTATATTTATCGTCAAGCAAGACAGGCGGCGTATTTTAAGATGCCACACACCGTTCTCGCGTTCAGTTCACCGCTCAAGCCTTTTGCTATTCGTATAGTCTTCTGGAATTGTGGCATTGAAATTTGATACCGAATAATGCGCGTTGTCGAACGTATCAGGACACCTGCAGGGAACGATGCGGTCACTCAGCACAACGAATTCTGGATGGAAAGGTTTCACTTTTGGAATTGCGGTCAACTTACTCAGAACATAGATCAGACGATTGGTCTGTTGCACTCCGAGGCGATATTTTGTTTCAATGCCTTGACCTTCAATGAGTCCCAATTGAAAGCCTAGCCCCTGCTGTGTTTCGCTCCGAAAGAAACAAAAATGCACGAAGAAGAGGACAGTGATGTGAGTGATAATGGATATGACAAGGAACAGGCCACTACCGAATGTACTCAGTCAGCAGTGCTATCGCCGTTTTCCTGCCTGGCAGTATGATTGTCTTGGTCGCTTTCCGCCACTTGGTCCAACAACCAACGATGTCTCAGTCACCGTCAACGCTCTTTGTGGCAAGCAATTTTGCTCCAGCACAACCAACGCAATAGGATTGTCACAATATACAATGATTTCAGCGAAAGACAATGTCTCTTGTGGCAGAGATGATATCGGGTCGTCCGAAACGCGAACGCTGGCACATGAAGAAAAAAGATAGTAGGTTCAGAGCAGACTCAAGATCAGTGCTTAAGCTCGTCGAGAGAAGACAACAACGATTTGCCCCTTAAGTTATCTTCTAGATTCCAAATCCCTGGCATCTTCGTGATTCTGCGATATGGAAAATGAAATATTTCCATACTTCCGGAACCACCTTTCTTGCCCCATACAGCACGCTATTGTGGCCCCCTTCCACACCCCGGGACCTAGACATTGAAGGCCGAAGCATCCCTCCATCTAGGTGAACGCAAAGGGTGTAAACAGCACCAGTAAAGGCTTAACCTCGACGACAAGGCTCCAATCCCAGCCTTTCACTATACTGGATTTCCACAAGGAAAGATCAGCCGTGGTCTTCGTCTGGAAGGATCCGTAAGCCAAATGGGAGCTCATCTCGTGGCGTCAGCGACAATGATCAAGACTGACAAGGGTCTTCGTCGATTGGTCAGATTATGATCAGGATTTTCCGTCTGTCAAGAAGTTTTTCTGGATCACAGACCGAGTCTTGACCGACGTTAAGCTGAACTTGATTCATCATTGGGTGTGGTTGTTTTGGCTGTGCTAGACTTCAGTCGGATACGTACATATAGGGCTTTGTCCTCTTCCCTTACCTCATCCACCCGACGTTTGATCGGAGAATTCATCAGAATTCCCCGGTAGATCAGCAAGCATACCCTTTCTCCCTTGGCCGAGCTCCCTTTTTCTTTTTTCCTTTTCTTCATCACTTTGCTTTTTCCTTGCTGTGAGTGGGCCTGAGAAAAGCCTTCGCATCCCTCTTGCTTCCCCGGGCACTCCCCGGCTTTTTCCACTCTACAAGTGACTACGAACGTTCCTGCATCTGCAGGTCACTTCCGATCTTGATCTTCTACCCATGTTATTTACAGGGAGCCGGGGAAAGCACGACCACCCCCGGAAACTAAGAGACAGAGCTCGAAAGACTGAGATCCCTTTTCTCACGTATGCATCCCGCGATCCGAACAACAACCAGGATATATCCTCATCTCTTCCAACCCACCTTCAAACGTCCCTGCTTCCCGGTCCAATCAGAAAAAGCCTAGAGTGACACAGTCAGAGCTTACAACCCGGTGGGTAAACACTGACTGGCACATGTACAATACCCTTCGATCCGCTTGGCTCGTGCCAGTCGACAGTCGCAGAGAAAAAGAAAGGAGGAGAGAAGACAGATACGTACGAAAAGACTAGACCGGGCCAGATGAGATGATGGCGATCTATCGGTCTACAGTCCTTCACATCCCCCCGCCCTTCTCCCCCACCGCACAAAGGCACGATCTGACTGTTGGTCTGTCTGTGGCTTGATCTAGCTTGACCTGCTTTCCCCTGCGCGTGGCCCTATTCAGTATGCCTGCTACCCTTCCTCCCGCTCTACATATCCGTCATTCTTGCTGCTGGCGGCTGTCGGTAGGCGTTCCACCTTCCTTTCCCCAGCCCTTCCCCCAAAATACCCCTTCATCCATCCCCAACCCATCGCCCAATATAGTGTCCTACCAGGCATAGGGCTTGCTTCAACTCCACTATCCCCCGTCTCCGTTCGATTCTAGCCCTGACCCTGGCCACTTTGCCCCCGCGACCCCCTACCCCTGTCCGGGATCTTCCCATGGTACTGACCCATCTACCTATCCATCATGTTCATCTATCCATAACCCAACCGGACCATCCTCGGAAGCCAAGCAGGACAAACCTAGTAAGAATGCGAGGCAATTTCTGACCCAACGACCAACGGGAACTGGGAAATAAGGATCTTGGTAGTTTTAGGAGAAGGATGGCGGGGTGGGTAGGAGGGGAGAGGGTGGGAGGTTGGGTACCAATTGTCACACTGCCAGGGTATCCGTACATAGGTACGTAGAGTGCTGGCTACGGCTACCGGGTTCATCGTCTTTTTGAAATGTCTCTCCCTCTCTCTCCTCTCTCTAGAAGAAGAAGATAAGGTGATGAGATGATCCAGTGATTAGTATTAGTCCCTTCAAGCCTTTTGCAGTCCTTTCTTTTCCACCTTCCCCCTCCCCAGTGCCCATTATCCGTACCCCGGTCTCGTGCAAACATAACCTTCCATTACATCCAGCCTGAGAAAAACTCTCTCTCTCTCTCTCTCTGTGTGTGTGTGTGTGTGTGTGTGTGTGCTTTGCCCTTCCAATCATCCAATCCACGAGATTCGGGCGGGAATTTCTAATGAAGACAGACAAATGCGGGTCTGGAGCAAAATAGAAAAATGGAAACAAACGACACTTGGAGGGAGCATGGAACCGCTTGTTCTTTTTTGGTTTCATGTCTGTTCCCGTGGCTGCGGACCCGGTTTGCCAACAGACCAACCATGCTAGGCCTCGCCAGCATTGCGACAGTGGCGTCTTGGTTCAACTTGTTCGTCTTGTTCTTTGATCGTTGGAGACAAGGTCACTGCGACTTGGGGGCGTGGCCTAGATGAATGATCCATCACGCGTAAGATGCTACGCGGCCACGGTCTACTCCGCAAAACCCACCCCCTACTTGGTGTGTTCTACCCGTGGTCTTTGTCCAAAATGGAGGAATCCCCAATTTACAGTCCGTCGTCTCCTACGCATGTGGAAAGTTCTACATTGATGGTCGGCAGTGACGATGAGTAGAAATGTATTCTTGCAAACTCAAGTGGCGACAGTGTGGGATAAACCGAATTGGTCACTCTTGCCCCTAGAGATAATATAGAGAAGATTCCGTCCAAGTGGGCCGAGCGAGCACCGGAGGCGCTCTGATAGGACCACCGTTCGGAATGCCTACCAAAGAACTTCGCCTAACTGCTTCCCTTTCTTTTTAGGCTTGATGCGCTCACCATGACGGTCCAAAAATCGGTCAGCCAGAAGTACTGTAACGCGACTTAGTAAACCAGCTTGATAACAGTATAGCGATGGCCAAGACTTACCTGAGAGTAAAATAAGCGTAAAGGCGTAGAGAATAGCCGGAGACGTCATGAATGAATATACGAGCGGGAAGTGTCGAGAGAAGCTGATCAGGGCAGCTAAGAGTATTCCAAAACACACACGAACTGCCGCGCTAATGGCGGCACAGATACCGCGAGCATGCCGACGCGTTAGCAACACGAACGTGGCGAACAAGAACATTGCGAGAGCGGCAACGACAAAATAATAGACATAGACAAAGCTTAGGAGTTCCATGTACATCCGTAGTAAGCGATCACTGGTCATCGACCCAATGTCTGCTTTCTTGGAAGGCATGATACCCATGCTGGAGAACAAAGCCGCTGTGACATTTCCGACCAGATTGCTGAGAAGGTCACTAGTGACGGGAAAATCTTCTGGCGCATCCGACGGGCATAGTGGTTGATGTGGAAGATCATCCAAAATTTGAGAGATTGAGATCTGTTCATTGATCGCACCCCGGCTATAGTTGATCTCCATATCGGCAATGGTTGTCCGCAGCAGGTGGATGGCATCTTCCGTCATGGGTCTTGGCTCTTCACAGGTCCACAAAATAGTTTCAGTCAGGTACTTGAGCTTCAGAGTGATGTCCAAAGTCAAAGCAAGGATCTGGGAGCCCTCGAGCAGAAGAATGAGAACGACATGGAATGGGAAATGGAGCTGGGCCCAGATCTGCTGAGAGAGCTTCCCCATGGTACGCCGCGGAGAAAGATCGAAGTACGCTTGCCACAGAAAATACTAATCCAAAGAGGTTAGCATGTCTTGAACTAGACAAGGAAGCAGGTGGCTAGACCCATACCACACTAGTTGTGACGCCGAGAATATGAGCAAACGACCACTTAGTCCATCCGCCCGGCCCGACTGTCTTGTTGACAATTCTGGTGATCGCGATGACGCCTTCACCAATGATGATCAAAGTCAGTAGCCCCATCCTGACGTTCAGATGTGTGTCTTGAAGACCGATCCCAGATTTGACAGACGACGTTCCCATAACTACCCACATCTCAAGGGCGAACATGATGAACCAAATCGTCCAGGCATAGGTACTACCCACGCCATGGCTGCGGAAAGCGAAGTACATCTATTGGCGGGTCAGATTGCCAGCACAGCTGTAGTTTGTTACATGGAAACTCACCCACAAGTATATAAACCCTGTAATGAATAGTGTCGTAGCAATGAAATAGACCCTTTTGGCTGCAGATCTCATGCGTTTGCCCAAAAAGACGGCGTTGACAGTGTATTGTATCGAGAGTAAAAGCCGACTCACACCGAGGATCAGACTTAAAGATTGAAAAGCCCAGATGTTTTCTTCTCGCACTCTGGTAGTAAATCGAGTCCCTGCCGACGCAAACTCCACCATCACGGCCAATTGAATCGCCTTGCAGATTCGCTCAAATATAGAGTCACGAGCAAATCGAATATCAAATAATGTCACTTGGAGCCAGGTGAACCAGACGACCCCGAGAAAGCCAACATATGCCCCAAGTGCTGCCATAAGATGTCAGACTGAGATCAGCATGATTGCACTGATGAAAAGCCCGGGTCCCACCTTCTACGTTATTGATTTCATGCGTGGCTGTGAAAGTCGAGAGATTGGCAACGAAGAAGAGGTCAAAGAATAGTTCAATTGGGGTGGCATCGGAGTGGCGATAGAGATGAGGAGGATCTCCATCTTTTTCATCAATAGGCGATTCGATAAAGGGAATCACGCTCCGCTGGCATCTGAGTTTTGCTGGTCAGTCAAAGCACAATCGCGCTGTAAATGAATTGGCCTACTGCGTAGGTTCTTCCTCCTCAACGCCCTCGGCTTTACGCAATGGTTGACGAAACCACGAGAGAAAGAGTGACGGAGTCATGTTTGAGTGGTTTAGCAAGATAATAGACGATCTCTTGCGGGTATCACAGGAAGATAAACATGCGGTTGTGATGTGATGGCCATTTGAAACACTCAAACACTGGCTTGACGATAGGACAGATAGAGACAAGGGCGCTGCCCGCCTGTCACGGCAGGAGCCAAGGGCATTGTCCATGCATAGAGAACTAATCAAGGTAGTTACACCTTCAGGACTCCTGTTCCGAGGCACTTGCCGAAGGTGCTATTGATGCGCCAAGACCTTCCAGACCGCGAGAGTTCGCAAAGTCGTCAGCTGCTGATTGATTGCCTTCGACACCCGACGATGCCTCAGCCTCCTGCTTGAGCTTCTCGTAAGTATCTCCAGCCTCTTTGATTAAGACCTGGATTTCCACCTCTCGGACGGCTATGTCCGCCTTTTCCTTTCGCAGTTCTTCCATGCGATCGACCATTTGTGCCTTAGACTTTTCCAGGACGGCGAGGTTCATACGTAGCCGCTCAAGGGATTGAGCGAGACGCGGAAGTGAGGTGACTTTTGGTGGCGTTTTGGGCCGATCAACACCGTCTCGATGGCTGTTTCCCATGGCAGCTCGTGTTTGCTTTGCTTCGTAGGCCGCCTTTTCTTCCACGTCCGAATCATCTTCTTCGGAGAGTGCTTCGGCGTCATCAATGAGCTCGCGTATCTCCTCGCGCTGCCGTCTCTGTTGTTCGCGCTCTGCTTTCCTTCCAAGAGATATGCGGCCATCTTCTACGAACTCGTCGAATCCTTCCGCGAAATCCTCGTCGTCGCGAACCAATCTTGTATCTTGAGGCTCCTCCCGTCGACCCTGTAGTTCCCAGTCGTCATCGTCGCCATCAACTTCAAGGGAGATGAAGTCCTTTTCCGTTTTCGAGAGACCCCCGTGTTCCTTCGCCAGACGTGCTCTCCGAGCTTTCTTCTCCCTGATCTCGGCTTCACTAGGAATAGCAGCCGGCGCCGATACATTCATAACTTCCCCAAACTTCACGGCCACGTCGATTGTCTTTTCCTTCTCCTCCTCGGTACTTGTCGCTTTCGGGGTTGATGGTGTGGACTCGCGCAGTTCCTTCAAATATTCCTGATTGTAGCTCGGCCTATCCTGCTCGGGTCCCACCCTCAGGGAAGGAGGGTTACCGGCACCGGAAGGAGTCAATGACCTCTGAAAGGCGCTCTTTTCCAAGACCCGTCTACCGAGACCGTGTCGCTTCGGCATCACTACCTCGCTTTCATTGTCGCCATTGCCGCTATCGTCCGTCATCGACGTCTCACCCGGTCCGAAAGAGAGCCGTAATTTCGACTTTTGTTTCGCTTTCAAATTCGTCGGACGCTTGACAATAGGTCCGGAGTCTAAAGCTAGTCAGATCTCGTGTAGTTTCAAGGCGCTATCTCAAGAGCTCAGCACGAACCTTGCTCCCCGCCGTCGCTGTCTTCATCCCCTCCGATTTTGCGGGGTTTCCGGCGATTGGCAATCCTTGAACTCATTTTCAAAAGACCGTGCGAGTAATAGGAAGCTCTTTCTTTCTAGAATAGCGAAATAGCTTCAAAAAACAAAAGGCAGTTTGATATCTGCCGGATGGTACTGTCTGACCTCCGCGCCATCTTCTTTGGAGCTTCCCGGGAACAACCTTTCTCCGGGCCAGCTTATCCCTCCTTCCGCCGGCCTGTACGTCAAAAGTCCGCAACGCGACCAGATCTCCGGCCGTACATAATAACCAAATAAAATCAGCCAAAATGCCTCAAGCTCAGCCAGAATTGAAGAAGGTATCTATCATATGCTCTTTTTTAACCTGCTGCTCCAACTCGGGAAAGAAGGTTCGCTGACCTGCCTACGTCTCTTTTCTATTTAGTACATGGAGAAGCGGGTATATTGCCAACTGAATGGCAACCGCAAAGTCATTGGTATCCTGCGCGGCTACGATGTGCGTATCTAAATCCGGTTTCAATTGGCTGGACATCTCGAAAGTGCAGGGCCTCGTCTCTGGCTCGGCTGGAATGCAGCTCTTCCGGTATGGGGATTATGTCACTGACGCACGTGAATGGCAGGTGTTCATGAACATTGTGCTTGATGAGGCTTTCGAGGAGAAGCAGGGTGGAGAGAAGGTTGCCATTGGCATGGTGGTACGTTGGTGATGTTGTGGCTTCTGACCAAATCAAATCAAAGAAGCTGATGAGAATGTCTAGGTCATCCGCGGTAACTCCGTTGTTATGCTTGAGGTTGGTCTTCCGGTTCCTGTCACCGTCGTCGCATTGACTAACTTACTGTGTCACTCAGGCTCTGGAGCGTATAAGCGACAAATGAGAGACTAAAGGCGCGCGGAAACTGAATGTCTTTTTATACCTTCATCGTGGGATTGTTTTGATGCAATAAGGAGTTCACGGATTGGTTGCTCACATGGCATGATCGAAGGCATTTTCATGTATTTGACTCTCTGGCTACGAGAAATTCACGGTCTTAATGAAAAAAGTAGGGCTTGGAATCTCGTGAGGGTAAATTTGCTGAAGAAATGATCCTTGACAGCCAGACTGATCATCATTTTACAAAGCCTGGACCCCAATCCAACAGATAGGCGCCTCAACTAGATGTCGTTTAAGAATGATCCAGAATAGAGGGAAGGCTCTTCTAGAGTACAGAATATGTCAAAATGAAAGCAATGATCCATGCACTCCCGCCGCGCCATGCGTCTCCTGACCTGACCCCTTTCCGAAGTCCCAATAAGTCAACGAATTAGGCAAATAATGGTATCGAGTGCGATTGAGGAAGACTATTTCGGCTTCTGGCCGAACTTCAGTTTTAATTTGAAACCACCACCACTGGGAGTGGAGGGAGTTGAGGGAGCAGTTGTTGTCCTCTGTGGCGGCGCCTGGAGCGCAGGGGAAGGCAGGTTGGGAATGTGCAACCTAGGCGTCGTTTGCGAGCTCGGTCTCGGGCTGAAAGGAGTCACACCGGGACCCTGCTTAGGGTTCTTGAATGTGATGCGAGGTGCGGGCGGCACCATTGCCTGATCCTCGCGCTTGCGCTTTGCGGCTGTGGTGTCTTTGGATGGAGCAAGCGTCGTCCGGATTTTGTTTGACCGGAAGAAATGTAAACGACCCTGTGCGGTATTAGCAGGTAGTTCTGGGCCGCTGAACACTGTACAGTGTAACTCACTCTTCCAAGATGCTTCACAGCCCAATAGTGAGGATACTTCAGAGCGACCATGCGGGACGTCACAGCATCATATAAGACTCGACAAAGATCTGTAAACTCTGAGAGCTCAAGCACGCCAATGTATGGAGAATTGCATGCAGCCCAGAGGGATTCTTTCAAAACTTGATCGCCCGATATCTCATTCTTCAGAGCCCCCAACGCTCCGGTAACGGTCTGTCTTCGCGCAAGATCCGCTTGACGGACTTCAGTCGAGGATTCCTGCTCAATGATCAGATTATCGGCGTTCGTCGGCTGATCTTGGTTCTGGTCACGGCCGAAGGCGACAGGAGCCAGGGCTTTACCAAATAAGCCGTGGAGTCGCCGTCTCACCAAGGCGGAAGAATCGCTTGACATGGTGAATATGAACCACCGCAGCAGTTCAGGGTTCCGGAATAGATCGAGCTCAACAAGACATTCGAACGCATCGAGACGAAGAAGGTCGTAAGTTCCAGCTCGCGTATACGGCAAAAACTGCATCACGTCGAGATTCAAAATGTCTGCTTGCATTAGTTGCATCTGGCAACGTAATGCGGCGCGGGAATAGATGTTCTGGAAAGAGCTAGACCATTCATCCATCCTTCTATACCTATCGATCTCCGCAATGGCGTCTTTCTCCAATTGATCCTCTGCTTGGGTTTCGAGCACACGCTCCATATCAAAATCGTCGATATCATCCATGCGAGACTCGACCTTTCCTAGCATTGCATGGCAGAGCGATTCCATCAACGTCGCTACGTAAAAGTTGTCCGAATACTGTAATATCATGAGCATAGTCACATGATAGGCAGTAAAAGGGATTAAACCCACCTCATTATTGGAGTTGTCATTGAACTTCAACTTGTCATACAGGAAGCGTTTCACCCTCATTGGCGTCTTGCCACTGTTGTCGCGGACTTTCGATATGGCTTCTGGGATGATTAGTTGAAGGACGTATGCGGCTCTATCGGAGAAGTCATTTGAACGAGTCATCGGAGACCCCGGAAGGCAGAAAAGCTCTTGAAAAGCTCTTTCGAGATGAAACAACCCTAGCCAGTTGATCTCTTCTTTGGCATGCTTGACCAAGGCTTGAGCGGCAGCCACGCGGATGCCGTAGAAGTATCTCCGGTCCATAAGGGTTCGGACAAAGATGGACGAAATCAGCGGATGCTCTCGCTGAACCGCCATATATTGCAGTGACTGATCGAAGGGTTAGCATATGAATAATGACAAGTACGGGACGAGCTGACCTCCAATTGAGCAATGACATCTCGATCCTGCTGGAGTTGTGAGAGATACATGTACCCTGGCATTGCCAGTGATAACTTGCAAACCCATTCAAAGTCTGCGTCCATGCGAATCCACTCGTAAGATTCCTGTCCCATTCTCTCTTCGTCTTCTTTACTCCAATCAGCGAGCCTCCATTCCTGGATCTCTTCTTCGCTTTGAAGTACGTCGCCCAGACAATAAAGCAAAACATCCTCCTGTGTCTCGACACCGGGGTCACCACCCGATGCCGCAGCTGCACGCTCCTTCTGCCTCTTGTTCCTCTTTAGCCGCTTGTACTTCGTGTTATAGGGAATGTCGAACTTAGTGACGCCTTCTTTGATCTCAACAATATGTTCGTAAGGGGTACCATCAGCTTCGTGAATCCTAATAGTCATAGAACCAGTAAACACAGGCTGGACAACGCCCGCATACACGTTGCGTATCTCCTCCTTGACATCACGCATAAACGCATTTTTGTCCAAATCACGTGTACTTGAAGGGTCTGCTTGGACTTGTCTTATCATCATCTCAACAACGAGCTTCTTCTTATTGAAGCGCTGCGTGGCTTGGAATCGGGGACACCCAGCGCCGTATACCCACTGCTGGAAAAACGCATCAAGTTTCGCGTGACCGAGCCGTTCACAAGTCTTCTGGAAAAGTGAGCTGGTGACAGCTCCATTCGGTATGTCGCCCATTCGGGAGTTCAAGAACAATCGAGATATGATGCGGGACATTGTTGCCTTTCCGCTAGCCTTCGTGAGCCGTCGGTCTAGGATGAACAAAACCAGGGGAGCTTTGAGCGCGATGAATTCAATCTCAGAAGGGTCTATTTGCAGGATGTTTCCCATGTCATGGATTGAGGGCCGCTCGTAGTCAAGGTCACAGACTTTGTCAGACATCTGTTTCAGCCGGAAGCGGTATTCGTTGTTGCCACAAAGCTTCCGCATGAAAGTATCCGTGATGTACCAAGAGACGCCAACGGTAACCCAGGTATCTGCAGGTTCCTTTGGAACGATGTTGACGCCAATCCACTGGGATGCAAGAGCATGAACCAAAGTACGAGTCGAATCATACATCGGGTCAATGACTTCTTCAGGAAACAGAAGGTGGCTGCTGCAAATGGACAGACAGGCTGTTGGCAGCGTGCCTTCAGGCAAATCATCTACGAAGCAGATCTTGTAGCTTGAAAATGGATAGGAGCCGTATGAGAGTGAGAAGAAGTCTATAGCCTTGGCCATAGGGAAACATGTATTGCGTACCTCGTCCGCCCTGCCGGGAAGACAGAACGCGTGCAGAGGAATCGCATTTTGACCGAGCTGTTCATCCTGATCACTTTCGCGAAAATCGGCAAGGTTGACATACTCGAATGGGCCAATCGCAAACCCAACCTGCTGGGCCGAAAGAGGGGAGTAACAAGCGAACGAGACCGTTTTCTTACTCGGGTCCTTCGGGTCAACGATCTCGTCTGTTAGCTCGCCAGAACAGACAACAGCCACATCCAATGCCTCGTCATCCGAGGCAATGTATCGGTCATGCCCGGTGGCATTTGGTCGGTTGGAATTGGTCACACTCGATTGATCTCGAAATTTGCGATCAAACATATCGCCTAGCGTGCATGGGCATTTGATCGATATTTCCCAAGGACAACGTGATGCAGGGTCATCCACACACGGGAAAAGAGAACATCCAACTCCGTATCCAAGAGAGTTTGTTGTGTAGGCGTGGGGGTAACGTCTGTCGCCGTTTTCTACCCCGACGAACTGTAACCCGTCTCGTATATTGTCGGTGACAAATTCAATGTACATCGTCAATGCCGTGAATTGAGGAAGTGAGGTCTCCGTTGCCTTAGAGCTCAAAGGCCCTTCTGCCTCATCCGCTGCTCCTGTTGCACGTAGTGTCATCTGGTCCTGGGCTTCAGTGGAGGTGGGGTCAAGTTCTTCAATCCGAACGCTTTTTGGGACCGACACGAGCAACTCGGGCTCTGGCGGCGTCTTGAGTAGTCCATCTATCTTGGCTGAAAGACGCTGGTGATAGTGAGGACCATATAGTTGCAGATTCTCATATTGATCCACATATTTGACAGTCGGTACTTTCCCACTAACATTCAGACGCCTCAACTCGCCTTGTCGGAAGTTCAGTCGTATAACGCGAAGATCCTTGTGATGCGGGTGGATGGTAATCGTGGTTTTGCCCTTTAGACTCTTGGTCGCGAAGTCGATTTCAAGATCAACCTTCTGATGCGCGACAGTGAAGCCCAGGTCCGGCCTAGAAGCCCCGACTGGGGGCTCGACGACGCCTGGCATGGCGCAGGGTATACTCAGTCGTGCACTGCGCCGCGAGCGCCACACTGACCATCCACCGTCATGTCCAGGCTCAAAGAGCGACGAAACCGATATGTGATATCACTTTATCTTCACGTCAGACGGACTGCGGAGTGGAAGTCGGCGGCACGGTCGAAGAAAAGGTAGGCGGCTGGATAGGTAGGACGAGCTTCTAACGGCGGGGAATCAACACGAACAAGGCGGAGCGAGGCGAGCTCGACTTGGGTAGTACCTTTTTCGTCGCGGTATCAGGAGCGAAAATTCACTCTCCAGCAGCAGGACCCGGCAAGGGTGTCGAGAAGAAACAACACTGCAACAAAGAAACTGAGTTCACCTCAATTACTCTCCATGTCGCGTTTCCAGCGTCGAAAGCCTGCGGAGCACGGAAGTAGACACGTGATTCCGTTCCCGTTTCCCGTTCCTCTCTTCCTCTCCCGGCCCTTGGTTTCTTGGTCCCGGATCATCCAACGCTTGGCTCTCCTTTTTCTTTTGTCCGACTTTTGTTCTTTCCACCCAAGCAGATTTGAGACAGGACTTTCTGCTCGCCGTCTTCACTGCCCTTGGCTGCTTTTCAAGCGTTCGGCACTACTTTACTAGAAGCAGGGTTCAGTGGTATACTGAGGATCCTTGATCGTTATCAAAAACAATCCCCTCCATCTCAATTGCATTCCGCGCAATGCGCCATATTTGCCTACTCTAATTCATTTCCCGAAACATTCTTCGTCATACATATAACAACCCAGGATGAGCGTAATCTTCAGAAAGATCCAAGGTTTGTCCACACAATTCCGCCTCAGTATTGTCCTCAGCACCGCGCTTGTATAGAGCTAATTGGCCTTGCGCACCTTCGTAGCGATCCAAGACTCGCTCTCCGATGACATCTTGATGCCCCTCAAGAGCTACAAATACCAGAGCGTCGACAAATCTTACATCTCGAATTATATACTAAGACACTACGTACGATTGCCCTTCAAGCTTGTCGTCGCCCACTTGTCTGACCCCGGCGCCGTCGAATTAGTGGAATGCATTTGTTGAGATTTTACCACTCTGGTTGGCCCCAAACATGGTCACCCTACTGGGTTTCCTGTTCATTGTTGGCAATGTGATGCTTATAGAGATCTATATGCCAGATCTTGTGGGCCCGGTAAGACCGCCATCTCATTAAATGCACTCAAAGGCTGAACAGTTTGACATCAAGGGTCCCTCTTGGTTATATTACAGCTTCGCTTTTGGCATGTGGATGTGAGTTCGCAGCCTTACTATCGATTTCCATGATGTGACTGACGGTCCCAGGTACTCAACTCTGGATAATGTAGATGGGAAACAAGCGCGCAGGACTGGAACTTCTAGTGGTTTGGGAGAGCTCTTTGAGTAAACACCCCTGTCTATGATTTGAAAGGGCGGGGGGGCTAATCTTCGACAGCCATGGTATCGATTCGCTCAACTGCACCCTGGCTAGTCTGCTTGAGACGGCAGCGATGGGTTACGGTTCGTCCCAACTAGGTGCCTACACAGCTCTGGTTCCGTGCCTCGCAATGTATTTCTCGACTTGGGAAACGTACCATACGCACACGCTTTACCTCGGTTATTTTAACGGTCCCACCGAGGGTCTTCTTATCGCAATTGCGATCATGGTCGCGTCAGGTATCTACGGTCCTCAGATCTGGTCCCGACCGATTGTTGAGTTCCTGAATTACCCACAAATCTTTGGCAACAACTCCATGAAGGATCTTTGGATCCCGATTCTCCTTGGATCGTTTTTCCTTGGTCACCTTCCTGGTTGTGTGCTCAATGTTGTGGCTGCGCGCCGGAAACAAGGCCTGCCGATTACCCCCATCTTCAAGGAATGGGTGCCCATGATTGTTTTCACTGGCTGTAATCTTGCCTGGCTTTTCTCCCCATATTCGACTCTCTTAGCCCAGAACCGACTGGTTCTGTACTGCTGGACCATCTCTTTTGTCTTTGGGCGCATGACGACAAAAATTATCCTTGCTCATTTGCTGAGACAGCCATTCCCTTATTGGACGGTGCTGCAGACACCACTTATTGGAGGCGCTGTCCTGGCTAATCTGCCACGTGTGGGCCTTCCAATGGTGAGCGCGTCTTTCGAGCTTCTCTACTTGCGTCTCTACCTTCTGTTCGCGTTTGTCGTGTACATGCACTGGGCATTCCTTGTGATCAACCGAATCACCACTTTCTTGGGGATCAACTGCTTGACCATTCGCCGGGACAAGTCAGTCGCCAGAGAACAAGCCTATCGCGAGTTCGGAGAGGGCACACTTGCCCCTCTCAATCCTAGCACCGACCCCAGCAAAGGCGGCTACAAGAGCCATTAATGGTATTTACCCGGTGAATTGAAGAGCTTCAACTGTCAATACGTGTCCTCTCAGTACGTATATTCATGTGGCCCTTCTTTTTCCCTTCCATAAACCGATGTCGGGACAAAACGGAAAAGCGGTCTCCGGTCGAACTTCCTTGCGACGGATCAAGCGACTCGTTGGTCCAACCACTTCGGTGACGTTTGAGTTGTCCAGGCTCGATGATTTTCATGTTCTCTTTTCCCTTATGTCTGACATACCGATTGATGAACTTATGACTGCAGTAAATGGGACACGTGGACGAGCAGGGGCTAGTGATGGACAAGTGTCAGTATATATAGATCATAGACAGTATAATAGTAATGATTCGCAAAAGGCCTTACTCCTCTTCTCTGGTTTCGAATTCGCATTCGTTCAAAGCCCTGTAGAGACGCACCTCTCGGGAAAGAGTAGCTCCAGGTTGTCTAAGAGAGCGAGAGAGGGTCAAGTTCCTCGGTTAGTTTTTGATGCAACGATGGTCCCATCTACCTGCTAGTCAGACCTAGACTCGGGCAGTCATACCCAACTCCCTACTTTACCAACATGACCGGTGACACCGATAACACCCCATGTTTCTGATGAGGATGATAAGGCAATCTGATGGCTGGATCTAGTTTCTAGGACCCAGCGCATCCCTTGCACAAAACCCCTCTCCCCAATTCTAATCCTGAGGCTATCCTTCTCCGTTCTTAAGTGCTCATTTTTAGGTTATAAGATGGGCGATACCAAGGCGCCCTCCGCGCCTGCAATGGCGCAACCTTACGGCGATTATGGATCTGTCCAGGATGCAGACGAACTGCGTCTGGCGCAAATGGGTACGTTTGAGCATGAAAACAAACCCCTCCTCCCGGCGTTGGCCTATTGGAAGAATCACCTTTTTGACTTTCCGTTTGCTACAGGGCACAAACAGGAGCTCAAACGCCATTTCTCCTCTTGGAGTCTCATCGGCTTGGCCGCCAATTGTACCATTTCCTGGGCTGGTGAGTCGCAGACGAATCTACAATTGCGGCCCTCTCAGATGCGGTTTTTGGCCTGGAGTGGACGTTGGGCTGATACTCCATCTCTCAATTTTTTTCTGCTAGGGCTTGGACTAGGTTTGATTACCTCCATCAACGCCGGTGGACCTGGCGCACGTATGCGGCCCCCGCCCCTTCCCATGGCAACGTGGGGGATAAGATAGCCTGGACGGACAGTTGATTTGGTTATAGTGATCCGCGGGTTTATCCTGGTCTTCATCCTGCAGTGCTTCTTGGCCACCTCACTGGCAGAAGTTGTCTCGGCGTATCCGGTGTGAGGTGGGATGTACCACTGGATCGCACCGATTGCTCCCAAGCGCCATAGCGATGTGTTGAGTTTCGCGACTGGCTGGAGCACCGTTTTTGGATGTATGCAACCCTGGTGCATGGTGCAAGTAAACACCCGGCTGTCGATTTGCTGATTCTTCCAGGAATCTTCACCACCGTGTCGACGAACCTGGTCTACGCGTCAACTTCATGGCCCTCATTGCCTGATAAAAGACCGACTTCGTGCTACAGCCGTGGATGACATTCGTTACGTCCCAGGGCTTCAACCTGGTAACGTGCGCCATTGTCATGTTTGGGAATAGGTGGATTCCGGCAATCAACAAATTCTCTTGTAAGTGGATTTTTGGGTCGATTCCATTAACTCAATCCCGCGGATTGACATTTCCTGACCGTTCTTGATAGTATGCTATCTCCAATTGGCTTGGCTTGTCATCCTCGTTACCGTCGCTGCTGCTGCTCCAAAACACAACGATGCCGAGTTCGTCTTCGAAACGTGGATCAATGAGACTGGCTGGACAAACAATGTTATTTGTTTCATCACCGGCCTGGTAAATCCATTATATTCCTTGGGTGGGTTGGATGGGATCACGGTATGAGCTAGTCCCTAGTATCCCTGAAGCCTTTGACTAACCCTGATATGCAGCACATCACAGAGGAAATGCCGAACGTATGTTTTCCAAACAAGAATGTGCGTAAGGGCAACTGATAAGGAGACGATGATCCAGCCTGAACGGGATGCGCCGCTGGCCCTTGGTAGGTCGTCTCCGTCCCGAGCACCCGTGTGGTAATTCTCACTCACAGATGGCCTGAACCAGCGTGCACTCTTAGCATAGCATTTGTGACAGGGTCGTCTTATCTCCTTGCTTTGATGTTTTCGGTCCAAGACTATACTAGTCTTGCGGACTCGCCAACTGGCCTTCCCCTGGCGGAGATTTTTCGCCTGGCGACCCAGAGTCGGGGAAGGGCTTTCGCCCTCGTTTTCCTCTTGTGGGTTGCGGTTGGCCCGTGTGTGATTGGCTCACAACTGAGTATGTTTTCTGAGATCCTGGAAACACAGGCCCTTCATATCCCATGTATCCATTTTTATGTTGCAATTTCAATCACAGGCACTGGGAGGATGCTCTGGGCCTTCGCCCGAGATGGCGGTCTTCCATCTTCAGGATTGTGAGTTCTTTGGGTTGATGCAAAACTGACCTGGCGAGTACTAACAGCCCAGCAGCTGTTCGAAAGTCAATCCTCGATATGCAGTTCCGGTTAAAGCCCAGCTCTGTGTGGGCATCATCATTGCTCTCTTAGGATGCATCTACCTAGGCTCTAGCACTGCCTTCAATTTAATGATGAATTCGGCAATTATGTAATTTCCCGTCATGCAAACTTCTCCGGGTTCCGGATTAATCTGACGTATGGCAGGACGATTAACAACCTAGCTTACCTTATGCCCATTTTGACCAATGTCCTGCTTCGTCGGCAAACCATGCACCACGGCCCCTTCGCCTTGAGCTTTGCCATGGGATGGCCGTGAATATCGTGACGGTTGCCTGGTTTATTTTTGCCATTTTGTTCTTCTCATTTCCTTACGAAATGCCCGTGACCGGTAAGTTACTGGATTGTTTCCTAAGAAGTTTATCGCTCCAGTGCCTTCAGAATACAGAATCCCTTGATTGACAACTGTCTGCATTAGTTTCGAACATGAACTATACATGTGTATGTGTTGGGGGTTTCTTGTCTCTCGAGCTGTTGTGGTGGCTCGTTGCTGGCAAGAAGTTTTCGAAGCACATGCAAAAGGTGGAGAGGCATGATGGAGAAACAGCGCACACATCAGTGGTAATTTCCGCGGGCGAGAAAAGCTAGCCACGCTAGCCACAAGGAAGTATGAATACAACCGAGGGCGGGGCCGAAGGATCACCCTGCTTTGTTATGATGTTATGATATGCAGTGACTATGTGCAAGCAAATATATTTGGGACGAATTTCGATCGCGGTGAAAAGATCCATTGTTTGAAGAGGATGTATCCGTTAGTACTTAAACGTTGCACGAACTCCGGAGCTGTTAATACCCTCTCAAAAAAGAAACTCGTCTAACCACTGGTACGGCTTTTTCGAATCCGAGCTGGCATCATATGGGCGAAATTCCGCAGGGCTCTCTATCAAATTGTGGGCCAAGACCGAATGTGAAGGACCCACGTATGTCAGATCACACACAATGAGTTTATCACAGTGCATCGCCCACACAGTTTGTGGCATGGTTTTATGTCCAGGATTAGGGGCAAAATCCCCAATCGCAATTGTTGTTAGATTTCCTCGTTGAGTTTGACCGGGTCAGCGGACGGTAACGAATGCAAGATATACATGCAAGAAGCTATCTGTTCCATAATTCCGAGTACGTGAAACCCAAAAACAAAAAGGTATATTCATACTCGTTGACGTCGTGATTGTAATAGAGATGGCTGTTGAAGGTATAGAGGTAGACCAGAAGGTAGATTTGATTAGCACGCCCTCCCAAAAAGAAACTCTTTGACAATCGGAGAACTGGAAAATTCGGGGTTCAGCAGAACACAGCTTTGGACCAGAATGTTAGTTTTTGCATCCGCAGACCGTATTTCCAACCATGGCGCAACTCACTTCAAAAAGTACTCTAACCCAACGCGACGTGATTCGAGAAACTTCGGTCGGAACTTGACTAAAGAAGGAGTCAGCTAATCTACCTTCTCTATGCAGTTCGATCAACACATACAGATGACACTCTTTGGAGGCAAGGGAGGTAGGGCGTTTTTGGCGTGCGGAAACGACATTATGAGGCGTTGTCGCAGGTCATCGAACTCAGAATACCTGAGCAAAACAGTAAGCATGAGGTGAATGGTGGTGTGAGCGACGGTGCTGAGAATTACCTCAAGCGAACTGTTATAGGGCCGCCCTAAAGAGACTATTAGCACTTGGCCGAAGTCGCTTAGAGCCATAATGGCAGCAGAGATCTCTTCCGGCCTGCCCTAACTCACATCAAGAGTTTGTACTCTGCAGTTCCATACTACATACGACCCGATGCCGGTTTTCCCTTGAACAACAACATAATCCTCAACCGAGACGCTCTTCGCCCACAGCCCACGGCTGGTCTCGCACTCCGGATCTTCCGTGTGATCTTCAAGTGTAATGGCAGGGCCTTGGTCGAGAGATGTCTGCGATATTCTGGAGGCAGTTCTGTGATGAGTCCAATATGGAGGGACTATTCCGGATATAGGACGCTCCTTGTCTGAAGCAGCCTGAGCGTGAGAGATGATGGCACTGTCCCCGTTTATGGGTACAATTGGCGGAGTTGAATTTGTGATGAGGGTGTTGTCGCCTGTACTGGAGGATGTAGCCGACGGTTCGGAGGACGAAGCTGGGTGTGGATGCGGCGATGGCACGAGGCCAGTAACCTCATTCGCTGGCTCCATCCATCTAATTATCAATCGGTAAATCTGACGGAGACGATCCTGGCTGCCACTAAGAATAGGTCGGATCAGTCACGATGGAAGCTTAAGGAAGAAGTGACCAGTAGCGGAGATTGACCGGAGGTACGGGGCATGTCCACCAAGACTAAGTAGAATCGTTCACAAAGCTTTCCTGTCTGGTCTTGTTTCACTAGAGACAAAGAGAGAAAAGGAATGGGGGGGTCTGTGTTCATCCGTCATACAGTATACAGCAAGATGCATGACAGAACCATTGATGACCGATCAGATCAAGCCACGTCCAAACGTTGTCCGGTAGTGTAGTGGCATGGCATGAACGGGGCAGAAGTGCGGGGGGGATTGATTCACAATGATCCTGATAAGATAGAAATTGATTCTAACAGCAAGATATACATACCTGGCAAGATATATGCGCTCCCAATAGACTATTTTCTAAGTCAGCACCGCTGTAATAAGAGTCTTTTTGTTTGACGGCCGGTATCTGGACATGATTGAGACGCGGGACTCACTCGGGACGATCATCCTCGGCAGTCTCCGACCACTGGCCAGTGGCCAGCTTCCCAGCTCCAAGTCACGGGACTCGGTGAGTCGGTAGTAGTCGCCCGCCCCGGCTCAGGACGGCCGTACCCAGAAAAAGGCAGGCAAGTCATGTGAGAATAACAAACAAAGGTTACTTATCTCAGTGTCAGATTGCATGGTCCCATTCGCAATCAACCTCCTTTGTTCTATCTACTGGATGACTTTGCTGTGCCTTCGCTATCAGACCGCTGTCCCCACTCCGGACTATTGCTGACTTGTCAGCTGAAGAGTGAAGACTGAAGAGTGAATGAAGAATGTTGGCGAGTCGGAAGAGACAGGAAACTGGAAACCTGGAGGAGAATGCCACATTTGGTTTAGGCTGTTTATCAAGGTCCAGGCTAGAAAAAGCCAAGAGGGTCCGGCCCCAATCAGCGTATTCTGAAGGGTTCTGCAACTGAGACATTTGACCGGATGATGGACGAGGACGACTGGGACACCACAAACCCCCCTAGTAAGAGGCGATACCCAGAGCCTGAAAGCCACCATCATCTTACTGATTTCTGAGACATGCTCTTACCACCACACCTATCCACTACCCAATACCCAGTATGATTGCCATAGATGCATCTGCGCTGCAGCCCAGTGCCAGCCACTAGGACAACCAACTAAAGATAGCAATTCTACCCAGTCCGGAACGATAAAGGATTATACCTGGCTGGTTAAGGACTAAGTAAGTACAGTACATACTAGTCTAAGTACTACCTAGTCAGTCAGTCGTATTGGCTAGTGACCCCCGGATCGACATACCGGGAAGGTTCTCTCCTAATCATGCCCCCGTCCTTTCTTCACTTCCCTCCCTCAAATGTTGTTCAACCCTGTTTCTGCTTCATGACCGTTGAGGTTGGGACTGATTGCGAAACTCATCTCATCACCTCAGAACACAGGACATCATCCCTCTTTGTCTCCCAGCGTTTCTCTAGTCTACTACCTGCATAATCACCCGCCATGGGAGGCAGCCGAGTAGCTGGCCTAGCTAGCTTGCCACGGGCTTTGGGGCACTTATTTCAGCCAACTTACGACTAGGAAAATACGGCCATCCAGCACTATACCATTAGCATTCTCGATGGCTGGCTCCATTTGTAGCCCGTCTGGAGCTTAATCTACGCATAGCGTCGCCACCTAAACCTCGCTTCGCGTAACAACCCCCCAAGTGGTACGAGACGAGATGTTGGACAAACTACTACTTATACTGAGCCTCAGCACTGTTCTTTTCAATCCCCACCCTTCTTCGCCCTTTGATCTCCTGTATTTCAGAACCCTGAACCCTTGCCCCCTCTCCCTCATTCGTTTCTCAAGCTTCGCTCGGTGTCGTCGACCTAGGATCTCTCACATTGGACCCTGCCCCGGATTTGACATATCATCCTTGACCCATCCACTACTGTAAGCCCACACACACCATCTCTTTCTTGCATCGAACCCTCTTGTCTCCGTCGTCTGGCATTCCCCTCCGAAGATCTTGTTCATGATTCAAGAGATCAACGTTGGGACCTTGCAGCGATAGGGACTCTATTCAGACAGCCATCGCTCATCTGTTGACATCCTCCCAGTTGAAGCCGTCACCATGCATCTCTTGCGCTCTGTGGTTGCTATCGCCTCCGTGGCCTTGCTTGCCAACGGACAGAATTCTTCCTACACCATCAACGTGAATGACATTCCGATCAAAACAAGAGGTATGTCGCCACCCATCCACGAAGGAAAATAATTGAGTATATTAAGTCCTGACCACCTTCCTTGAGTAAGATCAATGGTGTGAAGCTCAGACATCAGCATGCCCGCTCCTCTGTCTTCAATTGCCTGGAACGACGAGCCAACCGCAGAAGAATACTTGCGATCCCGTGAGTGATGCATATCTTTCCAATCTGCCGGCCAACGCATGTCTAACCATCCGCATCGACGTCATCAGAAAACGTTGCAATATGTCTGTGACTGCAGTAACGGCCTGAGCCCGAACGCTTCCCAGTACTCTCAGACAATCCCATTCTTCATCTGCACCGAAGAAAACAATCAATGTGTTAGCAACTGCAACGGGAATTCCCTTTGCCAGTCGGATTGCCGCAGCCAGCATCCTTGTGGTGCGCAGAACCCCAAGCGTGTGAACACCACTTTGACATCCAGCTCAACTCCTGCTGCGACTGCTGCTTCCACCACCACTTCATTGGCACCTTTCACTGGCGTACCCGACGAGGGCGCAGCACCTCGGACGTCGACAGATATGACTCAACTTTACGGCCTGGTGGCTGTCGTGGGCGCATTCCTTGCCGGGTTCACGACCGTGATCTAGATTCAACTCGCGTCGCAGAGGGTTCTGTTACAGCCGCCGCGCCCGTCGCATTCCTCGGACGATATGTGGGGCTTTTGGCAATCTCACCGTAATATTTAATGTGTGTCAACTTTCTTCTGTCGTCGGAGATCATCTACTGCTTTAGTGTTTTTGCTTTTGCCGTCCACGATGAAGCGATTCTTTTCTTTCCCTTCTGTAATGGTTGTGCTATCTTTCATGATTTATCTTTCTGCATGACAAAACAATGATGACCATATATTTCCGCTCCCGAGGGTTTCAAATGCAAGTTCATGCAAAGAGAGAGAGAAAGAGAGGGAGAGAGAGTCGAAAATCAGGATTTTGAGTATACATTGCCCCCACGCAAGGACAAACACGGCGTGGTTGAGCCACAAATTCACTTAATCCGGCTGGTGATGCTCTGTGTATCATCTGACGAGGACAATCTTCAATTCTCGGAGTCATTGGACGGCGACTCCGTCGAGCAAGGTGAAAGGACTGGGGAAGCTCAAACCCTAGCCACATCGGCGGGCTATGCCCGTAATGCAGCTATTCCTTACCTCGTGGGGCTGAACATTTTAGAAGACGAGTGGCCAGCAAGAAAATCAAGAAATACACATGGAGACAAGTAATTCCATCGCAAGTCCTACAGACATAGAAAATCCGCTCCTGCTGCTAAATGGAGTATGTGTTGTAGTATGATGGTGGTAAACATGATTGTAAGGCGGTGATATAGGCGGTGAATCATTTCCCAGTAGCGTTGCCGATAAGTCGGGCCAAATGATGCCGCCATACTGGTGATCTAACGGGTTGGAGAGGAGAGAGTGAGAGAGATCATCTCACCCGCAACCACCCTCCCCCACCGAACTCGCTGTCGATATGCTCATTTGAAGGTTTAAATCCTGTCTTGAACCGGAAATATTTGGTTTGGCATGCGTGCTTGACATCTCAGCAGCTTGCACCGCCATATAAAGCCACCGCCACCCAGAAGACCGGAACCAGCTCGTTCTCCACCTATTGTCGTGCGAGGTTCCCTGCCTCTTTTGCCCTGCTTTGCGTTTGTGCCGCTCTCTCCAGGTTTGAGACCAGCACTGGAAGCTAACTCGTGGCTCTGACCTGGTGTCTAACATCGTGTTTGTCGGCAGCGGTGCTGACAACGTGCCGAACGGATGGAATACTTACCGACGGAAGGGCTCGATATGCCCTCCGCGGCCCCGTATCTGAGCCAAGCGCTGGGCGGTGGAACCGTCGACTTGGATAACATCAATGGGGGTTTGATGGGTCTGAATGTAAGAGTAGAAGGTAAGACTTATATGCCTGAATTAGATGTGCTAGCTTGCGAGCTAACCATGAGCCCTCGTGCCATAGATCCTCCGAAATTCGAATTAGAGTCATACATCGCGAACTATACTGGTAGGCAACTCCTGCTTCTACCTTGCTACCGTGCAGTAATAAGCTGATTGGTATTTGGCAAAAGGCCGGACCAGGTACAATCGACTATATGTCATCGGCACATGCTCCACACATCTTGCCGTCGACGCACTCAAAGCCGCAGTTGCCGAAGCCAAGGGTGGTAAAGATGTCACTAGATACGAAAGAGCTGTGCGAGCTTTTGCAGAGGTTGTCCCAAATGACCCCGAGGCCACACTCGACATGCACTGGGTGGATCACATGCAGAAAGTTGTGAAGGCTGAAACAGACAGATTAGAGCATGAACTCAAGGGCTACAAGAACAACTTAATCAAGGAGAGCATACGGGTAAGCATGCTTCTCCCAGCACTGAAATCTGTCGAGTGTTCGTACCAATTAACTGCGTACACAGATGGGCAATGAAGATCTTGGCCAGCATTACCATCTCATCGGCGATCTTTCATCGGCATCCAAGGCATATTCTCGTATGCGAGATTACTGTACAACTCCAACCCACATCGTCTCGATGCTCTTCAAGATCATCAATGTAGCGATCGAGCGAGGAGACTGGCTGAGCGTACAGTCCAACGTCCACCGTTTACGCAATCTGCAATCGAAGCAGGAAGAACAGGCCAAAGTCCAACCCAAGCTATCCGCCGCGTTAGGCCTCTCCCAGCTACATTCTGGTTCCTATCTGGACGCAGCCTACAGCTTCCTGAGCACGGACCCGAGCCTCGGCGACTCGTACACGGAGGTGCTCACGTCCAACGACGTGGCCGTATACGGTGGCCTCTGCGCGCTGGCCTCGATGAACCGCAACGAGCTCCAGCGGCGCGTTCTCGACAACAACTCCTTCCGCAACTTCCTCGAGCTGGAGCCCCAGATCCGCCGTGCGATCGCCTTCTTCTGCAATTCCAAGTTCCGCTCCTGTCTGGAGATCCTCGAGGCCTACAAAGCGGACTACCTGCTCGACATCCACCTGCAACGCCACGTCCAAACTCTCTTCACCCGCATCCGCACCAAATCTATTCAGCAATATCTCATCCCGTTCAACCGCGTGACACTGGATTCCATGTCCAAGATGTTCGCTCCCGGCACGGACGGCCAGCCGACCGACCTCAATTCGCCCTTCGTGCAGGAACTGATCGCCCTAATCCAGGATGGCACGCTGGATGCCCGCATCGATCTGGAGAAGAACGTACTGGTGTCCAAGCAGGTCGACCTCCGCACTGAGGTGCAGGAGGCCGTCCTTGACAATCTGGAGAACTACGTGCGGGAGGCGCACATCCGCATGCTGCGCTCCAACATTATCCGTGCTGGATTGGAGGTGCGTGCCGACGACAACACCACCACCAAGGAGATTCGCGGTAAGAGGTCCGATGGGTATGGGTCCGCCACCTTGTCACGGGGCCCGAGTTTGTTCCAATGAAGTCCAATTTTGGCAATTATGTAGCAATAGTCATATTCAAATCCATTGATTATTCTTGCTATGATCATTCTGTTAGTCGGACGGGTAATGTATCTCTAGGCAGGGTTTCTCTTGGCTTAGTTGTTCCGCAAGCTTAACCCGGGTGTTATGTCTTTCCAAAGTGCCGGCTCTTCCAACCTCATATCGCGCTTTGTGATGGAGAACATATGGCAATAGTGGTAGTGACATTATCTTAAAGGACTAGGCTCACAAATGACATTGTACATGAAAGGTAGTTAGCGTCCTCATGCTCTCGTCTAACTCAACAAGCTCAACTCTTAACGCATTCTTGACCCCTTCCGAACACAAGGAAGCCTCTATATATATATCCGCAGGTGTAAGATTGACAGATCGGCGGGAAAGGTTTCAACCGGGCGTCGAATGGAACTTGGTCTAAGCCATGGCCAGAGCGAGCATCATGGCGGCACCTCCAGCAACCCAGCTACCAGTGGCCAAGGGCATGGCACCATTGCCGGTGTGACTGGCACTAGCAGCAGCGGTGCTGGAGCCGGAAGCACTCGAGCCGGAAGCACTAGAGCCAGAAGTAGACTTGGCGGAAGAAGAATCGGTCGACTTGCTCGCCCCGGAGCCGGAGCCAGTGGCAGAGGCGGCGGCGGACGAAGAGCCAGTAGCGGAGGCAGAGACGGAGCCAGTGATTGTGATGGGAAGAGCACTGAGTGAGGTGGTGTAGATGGCGGTTGAAGTGCTGGGGCCTTCCGAATCACTCGCGCTGGTATGGCAGCTCAAGTAGGTAGTGCCGGTGCGGGTGCAGCCTTGGGAGTATGTACTGAATCATTGTTAAGAACCGCTTGAACTAAAGAGTGGGAAGGGGCACATACGTTCCGCGGTAAGCCAAGCCCATGCCGTAGGTGGAGCTGCCCACCGTGAGAGTGTAGGTATCATCCTCAATGTCGCAGCTGCTGTCATCATCGGAAGAAGAGGTGACAGTAGCAGCGCTGGCAGATGATGACGTCGAAGCACAGCCCAGAACAACAGTAGTGAGACTACCACCAGTCTATTTGCGAGGGGTCAGACAATCTCGGGTAAGGTAGGACAGCGAGTACAATGAATCAGGCGAGGTCTTGATACATACAGTTCCAATCACTTTGCCTGCAAGACCAACATCGTTAGTGTCGGGCAAGTAGACGTTGATGATTTCATCGGCAACAACAGCCGTGACGGAGGCCAACAGAGCGAGCGAGGAAGCAATTTGGAAACGCATGATGGCTGTGTGGATTAAATGTGAGAGATCCAGATGTAGTGGTATGGAGAGAGGAAGAAAGGGAGAAGATAGCTTTTTATAGGCAAGTAGAAGTATAGCGAGGCGCTCTAGGTGCAGGCTTCAGGAGAACGGAGATGGACGCAATGTGCAGCTGGAATGCAGAGGATGGGAGGAAAATCTTGGGGGCGAAAAGGTGCGCGAGGGCCGTTTCTTATAGAGTCCTCCCAACTGGTTCCCTCTCGCTGGTGCGACAAAGGCTGAGCCACGTCGAAGGATGTGGTGGGCTTGTTGGGGAAGCCATGCGATGCGGCAGTAGACGAGAGACCCTCTCATTTGGGGGCGCAAGGCTCGAAGGAGGTTCAGCTCACTGGTCGGACCCTGGCCGATCGCCTTTTTTGGCGTTGAGCCATAACTGCCAAAAGGCGATTAGAGTTGGCCCAAAGTGATCCGAACTTCCGATGCGAGAAATTTCTCAATTTTAGCCGCATGGGGACGTCCAGACGAGCGAACAAATGATCGACTGGGGAAGTTGGAGCGCAAAGAGCGCGAGCCCGATGAGCTCATGTTAGTCTGGTAGAGACGATCAGAGCTAATCCATTATCCACTGGAAGAGGAGCAACAGTGGACAGACGCAAGCATCAACAACAACAAGAAGTGACTAGCCAGGAACTAAGCTGCCACTAAGGCTGCACTAAACACCGGGCGCGCATTTGGGCTCTTGGGGGCCGAAACGATCATCTCACGTATCAACCGGACCCCTGCTTGTTTAGTGGGCTGAGGCACTCAGCCCTCTTGTCCCCTGTAAGCAAGTGAGCACTAAAAGCGTAAGGATCAATGGATTCTTTAGAGGTTTGTCGAAGTGGACAATGAAACACCCCTAAAAGGGCTTGTGGGTCGCTGACAGCAGCATTGCTGGTCCGTCCAGGTCAACCAAGACAGAAACAAAGAGAAAGAAAATGAGATCGTCGCGGCCCCATACTCCATCCACCGCAGCTATCACCGCCAAATCTGACTCGAGGAATCAACTCCAAGCCTCCAACCAACCGTATGGGTCGCTAACCTAGCGAGTTTTGGAATGCCTAACAACTCCACAGGCTATGCCTACCAACAGCAGGACTCCATTGAAGCTTGCCAGGATATAGAACGGAGCTCCCGATGAGAGGACATCAAATAGCAAGCCGCCGACCTTGGTCAGCACCAAAATTCCTGCGCCACCATACAGGGAATACACTCCAGCAATAGAGCCTTTCAGGTGAGCCAAGGGCTGCTGGTTTTGATCCGGAGCCGAGGGCAGCAGAGCCTGCTCTTCTTGGTCGCCTTCAGTTCCATCGGCCGACAACCGGTCGTCGTCTGTCTCCTCACCATAGAGAGTGGAAGGGGAAGAATCATACTCATCCCTTACCCGACATTGAGCGCTCGCACGGAGTATTCCGGTACTAAGGACGGACAAGCTGCAGACAATGGCACCAATCTGACTGAGCCCAACTAGCCCCATCACAACGAGCACGCCAGGACTACCGTGGGGCCCTCTGAAGTCTGGACTGGGCAGCAGCGCAAATGTGATATAGCCGACCACCCCTGCCACACACGCTCCCAAAAGGGGAATCGGATATTGTCGCGATCGCTCGGACATATACCCAAAGGCCGGTGCTGCCACCAACGCAATTAGTTGAGAAACACCGGTCAGGATCGAAGCCAGCACATAAGCTTTACGGCATGACTGCTTCACAGAATCAGAGCTCATGCCATTCGTGTTGTTGTCTTGGCATAGACCAGACTGTCGGTAGTAGCTGTTGACCGCTAGGGGAATGAATAACGAGATCCCGACTGATGATGCTCGAGCCACGAAGCCGCCCACATAGCCAATAAAAATGTCACTGTTCCGGAAACCTAACATCAGGGCAGCTCCCAGCTGTTGAAAATAAGGCAAATGTAGCTTGCCATAATCAGCATGCCGGTCATCACCGGTGCATGTGGCCTCAAGCCCTCCCCGTGATCCTCCGGCCCATAAAGAGTCCCAAGATTTCTCCTCTTCCCCGGGCAGCTGCCTCAGCCCGAAAGAACAGAAGATAGCGACCAGCACAGACACGATCGCGACGGCATAATAGCTGTACTGGATGGACTCTGGTGGTGAGATCCCCCACTGCTGAAGTCGGGAAGGTAGGGGTAGAAAGACAACAAGGGCGACCAAGGCACCACTTCCAGCGCACATTCCAACATATCCTGCTAGTCTAGAGGAGTGCGTCTTCTTTGCCAAACGACTTGATGCGACAATGTACGGTTGTGATGAAGACCCGGCCACGGCCGGAAGCACGGCCGTGACCATTGTCGATACCGCGGCGCCTCCAAAACTGAACAGCAGACGTCCTAAGAGAAGCTGGGGATAAACATTGGTTGCCTGAACAAACACGACTAGGGCAAGAGCAATGATTCCATAGCCAGCCACGCAAACCTAAAAGAAATATATATAAGTTATCATGAATATGGCCTGATAAAGGTATTGATTTAGCAGCGCCATGGAAGAACACCTACATTACGGACTCCAATGCGATCCGACAGCACTCCCCATAAGGGACAGGCGGCCAAAGCGAGCAGTTCATCAGCGAAACCCAAGGTACCGACAGCATCGCCTTCTCCTTCATGAAGGCCAATGAGCTCCGTGACAACGAAGGAAACGGAAGAGTTGAGGAAGACTAGAAAGGCAATGGAGAAGGGGCAGACCCCAAATAAGTAGGTACATATTTGCAGTCGAGTTGCGGTAAAGAGTGGTGTTGATTGAAGTGTCGTCATAGCCATGGTTTCAGGGCATGTCTTGACAGATCAGGTGGTGGTTTTGTTTGTAGTTCTATTCAAAGAATCATCAGAAACAAACTCCCTTTCCCTTTTAGACACACTCCCGTTGTCCTGTTCTTGAATATTGGTGCTATGTCAGCTTATTCGTTTTGTGTGATCACTGATGACTATGTGGAAGTCTTGTGTGTACTGTACCACCCTTCCCTCGACTTGATCCGTGATAGATCGGACTGCCACTCCGGAACGTCCGCAGCTAGTCACATGATCATGCATCGGCCCGATGGAGCTAGCCAGTGTTTCGTCGCGGAGACGGTGGAGGTTCCAGAAAATCAGGATGGAGCGCTGCTTTTCTCTTTCGACTTCGTGTTGTCTTTAACAGTTTGTCTAATGCTGTATTGAGATGTATGCAGAAGTGGAGATCGGTATTCTGAAGGTGCAAGCTATCTTCTGACCTGACATCCATGCGATTTACGAAAGTGAGAAGTATGATGAGCAGTGACGAATTATGTTTATTACCTACTGTGAGCTAATCATCTCAGTGTCGCCGCTGAGGTAAGCCGACAAGGCGGTGACGGCATATAGTCAACTGGCATCACCGACCCCGGCGGGATGAGTGCCGATTGCTCCAGCTGTCCAGAACGAAGTACTGCGTCCGATCCTGTCCCCTCCCACGGCTTTCCCCTCTTACATCCTCACATATTTTAGTCAATGTTTCTCTAAATCTCACGCTATCCCTCCCACGTTCCGTGCCTTTGCCAATGACTTGGGGTTTGTTCCCCGAACTCGTCAATACCTGGCCATGAGGCTCGCCGTCTACGCCGGGGTAAGTTAGCTCTGCTCCCATATTGCTGGCCGTGATGTCTCCAGGCTGAAATTTCAATCGCAAATAGGCCTCGACTGCCCTGGCCACCGGTGTTTTTCTGAAAGCGTTACATCAAAGGGCCAACTTCTATGCCGCGTGTGTATACCTATCGCAAAGCAGCGCAAATCTTATGGTACAACCTCTTCTGCCCTTCACTCCCAGCTTGCATAGTCGGGCATGTTGCATCGCCGAGCCCGCAGGAGGATCTTTGGTTGCAAAACTGTGCAGACTGAGCTAATCGACGTTGTCTAGATTTTGATGAATGTATGCCTCCTGGCTGTTGGATTTTTCCTCTTTTGGCTTCAACGTCTCCTCTATGGACCGCTCCGCCCTATCGAGACTGAACAGCTATACGAGAAAGCATGGTTCGCTGTTACTGAAACATGTCTGGCGATGACGATCTTTCGCGGAGAGCTAGGAGGTTGGTTTCTAGTCATGTTTGTTTCGCTGCTCGTCGGCAAGGTCTGGGGCTGGATTGGCGAGGGCCGCGTGGAATACCTCGAACAGCAGCCGCCCGCAAACCCTCGCCTGTTCCACTTCCGGCTCGCCTTATCCTTGCTCATTTCCGTCCTGTTCAACGTGTTCATGTTGAGATACTGCGTTCAGACGGTCCTTGAACAAGCACGGCCTGATATGATGGTCATGTTCGGCTTCGAGTTCGCTGTCCTGACCATCCTGTCAAGTTCAACTGCCGCCCGATATTCCATCTCGTTGGTCGAAATTTCAATAACTCATCGGCAACTGAAGGCCAGATTGGAAGAACGTCGTCAAGAGATTCGAGCTGCGCGGATTGAGACCCTACGGCAACACAACGGGTCTGCTGAGATAACTGCCTTGCCTGATTTGCCGGATGAGAACGACGTCAACGAGATGGAAATGGACGTGCCGGGCTGGGAAGAGAAAGGCCGATGGATTTTCTACCTTGACCTTCTGACGGACTTCCTCAAATTGACAGTTTACTTGACGTTTTTCGCTATCCTATTCACCTTTTACGGTTTACCTATCCATATTCTACGCGACGTTGTTGTTACGATTCGCTCATTCGGACGCCGCATCATGGACTTTGTCCGGTACCGTCATGCGACTCGTGACATGAACGAGCGCTATCCTGATGCTACCGCTGAAGAGGTCGCCCGGGAAGAAGTGTGCATTATCTGTCGTGAGGAGATGACTCAGTGGCACCGGGCTAGGGAGCGAGGAGAAGCTGCACAACAGCAAGGCCGAGTATCTGACAGACTCCGTCCAAAAAAGCTTCCTTGTGGTCATATCCTACATTTTACCTGTCTTCGAAGCTGGCTCGAAAGGCAGCAAAACTGTCCGACTTGTCGACGCCCAGTCGTCGCTCCACCCCAAGCACGAGGTCACGGCGATGCAGAAAACCGCAACCCTGGAAATGATGCTGGTGGACAGCAGAATCAGCCGTTTGGTAATCAGCCATTTGGACGTAACGGGCCAGCGGATGGACTGCCCCGAGCCAGAATCTATCAATTTGGCCCTTTCCGGATTGGCTTCGGTGCAGGAAGAGGCGATCTCTTCCGCAATCTTCAGCAACAAATTCACCAAGAAAATATTCAATTACAGCAGCCAAATGATGCTGTTGCGCCCAATGCTCGACAGATAGGTTTCGGACTCGGGTTTGGTCGGCCGCCAGCGACTCCAACAGTTCCGACGCCGGCTCCGAGCGTGGCTCATGTACAAAATCAACTACATCAAGTCGAGCAGCAAATCATGCAGGAAATCCACGGCCTACGAGTCACAGCTGATCAGCTCCAAGTGGTGCGAATGTTGCAAACAGAACTCCACCGACTTCGCAATCTTTCCCGCGATTCTTCCGAATCGCAACAGGGTCTCTCGGCTTCCGCCTTGTCAAGCTCGGCGACATCTACAGCCGAGCGTCATCGATTCGTGTCGGATCCTGGGGCGCCTGCCATGAGGGCTGGTGACTCTCGACTACCCGAGGGGCTGACCCTGCCTGAAGGCTGGTCTCTGATTCCTCTTCACTCGCCTGGCCAAGGCCCGACCCAAGTGGACAATCCCTCCGTCCCTTCTGCGGCTTCGGGGACAATCATACCTCCCACCCCTCTCTCGACCGAAGTTGAAGCCAACGATGAAAGCCCAGTCCAAGAACTTGCGGCTGCTTCGGGTCCTTCGGTACCTCGAGACCTGCCTGATTGGCACTCTGACCCGACTCCTGTAGCTTCTCAACCGGCTGTCGAGTCACTGTCCCAGCAATGGACCGACCTAGCCTCCGAGGCACAAGCGGATGACACTGAGCGTCTAGACCGTGAAGAGGAGTCAGGATCCCCGTCTAAAGGGAAGGCACGGGCTGCAACAGTAGAAGATGCACTTGATGAAGAGGATGAGGATTGAGAATGTGCTCTGTGTACTCATATTCATCACTCTCGCATGCTATTCTCTCTGCCCTTCTGCCGGCCGTACATTTCCATCCCATCAAATCTATTCCGTTCTTGGCTACTGTATCATCAACATTGATGTTGACAATATCACCCACCCCATCTTCAGGGAGTCCTTTTTTTTCTGGCGTTTTCGAAGCGACGCAAACTCATACCCAACTACCACAAAGTATGCAATTTTCTTGCCATATGCCTCCCCTTATTTCACTGCTGGCGCCCTAAATAGGAGGGAGAGTCTTCTATTTGTATGTACAGATCCGAAATGAAGCGTTTATGCAGTTGTCTTTGACTTGCCTGATAGCTGGCCTCGTTGATTGTTTTTGCGTTCTATAGACTACCTTTCGTGTAGAACGGATCGGCAGGCCTAGGACATAACAGTGGAGACTGCGAACTGCAGCTGCAGCCTGTGGCTCGGACGGCAACTGGTCGGGAAGGATATCGCCGCCTCGTACCTAGCCACCTGGTCAATTTCATGATTCCAAGGGCCACCATTGCTGAATGAACCGACTTCCATATGTGATTTATCACTTACCAGCTGTAGTTAAATGGAACCCTTGTGGTTTTATTAGGAGGGGAAGGAGTTTTCTTTACGTTAGAGGGTCCGTCCAACGGTACTGTCTCGTCGTCAGCCCCAATCGCTGACGCCAGCTCCGCCTCCGCCCGCCCGCCGTCCTGCGCCATCATTTGCGTATGCGCCGTCCTTCCAGCCCGGTTTCATGATCCATTCTAACTCTCCCCAACCAATCCTAGTGCATGCACGCAGTGGCCACTCCACGGTTGCATGGGTGAAGGTCTCGGTGTTGTCTTACTTTATTCTTAGCTTTGTTTCTCCCTCCCTGGCTTATGGGCGTGTTCCGTTGAAGTACGGAGAACTCTGTGAGTGACTAGTCGCGTGTGAGTGAACCCCCCAAAATCTACTGATCTGTCAGTCCATCATCGTTGGCTGCGATCGCGGGGAGAGTTGTTCACCTATCCTTCACAGGCCAGCCATTATCCAGGACTCATATTTCTTATCCATGGCTGTTGTCTTCGTCCTGTAGCCTCCAGGCCTTTATTGTGAGTACAAGTGTTGGTCCCGGGGCCTGTCTGCATGGTCTGGAACCAACCCAGGCACCAAAAGCTTAAACTCATCCCGACGGCGACGCCGTCTTCCTTGCCAGCAATGTTCACTAAAATATCTTTCAGTTGCGCATTGTATTATCATTTTCGTCGACTACTTATTGCTTCAATCCGTAATCGATGATCTCCTCACGCCGGATTGTGCCCCTTCTTGGCTTCGCCTTCATCCTTTCCGTCCTCTTCACCTTTTACAATCTCTCCGCACAATGGGAGCCAGTCCCGCATTCCGTTGGCCTGAGCAGGCCGGTCATGACACCCTCATCCTCGCCATCATTGCGTTATAATGTCACTCGGGTATCGGAGGAATATCCTACGCGAACGCCATACGCCGCCAAACCACGCTTTGTTCCCGGGGTGCCCAAGGCTCCTGGCGGGACGTACAGCAAGATCCTCGTTGTGCCTCAAGCAGATGGCGAGGACACCAGTTGGATCGAATTTGAATTACCAGAATGGCAATCGGCCGTATACGCCGTCAATGATCCGTCGGCTCCCCTGCATCCACCAAAAAACAAAGGACATGAGGTAATGGTCTATCTGAGCTATATCATCGAGCACTACGACAAACTGCCGGACATCATTGCGTTCATGCACTCCCATCAATTCGCGTGGCACAACGATGATCTATTCAATGGTGACGCAGCTGAATTGCTGCGACGTCTGAGTCCAGCCTGGGTCGTCAGGCAGGGGTATGTCAATTTACGCTGCACTTGGAGTCCTGGCTGTCCGGATTGGTTGCATCCGGGTACCTTGGTCGAGGATCAGACCAAGCAGGAGGAGGTCATGCTTGCTCGGGCATGGGGGGAGATTTTTCCCGATGACCCGATACCCGAAGTCCTGTCCCAGCCCTGCTGCGCCCAATTCGCCGTCTCACGCGAGCGCATCCTAGCCATTCCCCGAGCTCGTTTTGTGTACTTCCGCGACTGGATGCTCCGGACAGAACTCAGTGATTACATTTCGGGGCGCATCTGGGAGTATCTGTGGCAGGTTGTGTTCACTGGTGAAAATGTTGTTTGTGTCAAGGAGCATATCTGCTACTGCGACGGATTCGGGATTTGCTTCGGTGGTGACGACGAGTATAATGAGTTCCGTGACCATAATACTGCTAAATCTGACTTAGAAGAGGCGCTTCAGGGGTGGACCGTACGCGCAGACCTGATTGAGCTCACCAGGATGCACGGACAGCTGGGTGAAGAAAGCCATTTAAGCTTCCCTGAGCCTGGAAAGGATATCTCTTTGGAGGAACAACTGGAGCTAGAAGAGGCTTTAATCCTCGAACTATTCGTCAATGCTACTGAGCGAGGCCAGGATCCTAGAGCCCGCGCTGCGGAGGTCGGGAGAATGTGGAAGGAGGGAGAAGGCTTCTAATTTATTAGATATTTGGCGTATTGATATTCTGTTTGTCAAACGTATTACCTGTGATGTGCGTTGATCAGCGTGGCGTGCTGATATAGATACGATAATCAGCTCTTCAGTTGGTTTTAGTACTAACAGATTGATGTCTTGGATACTGGCGTTTGCATGTTTGGACGGTTATGGCGAGCGTGTCGTTCCGGTTGGCGTATCTTGCGTCGATTGATCTGTACAATTTGGCTGGCTCCGAATTGGTACTCCTGGAAAAAGGCAAATTGCACCAAACGGAATGAGAAACACACTGTTACCTGAATATTGATCGAGCTTACAGCAATTATGAAGGAGTGTCATACTACTTGTAGGTCAGGTGATTCTCGAAGGCTCCAGCCCCACGCTAAACGCCGTGCGGCAGTCGCGACGGCGTGAGTCCCGTCCGTCCGCCGTTCCCTGCAGAGTTTGCATTGTCTGTCCTTCCTTCAAACCAGCCAAACAGCGTCATCCGTCGGGATTGCTTCACTGATTATCGCGATTCGCGCACTCCTGCGAGATTTGTTCGGTGGGAGCTCAGCTTCCCGATTAATCTGCGGGCCCCTGGGTATCAGCGAGCTTTTGGGCTGCCGTCACTGCCCCAAAGCTAAGCTTGTCCGCAAGGGCTTCTCATTGATTCAACACCCTCTTCAAATAGCCGCAGGACGCCGTTCGTGTTCACGCTCCCATTGCGTCGAATATTTATGGTTTCGCTTTTTTGAGCTCTTCATTTGGGTATTATTGCGACTCGCGTTATTGAATGCGATCTGCGACAAGCACACACTAGACTGTGTGTATTTCACATTCTCCGCGTCATTAAGTCACCAGCAAACGTCTTACACTCTCAGCTTCTACGAAAGAGACGATAACACGATCTCATCGGCCAGGCTCTGTGAGCCCCAGCGTTCGAGACTTGGCTTTCGTTGTTTCATCATGGCATCCACATCCACTCCCAATCCCCACCAGCCTTCGACATCGGCGGCCGATTTCGCAGGGAACTCCTCCACAAACTCGAATGTCGACCCCAACGCGCACCTCGGAACAAATGGATATGCACCTAGCGAAAATCAGCTAGCTGGGTTGGTGGAGGCTGCCACTGCGGCTGCAGGTCAAGACGTCTCGGAATGGGCTGCGGCCGCGGCGGTCGCGGCTGCAGCTGGGGCAGCTGGAAATTCACATCATCTTGAAGGCTATGGACCGGATATACATATGGATGATGATAGCTTCGCAGACACGAGTTTCTCTGCTGGAATCAACGCCGGGCGGTCCTTGCGAGGCCCTGGATCCGGTCCGGTGAACGAGCATAATCAAACCTCTGGGTTGACCCGAGTTGGCACCAAAAAAAGAAAGAGAAACGAGGACGCTCTTGATCCGGCATTGACGAGCGGGACGCATGTTGGCTTAGCAGGCGACCAGCAATCACACCACCATGGTCATCATCCGCAACAACATCAGCAGCCGCAACAGCATCATACACATCATTACGGTGGAGACGGCTTAGATCTTCGAGGTGCTCCACAGCAATCACTATCTGAAGCTCGTGCGGTAGGCTTGCACTCTGCGGCGGCACTCTTTCGCCAGCCCTCGAGTAATAAAAAATACACTCGTCCACCTATGTCCAAATTGTTCGCCTCCCTCGAACTCTCTCCAGAGAACTTTTTACATCTACAGGCAGCGGCTAAAGCATACATGCTCGATGATCGTCACCCTGAACGACGGGATTGTGTAGGTCAGCGCGGCAAGGGAGACACAGAAATGGTTAAGCTGCGGCTCTGGAACTGCGTACGCCATTTTCTCGAGGGCGAGGGCCATGGCGAGCGATTCTTTGGAGAGAATGTGGTCAACGAGGGCATGGGGCCCAGGGCATATATCTGGCCTCGGGATCAACAAAAAATTATTGCTTTGGTGATACCACTCTTGCGGCGAATGGTGACGAACGAGCGACAGCGTCAGTATGCCGTCGAGACAAGGAAGGGGGGCGGAGCGGAGGAGCGACGGCGACGAAAGACAGAGGAAAGTCTTCAAAATCTCAATGTGCACACGCCTACCGAAGACCACCTTCAGCTTCAGTCTCAGCACCATCATCAGCTTCACGATGATTATACTGCGGTGCAGACCCCAATGTCAGCGTCACACCCGCCCATGGGCTCCACGCCGCAGGCAGTAGATCTGGGCTTGACGGAGCTCCTGCTTGACGGGTACACAACCGATTGGAATTCATTCGCCAAATCCTATGACACGTACAATCAGAACTGTGAACTCGACAACCTTTGGTATTTATCGGGCCTCCAGCAGCCGGATTGGCGAGGCTTGGTGGCTGCAGTCGACAGCCATTACCAGGTCATTCATGATGGTGGCTATGATTGTTCTCCGCAGTGTGAGGACGAAAACGTCCAACGCATATTAGACGCTAATGCTACATCTGATTTGCGGTGGCGGATTGGCGGTAACATACAGCAGCCCGCAAGGAGCGAGTTGTAAGATGCCTTGCGCTTGTCCCCTTGTTCGTAATCGTATCATGTTAACATGCGTCTACAGTGCAAGCAGCATTACTCGTGACGTCTCGCGCATCATCCGCAACAATCTGGCTACCAAGCAGGATCCGCATGCGACGTCCCATGACCAGGCGTCGGTGTCGCAATCCCAACACTTTCCGCCTCCCAATTTCCCACCGATGTCTGGGCCTGCTTCCGCCGGCAATGTCAGACAAATTTCATCGCCCATGTCTGTTTGTCTCCGTATCAACATTCTTCAAGGTGGCAAACGCACCCACTCCCGGCTTGATGTTCCCGGTAGCCAGTGCCCTGACCTCGAGACCCTCAGGCAAGTGATCTCCCGCCGGGTTGCAGGGCAGCTGCCAGGATTATCCGAGTCGGGCTTAGACTCAGCTAGCGGTTGGGGCTCAGCACTCAACTGGAGGTTCAAGGTATGGCTTCCGGACGGATTAACGACGGTGCAGAATGACAGCGATTGGACCATCGCGCTTCTGTCGGCCGGAAATGTGGAATGGATGGACGGCGACCTGAGAGTCTTGGTAGATTTTGAGGAAACATCTTGACCGCAGGTGTGTCTGCCTGGCTGACGACTTCTTACGACTTGATGCGCATCACTTTCCCCTTATCCCTGCAGGAGGTATCTCCATCAGTGGCACTGGGAGATTTTTTTCCTTTCCATATTCTTGCATTCATACCCTCTTGTGCTGCTTCTGCGGATGTGAATATGATCATCCATGAGACACGATGATCTTCTTATTAGATACGAGTGAGTAAATAGCGTACACTTACCGTGGTCGTGATAATCATAATACTCGTGACATTTAAACATGCTAGCTCGTGTAAAAGTAAACCAACAGCGTGCTCTTCTCTATATTAATTTCGAATCTATGAAACTTCGTCGCCATGGGCATAATACCGATTAACTACACCCCGGTCCTCTTGCTTACTCACCCATTGGCGAGTAACATAATCGGTAAGCGAGTGGCGCGTGTAAGCCAGCGGCGCGCTGCATTTCCTATATAAAACAGTAATTTTCAATTCCTTAAATCTCGACCAATTCTGGATATTATTCTTTATAATCTTATATACAGCTTTATATAGCTATAAATTAGTACTCATCTTTAATTTAAAGCTTAATAAGACTTAATACAGAAAAATACAGTGTATTTTTTGGATTTTATTCTTTTTCTAGAATAACTAGAGTGGCTAACGGCCAGGTCAGGTCAGGTTAATCAAAATTTTTATACCTGACCGCAGGTTAATGGTCAGGTATAAGAAATATATATTCCTGCCCAGGTTAACCAACGGTTAACCTGCGGGTCAAATTCCTCGGCAATTAAGCCTATTAAAGAAGGCGGTAGGTTTAGGCAGAATATTTCTGCCTAATCCTTGCCTGATTTGTGCCTAATCCTGCCTGATTCTGCCTGATTCAGGTATAACGGTTAACCGCGGTTAACCGTTATACCTGCGGTCAATCTGATTTTTATACCTTAACCTGACCGCCAGGTTAAGGTCAGGTTAAGGTTAAGGTATAACGGTCAGGTTAAGCCACTCTAAGAATAACTTCTTTTAAAAAAGATATAGATATTTTTAAATAAGATTTATAGAGAATTGATATACTTATTTCTATAATATATTTATTCAAAGTTTTTAAGTATTCTTGTTGTAGAATTATATAAGTTTAAAATATCTAGATTTAATACTAAATACAGCTCTGCGCCGCTCACTTACACGCGCCACTCGCTTACTGATTACGTTAGTCAACATAACGTAATCGGTAAGCGAGTCGGCCACGTAAGCGAGTCGGCCACCGCAGTCTTGGCAAGCAGCTGGTTATGCCACCTATATCGGAATTTTGATTTATATACAAAAAATACAGTATTCTTAAACATTTATATAGCTGTTCAAATACCTGTAATTATATTTAATTCTTTCTTATTAAATACCTCGTATATATATATCCAAGAATACTATATATACTGCAGCGAGGCAGTATACAGTAGTAAGATTAATTCTTTATAAACTCTATATTACCAGTTATTTTCTTTATAGCTTAAGTATTTATAAAAACTTTACAGATTTCCTGGATTATAAAGCTATTTAAATTATTTATTTAATATTAATTTTATCTCTACTTAATATTCTTCCTCTTAACAGCTATATAAAATTAATAATTCTTAAATTTTAAAAAAATTACTCAGTTCAAGATTATCTCTATATTTTTAATAATATATAATAAAATAATTTATATAGATAAAGCCGGAGAATTAGAATATTAAAATAATTAAAATATTAATAACTTATATTTCTTAATTTATTTTAAATTTCTAGATATTTTAGTAATAGTTAAAATAATTTTTTAACTACTTAACTGGCTTTCTTCTTTATAAAAGATAAAGTTATCTAAAATTTTACTTAAATTAAAAAAAAAATTCCGGAAGTCTTAAAAGTATTTTATATATTTATAGATTTAAATATTTAAATATAAATATCTGGATAGATATTAAGAAAATTAATTTTTATTAATATAATAATATCTAATTTAAATAAGATATTTAATCTAGTAGCTATATACTTATTTTAATAGTAAAAATACAGTTATATCTAAAGACTAGTAGAAATAAGAAAAATTAATTAATATATATACTAGAATAATATTATTCTTATAGTATATATTATTAAATTAAGATATTAAATAAAAGTTATATTTATTAAGAATAAAAAAATTATATTAGCTAGTTCTTTAGTTCTTAATATAAAAAATAAAATATTTCTTAAATTAGTATTTATTAATTTCTTAATTAATTTACTTATTTAGTAATATTATAATATATTATAAAAAGAATAAATTATTTTTATATTATATTTATATATAAGTCTTTACCTTTAATATTATATATACTAATAATATCTATTTTATAGTATTAATATACTTAATTAAAATTATTTATTTATAGTTTTTAGATTATATAAAGAAAGGTTTTTTATAGTAAAATAAATATATTACTACTTTAACTATAGTTATTAAATCTATAATAAAACTAGTTTTATTAAAGTTATAGATATCTTTATTTATAATTATATATATAATAATAGTAGTTTATATATATTAAAACTAAGTTTATATAATCTCAGAATTCTTATACTTTATATATTTATAACTAATTTAATATATAAATTAAGATTTTAAGAAATTATAATACTAAGAAATAAAGTTATATATCTATTTTTTATTTATTAAATTAATTAATTTTTTATTATATTTTTATATCAAGATTAATACTATATTATATATATAAAATTATCTTAACAGTATACTATATTAATCTAGTAATATAATTTATTTAATAAATAATTTCTTTTCTAAAGAAATTAATTTATAGTAATTAGTATATATTTTCTTATAGTATATAATACTATTTAAATAATTTTAAAGAGTTAAATATAGAACTTTAAAAGTATCTACAACCTTGCGAATTAAATAAATTTAATCTTTTTTTATAATCTTAATTATAAGGTAGAGCCTGCCTTCTTATTTTATTAAAATTTTTAATAATTAAGGTATTTTTAGTAGAGAAATCAATGTCTGTATACAGGTAGTTTTGTAGGCGTGGTGGTGGTTGATGGGGTGGCCGACTCGCTTACGTGGCCGACTCGCTTACCGATTACGTTATCCGGTAAGCGAATGGCGCATGTAAGCCAGCGGCGCACTGCATTCAGCATTCTCTATATAAAATAGTAATTTTTAACCCTCTATGTCTCTACCAATTATGAATATTATTCTATATAATATTATATACAGTCTTATATAGTTATAAATTAGTACTGATATAAAGAATCTCTAATTTAAAGCTTTATAAAACCAGATTGTCATGGTTAACCTGTGCAACCGAGTGGTTACCGTGACGGAACACCCATGCCTTAGTCATGAAATAGTCGTGACGTCAATGATTTAGTAGAATCTGTATCTTAAATACCCAGGCCTTGCTATATACTAGGAAGGCAAGTATTAGTCTATGTCTATACGATACCAGTACTTTGATTCTACACCTAGCTGACCTTTTCCCTTTACAATATACCTCTGCGCCGCTCACTTACGCGCGCCACTCGCTTACCGATTACGTTTAACGCGATCGGTAAGCGAGTGGCCCAACTCTGTATTCTATATAGGATAACCACTATTGAGACCAATTATCTCAACAAATATAATACCTAAGAATCTAAGACTTTAATATACAGTAAATAAGTATATTCTTTATTGATGAAGTCTTTTCTAGAGATTAAAAATCGATATTTCTTAAATATTTAGAATTTACTTCAAATTACAAAGATTACAAAAATATATATGTATTTAGGTAATCAAAGTAATTATATACTATTCTTAAGTAGTGTTAGATGATGCTAGTAATCTGTAACTTAACTCTAAAGTTATAAAAGATATTTGTAAGATATGGTTGAGATATTCAGCCTATAAAAATAGCTGTTTTCTATGGAATACGGAGTTGGGGCCACTCGCCTACATGGGCCACTCGCTTACCGATTACGTTAACTAATTAGTAGTTGATTACACCAAACATATATATTGATATCCGACTACCAGTAGTGCCGCCACCAATGAACTTTTGAAACGCCCCTGAAGTTTCTCTGCAGCAACATCAACGACGACGTCACTTGTCCCACAAGAAAATCGCGATCATCACGATGGCCGTAGGCGAAACTGATCTTAAAACTCTTCTCTCGACTCTGGAACCAATCCTCCACGCAGATTCATTCGTCTTCCTCACTATCCCCAACACAGCTGTCTCCCAGGTGCGCCCAGATCTGCTTGCGCTACAGCCGCAACTTCTTTTTCAGGAAAGGGAAGGTACCACAATTATCATTACTCGCGAACAAGCCGTGTCGCACGGCTTTACCGACTACGTGTTTCCCTGTCGCATGATCTCTCTTAGCGTGCATTCGAGTCTGGAGGCAGTGGGGCTGATCGCTGCCATCAGCGCGCAGCTCAGAGATGCAGGCGTTAGCGCCAATGTGGTTAGCGGGTTCTATCATGATCATATCTTCGTACCGGAGGGAAAGGAGGAGGTAGCAATGCAGGCCATTGAAGGGATGGCACGGGGGAGCTGATTTGAGTTGATCTGACCAGCTTCGATGGAAGAGAACGGGTACACAGAAAGGAGTTCTCTGTACTGTATTTACATATGGACCAATCCTTTAAGACTATGGTTTGTGTAAATAATAACAAAGGAGAGGTTTGGCGATAAGCAATACTATAGCTCGCTGTTGTAATTACGGTAAGTGGTTCTATCATAAGTGCTTGGATAGAGAAGTATGAGTCATGTATACTCCGACACTTGGTGGGTTCATTACTCTGATTTCTTTGCACGTTCATTGTAGATGTTATTTCGAGTTTCAAAAGTATCATTACCTACCCTCAAAGACTTGGCTTTTTCAGTCCGGCCAATTGTTCGAACCATATATAATCCCCCGTTTTCTGATAGAGATATACGCTATTAGATAATGACACCCATCACTCAGCCCCCTAGCCTCGTCCTCCGGTTCGAGCAGGCAGAGGAGATTCACGTTATTCAGCAAGCTAAGACGCTCCAGAAACTGTACCCATCCCACGACCTCTGCATCCAACGCCAGCAGATGACTGGAGGCGTCGCCATTCGCACCCTCCCCCAATTCGAGGGAAAACTGAATCGCGCCGTTGGCCTGAGCCTTCGAGGCCCGTTTACGCTCCAAGTTCTCCGCGAACTCGAGTCAACGTATGCCACCATTGGCTTGCATCCGGAAATTCATCTGTGCGAGTACGCAGATCCCTCCGCTTGGCAGGTCCTCGCTCGCGCAGGGTACTTCTCAAAGGGGACCTTGAGTGTATATTACGTGGATCTCGAGAACCTGCGTGGTCAATCTGCAGCTGCGTGCTCGAATGAGAACCTGAAAGTCACAGAGGTGACGTCGAACGTTGATCGCGAACGATTCGCCGCTGCGTCGATTGCGGGCTTCGCGGATGGAGGACGCTCTGAAGAGTTGCTGGGCGCGTTGGCGAGAATCGCCACCCTGAGAGATGATACAAGTCTCTATATCGCGACGACTGACGGGGGCAAAGTGGTTGGGACTGCAGCATTGGGAGTTTTGAGCACAGATACGCTGGGCGGGAGCGTAGGACACTTGTACTTGGATAGTACAGTGCCGGGGTATCGCGGAATGGGCGCACATGCGGCATTGATCCATGCGCGTTTGAGAGTTGCACAAGGGAAGGGATTGAAGTCGGTGACGCTGAGTACAAGGCAAGGCAGTGGAAGCGCTAGAAATGCAGAAAAAGCTGGGTTCAGAGTGACATATCGAAAGGAGATACTTGTTAAAGGATAAGGTGGTGTGGAGCGACGCATATAGTTGCACACTCCTAGATCGGTCTTGCGCCGCATTTTGTTTTTGCCATGGATTGCATAGTATCAGGTTGCAGGGTACGCACTTGCGCGTTATATCAGAGCCTTATATATCGTAGTCCACAAGAACATTCGACTGGTCACTACTGGTGTCATTCCTACAGTGTATGGATTCTTGCTGATAGGATGAGTAGATGTAGCCTCTGTCCCTGTGGACCAGTCGACTTTAAACACCATGCACTAAAAGTGTCTATATTTGGCCGTGAGCGATCGCCAGCGGCAGACTCCAGCTAATCAAGCATTGCTCGTCTTAATGCACAGCTTGTGACCATTGACACAATTCGCATCAAGGCCCGAAGCTGCTGTGCGGGGCCAGTGTGCGTTCTGGTCTCGGAATGTTCCTAATAGGAGATTACCCGCAACTTGCTGCCAATCTGGATTGAAGTCCGTACATCGGCTTTAGATAGTGGCCTTCCAAGGCTCGCTGCAAATGCCTGTCAATCCGCCGGTCACAGGCGTCCTGATTGATGAAGGTGAAAGCAATATGCTCTTTGTTCAAGTGGCTGCTGCACTGTTAGCATTGCTATCAACACCGACCGCCTCCAGCCGAGCCTTCTTGGCTCTGCGCTTCATCTCGCGTTTCGATAGCGGCTTTTCAATCTCCTCAGTAGTTGCCTCGGAACCAAGCGATGCTTTTCTTTTCAAGCCATCGGCTTTAGTTTCTGCGGGTTCCCTCAATTGTTTAGGTGCCGCTCCTGGGGTCTTCACGGCAGGGCTACTTCCTCCATCAACGATGTCCACAATCCCACGCCAGCTTGTTCGTTTCAACCTAGCCAAGGCGGTCACCTTCCTAGCCTCTTCACAGACAGCCTCTTTACCGCGTTCCTGTGACAAGCCCCAGACGCATGCAAGATTGATCACATCCCACGGAGCCCGCACGCTCAGAGCCTTTCGCGCCTCGCTTGACACAATAATTCCTCGACCACGTGTTGCTCGTATCAGACTCATGGCATTCCCAATTAGGTTGCGTCGAGCCTCCAGACCACTACCCGTAACACCCGGGCCGTAACAGATCTCAAAACGAACCCCACGTGAGATGGCGGCGGAAACCATTTTGAATTTGAAGTGGAACGGCAGTCGTACGGAGAAATCCAATGAGATAATATCACATTCCAAATTGGTGCATGTATTCAAGAGAGCTTTCTCGTTGGTGGGCCGAAGGGCAACTAAATCATAAGCTTGCGTCAGGCTGGCAAGGCGTTGATTTTGCGCAGGGTCGGTGAGGGTCAGATTCAGACGGCTAAGAAGCGTCAGGCTCCGAGGAACATCCTTTGGGGCAGGTGAAGCAGTCAGGCTTGCGGGCAGTTTCCCGGTTATCGTCTCTGACAGTGCAATCGTTGTGTAGCCGACTAGATGTCAGGTCAGTTCTTCATGTGCCTCTGGGAGACGCGCAGTATGCTGCGCCGGTCTCGTGCCTTGGGGAAGCATGACGCACGTTCTGCAAGGAAGTTCAAAGTATGAGCAGTTTCGGGATCACCCGGGCTATAGGGCACATTCAAATCGTAGAACATGATGGCGGCAGAATAGCACCCTGTTTTCTACTTAAGATCCTTGGGTTTTGAGCCAAATGACTACCGACTAAGTTGCTTTGCGAGCTGTTTTAGAACGGGCATCTGAAAATCATCCGCATCATTATTCCGCCGAGCCGGCAAATGATCTCGTCTCCAGAGGGCAAGTCTCGTGACCGCAAAGGCGGAGCGAAACGCTCTCGGCCTTTCTGATCAACCACCCATAATAATACTATACTCCTCTGTGCCTTGGTCGCTCTGGACGATAGCACGGCTGCGCAATTTAGACGGGTTTTTGGCCTCCTGGTCTTGCGGCTGCTGTTGTCTGTCCTTCCGTTTTCTCATTCTTTCGCCGCGCCTTATCCCTCCCCCTTCGGTCCCCTCTCTACCCCGCCGCATTTTATCATTGGTGTCTGATTGTGGGCTGACCCTGAAGCTGATCGCCCAGCCGCCATCACGATGGCGCGCGTCTACGCTGATGTCAATGAGCATATGCCCCGGTCTTACTGGGACTATGACAGTGTGAACATCTCCTGGGGTGTCCTGGAGAATTACGAGGTGGTCCGCAAGATTGGTAAGGGCGAATACATTCTCCTTTATTTCATTCTCCGCAGAAAGAGCCATTCCAGGCCAAGGTTGTGATGGGTATTGTGGACTGACAGTGGCTTCCTCACAGGACGCGGCAAGTACTCGGAGGTGTTTGAGGGCATCAATGTTGTCAACTATCAGAAGTGTGTCATCAAGGTTCTCAAGCCAGTCAAGAAGAAGAAGATCAAGCGTGAAATCAAGATTCTTCAAAACCTGGCAGGTGGCCCCAATGTGGTAGCCCTCTTAGACGTCGTTCGTGACAGCCAGAGCAAGACACCGAGTCTGGTTTTCGAGAATGTTAACAATACCGATTTCCGGACTCTGTATCCACGGTTTTCCGACTACGATGTCCGCTTCTACGTTTACGAATTGTTGAAAGCTCTGGACTTCTGCCACAGCAAGGGCATCATGCACCGGGATGTGAAGCCTCACAATGTCATGATTGATCATGAAAAGCGCAAGGTTGGTTGCTTTGAAAATTGCCTTCTACATGGTTCTTCACTGACGATTTTTAGCTTCGCCTCATCGATTGGGGTCTAGCTGAATTCTATCACAAGGGCACGGAGTATAATGTCCGCGTTGCTTCCAGATACTTCAAGGGTCCCGAGCTGCTTGTTGATTTTCAGGAATATGACTATTCCCTGGACATGTGGTCGCTGGGCGCGATGTTCGCATCCATGATTTTCCGCAAGGAGCCCTTCTTCCACGGGAACAGCAACTCTGACCAGCTGGTGAAGATTGCCAAGGTGCTTGGAACCGAGGAGCTGTTTGAGTACCTCGACAAGTATGAGATTGAGCTAGATCCACAGTATGACGATCTTCTCTCTCGCTTCCCCCGGAAGCCTTGGCACTCCTTCGTCAACGCAGAGAACCAGCGCTTCGTTAGTGACGAAGCGATTGACTTTTTGGACAAGTTGCTTCGATACGATCATGCGGTACGCGTCTTGTCATGTGCAGGCATGAAATGGTGCTAATATAATTTCCCTAGGAACGCCTCACTGCTCAAGAAGCTATGGCCCATCCGTATTTCGCCCCCGTGCGGGCTGCTGAGTCCCAAGCTGCTCGGAACAATAACACAGCATAGTTCTTACCATGCGGGTCGAACGCGCCTGATTTAGATCTACCCTGACTTTCTCCCTTTCTCTATGATACTCGCTCCGCGAGCCACATCCTGCAACAAGGGGACGGCAACCCCATCCTGTCTTCCAGAGGATCGGTGGAGTCGATGCAGAAAGAGTCAATTCAGAAGGGCTGTGCAGCTTTGGACTGATGCGTTCCGCGTGCATGAACTGAAGCGCCGCGGGTGCAATGAGTTATTGAATTCGGAGACGACGACGATGAACAGATGACATACACCTAATATATTTCTGCTTGATCCTCTTGGCATACCCAGTGAGTGGAATCTATCGAATGGTGTTTAGAGTCGGAGAAGGGTGTTCACTCCTGATATTATCCCTGCGTAACCTTTCCCACACTCCCCTGCGCCGGTTCACTGCAGCCCCTTTACCCTACTCGATTTTCCTTGTGGTTAATTGGACTGGTGTTAATGGGGATCTTTCTTGTTGGTTTGCCTTTGCATATTTTCTTTCAATTGTGGTGCCTTGCCATGCCTCAGCTTCGTTTATTATATGCATGCCAGTTTTAGTCTGATACGTCATTGAGAGGAGTGTGGTCCAGTTTGATGCAGTTGAGATGCTAGAGAGTCAGCTTCCCTCATGCTGCATTATACGGAGCCCAAAGGTTCTAGAGACTGTGACCGTGTCTGTATGGACCAAATGATGTACGTAGCGGTGCTTTTTTGGAAAGCATGATTCCGATAGCTTTACTAGGGCTCAGTAGAAGCTGGATAGTAGAACAATGTAATGGATAAGTAGTATTTGGTGTTTCACGTGACGTGACTCACCTTCACGACGATATCTTAGTGATTATTCGCCTCCGCCATTCTAAGGCAATAGAAATTGGGAATACCCCGGTGCAACCTAAGTGCTTAGATACCATCTTTTCAATCCCTAGGGTACTACTGTTGAATGCTTTGAGTTGGGGGCAATACCAGTTAGTCAAGGTAGTTCATGGAAACTGCAGTGGCCGATCTCGACTCCACCGCCCGCCAACATCTGGAGCCCCGCCAGTCCCATTCTCTGATTCGTTCCATTCTTTTGCTCTGAGCCAGGAAATTTAATTGCCCGCATTCGCACAACGACCCGAACCCCTCCCCCTCCTTGTCTTCCTCTCTATCGCCGTGTTTGCGTGAGTCACCCGGTGGTCAAGATACTTATCCGTCAGTTAGTGGCGCGAGCGGCGCCTTGGAGACTCCCTCCTCCCTCTCTGTCTCTACGACCTTTTACCAGAATGGCCCAACCTTCTGCCCCCCAGAACCCGAGTATGTTGCGACTATCACCCTCCGGCCCGCCATGTCAAGCTCGCAGACTGGTGTCTGATAAGTGGCTAACCATCTGGGTTTCAATCTAGCTGGTGAGCCTAAGGCTCCCGTCATCGATGTCCCTCCTCAGGCCGACGATCAATTGAGAAACCAGGATGCCGCTGCTGCCTCCAAGCCTGTTGAAGGACAGGACCCATCTGCACCTCCCAAAGTGAAGTCCGAGAAGGAACGTATGTATTGCAGGATCGTCCCTCAACCTGCTGTGATCCATGCTGACACAGTCTTTTAAAACCTTGCAGTGGAGCGTGAACGCCGTAAGGCCGAGAAAGCCAAGAAGTTCGCAGAGAAACAGGCCAAGGCCGCCGCTAAGCCTGCTGCGCCTAAGACTGAGAAGAAGGCCAAGATTGAGAAAGAGAAGACTACAGATGCCTATGATCCCAAAGTGATTGAGACAGGTCGCTATGAGTGGTGGGAGGAACGTGGCTTGTTTTTGCCCGAATTCGGCCCTGATGGCAAGGTTAAACCGGAAGGCTACTTCGTCATACCGATCCCTCCCCCTAACGTGACCGGTGCCCTTCACATGGGTCACGCCCTTACCAATGCGCTCCAAGACACTATGATCCGCTGGCAGCGTATGAAGGGCAAGACAACCTTGTGGTTGCCGGGCATGGACCATGCTGGTATTTCCACTCAGAGCGTTGTTGAGAAGATGCTTTGGAAGCTAGAGAAGAAGACCCGTCACGACTTGGGCCGTGAAGCAATGGTTGAGCGTGTCTGGGCTTGGAAGGATCAATATCACGCCAACATCAAGAATGCCTTACGGAGAGTCGGTGGATCCTTCGATTGGACTCGTGAGGCCTTCACGATGGATCCCAACCTGTCTGCAGCTGTTACGGAAACGTTTGTTCGACTTCATGAAGAGGGCATTATCTACCGTGCCAACCGTTTGGTCAACTGGTGTGTGGCCATGAACACCTCCCTTTCTAACCTGGAGGTCGAAAACAAGGAGGTCGAGGGCCGTACCCTTCTCGATGTTCCCGGCTACGAAAAGAAGGTTGAGTTCGGTGTGTTGACCCACTTCTGCTACGAGATCGATGGTTCCGACGAGCGAATTCAGATCGCCACCACTCGTCCTGAGACTATGATCGGTGATAGTGGTATCGCTGTTCATCCCGATGACAAGCGCTACCAGCACCTGATCGGCAAGTTCGCCCGCCACCCGTTCGTGGATCGCTTGATGCCCGTTGTCGCCGATACGGACGTCGATCCCGAATTCGGTACGGGAGCTGTCAAGATCACTCCGGCTCACGACTTCAACGATTTTAACCGCGGAAAGGCACACAACCTTGAATTCATCTCAGTATTGAACGACGATGGTACTTTCAACAGCAAAGGTGGACCTTTTGCTGGAATGAAACGCTTCGACGCCCGCTACAAGGTCATTGAGATGTTGAAGGAGAAGGGATTGTACGTCAAATGGGAGCACAACCCCATGAAGATCCCTCGGTGCGCCAAATCCAATGATGTCATCGAACCTATTCTCAAGCCTCAGTGGTGGATGAAGATGAAGGACCTCGCTGAGCCTGCCATCAAGGCTGTCGAAAGCGGCGAGATCATCATTAGACCAGAGTCTGCCGAGAAGAGCTACTTCCGCTGGTTGAATAACATCAACGATTGGTGTCTGTCTAGGCAGCTTTGGTGGGGACACCAGGCTCCCGCCTATTTCGTGAAGATCGAAGGCGAGGAAGGTGATGACAGTGACGAGAACCTCTGGGTTACCGGTCGCACAGAAGAGGCGGCTCGGGAGAAGGCGGCGGCCAAATTCCCCGGCAAGAAATTCACCTTGGTGAGAGACCCTGATGTTCTTGACACTTGGTTCTCCTCCGGATTATGGCCGTTCTCTACCCTGGGCTGGCCCCGTCAGACACATGATCTGGAGAATTTGTACCCTACATCCGTGCTGGAGACCGGTTGGGATATCCTTTTCTTCTGGGTGGCTCGCATGATCATGCTGGGCCTTAAGATGACAGGCAAGGTTCCCTTCAAGGAGGTGTACTGCCACTCCTTGATCAGAGATTCTGAGGGTCGCAAGATGTCTAAGTCATTGGGGAACGTCGTTGATCCTCTGGATGTTATGGAAGGCATCAAGCTGGAAGACCTTCATGCCAAGCTGCTCACCGGTAATCTTGCCGAGAAGGAGGTGGCCACTGCAACCAAGTACCAGAAGAAGGCCTTCCCTAAAGGTATTCCAGAGTGCGGCGCTGATGCCCTACGGTTTGCTCTTGTGTCCTACACTACTGGAGGTGAGTCCCCTTCACAAAGGTTTTATCCATTGTCATATTTACTGACGGTTCCATATCAGGTGGTGACATTGCCTTCGATATTCAAGTTATCCATGGCTATCGTCGATTCTGCAATAAGATATATCAGGCCACGAAGTTTGTGCTTGGCAAGCTGGGCGACGACTTCAAGCCTCGGCCGACCCCGACAAAGACTGGTACGGAATCTCTTGCGGAACGCTGGATTTTGCATAAATTCAACGCTGCCGCCAAGGAGATGAATGAGGCTCTTGAGCAGCGCGAGTTCTCGGCTTCGGCATCCATCGCCTACCAATACTGGTACAGCCAACTTTGTGATGTCTTTATCGAGAACTCCAAGTTCCTGCTTGCGCCCGAAAACCCGGCAGAAGTGCAGCAGTCGGCTAAGGAGACGCTCTACACCGCTCTCGAGGGTGCTCTGACTTTGATTCATCCCATGATGCCGTTTGTCACTGAGCACTTGTGGCAGCGCCTGCCTCGTCGCCCCGACGACAATACGATCTCAATTATGAAGGCCAAGTATCCCGAATATAAACCTGAATTCGAGGACCCTGAGGCTGAAACTGCCTATGAGCTGATCCTGAACGCCTCGAAGTCTATCCGGTCAATTCTCGCCCAGTATGAGATCAAGACCAGGGGCGACATCATCATCCAGACCTACGATGCCACCAGCTACAAGACCGTCTCGGACGAGCTTACTTCTATTAAGTCCCTTGGGGGCAAAACCCTGGGCGAGCTCAGCGTGCTGGGCCCGGAGAATACCAACCCCCCTTCAGGCTGCGTGGTTGCTCCCGTCAGCTCTGAGGCTGCTGTCTATCTCCGTGTTTCCAAGGAGGTCGCTTTGGAACAGGAGGAGAAGGCGAAGGCTAGTCTCGAGAAGGCACGCGAGACAGTGCGTCGTCAGCAGAAGCTCATTAGCGGCGCTGGCTGGAAAGAGAAGGCTAAGCCCGAAGTACGTGAAGCTGAAGAGAAGAAAATGCGTGATGCTGAGAGTGAGATGGCTCGTCTAGAGGAACAAATCCGTGAGTTTGAGAAGCTGCGGCTAGAGTAGACTTAACATGGCATTCGGTATACTCTTAAAGAAGATAGTGTCATCTCGAAACAATATGATTTTTTATTTTTCCCAATCAGTGCGACCAACAATGTAACCTTGAATTCGATCGGTGCTCCATTATGTTATGAAAGGCCAGCGGTTGGCCCAAGAACATGGGTCGGTTGGTATGACATTAAGCTTATCGATAAGCGGTGCCAAGACCATTTCCGCCAAAACTTTTCACTCCGCCTTTTTCTTTCCATTTTCGTGAGCCCAGTCAGTGTCCCCTTATCAATTCAAACCAAGTTGTTCAGTGCTCAGAACTGGGTAAAAAAATGCTCAGAGAAGTGTGAGTAAAACCTGCAATCTTTCTGATTACCTATGTGATCTAGTGTTCAAGTCGCCATACTTACACGAAATCTCTACTGCCTCAGAAAACCGAAGAATGCGCGCACAGCGCGCATCCTGAAGGCCAAAGAACCTCAGCTCATTGAGCCTTCCAAGCGTACGCTACTATTGCACGGCTCGAAATGTCCGCAAGCATTACACACTGTTTTGAAGACCTTCCACTCCTTGACGAGACCGAACTCGGTCTTGTTCCACAAAAAGAACGAGAACATCCACCCGTTTGAAAGCGTTGAGAGTCTCGAATTTTTGGCCAACAAGAACGAATGTGGTCTTGTGGTATTCGGTAGCAGCAATAAGAAACGCCCCAACTGCGTTACTCTGGCACGTGTATTCGATTCCAAGGTCCTTGATATGTGTGAATTGATGCTTCTGCCGCACCCGGAGGCAGAGCAACACAACGATCTTGCCATGCATATTGGCGTCGGGCTACGGCCAATGCTCCTTTTCTCAGGTAGTGCTTGGGATGACTCGACTTCGGTGGCGCATGTTATGCTGAAGAGCATGTTCTTGGATCTGTTCAGGGGCGAGACGAGTGATAAGATTGACGTGGAGGGGTTGCAATATATCCTAATGATCGGTGCCGAGGAACCCACCGAAGGGTTGGCCCCTGTTGTCCATCTGCGGTGGTACAAGCTTCGCACGAAGCGCAGTGGGCACAAGCTTCCCCGGGTGGAGCTTGACGAGATTGGACCTAAGTTCGACTTCAAGATTGGACGTCTGCAGGAGGCTCCTCGGGACGCGATGAAGGAGGCCATGAAGCAAGGCAAGAGACCCAATGAGGAGATCAAGATGAAGAAGAACATCAGCATGGATTCAATCGGTGATAAGATTGGCCGTGTCCACTTGGGCAAGCAGGATCTCAGTGGGTTGCAGACTCGGAAGATGAAGGGATTGAAGCGCCGCGCAGGTGTGGAGTCGGATGATGAGGACCAGGATATGATGGACGTGGACGAGATCTCGGAGGATGAAGGACGCAAGAGAGCTAAGATGGCTTGAAGCTCGCGTCGATTCACATCGAGTTGCAATTCGATTTATCAACTTACTGACTATATCTATCTAAACTGCGCACGAGGCGTTTCTGGGGGTTCGGATTTCACACTGGCCATGAGCCAGCACCTAGCTCATATATGAACCTGTTCGATACGTGTTTGTTTCATAGAAATCTGCAATTGAAAAAGTTTTACCATTCCGAACACCCATATTCCTGAATTAAGGCATCACGTTGTTCTCGTCATACAGTCCATTTGTGAAGACCTCTTGAATATCCCACGTGACCATGACGTTGCGCTCGGCCCGTCTCTCACATGCCGAGGATCTCGTCTCTGGCTTCGCGGTTCATCACAGCTCCCATAAATGCCGTACTTCCCCCACTTCCCTACTCTGGATGTCTTCTAGGTTTGGAGCAGCGTTCTGTGTTGCTTGCCTACCTTGGAGACTCCATGATCTGCAGCTTAGCTTCTCTATTGAATCTTGCTGGTGGAAGCAAGATTTATCACTTTTCTGAATTCATTTCGCTTGCCGAGGCTCTTGAAACAAAGCACGATGGACGCCCTCACTGTAAGGTCGCACTCTTTCGTCTCTATATTTCGGGCCTTGTGCTGCTCTAACCACTGCTCAGGCTTCTCTGGATGCTTTGATCACTAATCCCGAGCTTGCACCGCTTCTGTCTCTCCTGAAAGGCATTCGCAATGGTGCTGTTTACGGGGCCAAGGTCCGCTTTCCGCATGCTCTGGTGTATGTTCCCTTGAAAACCAGGTATCCGGGCCACTTTTCGTAAAGAGCCAGGCTGACTTGGTACACGCATTGCTCATAGGATGATTCTACTTTTTCGTTCAGGAACGTATGGCAATCCAGTCCTTACTATAAAGATATATAGATCACTCATGCTGATGACGATATAGCTTCCGTGAGAAAGCTAAGCTTGTCCTTAAAGCTACCAGACAACATGCTCGGAATTTGGCCACCTTTGCACTGATATACAAGGGTTCGATGATTCTGCTGCGCAATATTAAACCCGTTGCTGTGGGCAAAGAAGGACGATACGATAGCTTCTTTGCTGGGCTATTGGGAGGCTATGCAGTCTTCGGCCGGCATAAGACTAGCATCACTCAGCAGGTACATGGTTGAGTATTCAGAGGTTAGAGGGGACCAATCACTAACGCTATCGGCAGATTGTGATTTATATCTTTGCTCGTGTGGTACTTGCGCTAGCCAAACTCGCCATTCGTCCGGGAATGCACCCGCTTTCCCCTTTAATCACTCCGCAAACGCGAGCTCAGATGGAGATCAATGCTTGGCCGGTTTTTGCCAGCTTGTCCTGGGCATTTGTCATGTACATCTTCCGCTGGCATCCCGACACATTGATGTCAAGTCTTAGGAGTAGCATGGTGTATATGTATGCGATGACTCTTGTTGCCTTGTCTGCCTTTCGCAATGCTAAATTCTATTTCAGTTACGCCGACTCTGACCACTGGGACTCGTTCCGAAATTTTCTGATTCACAACAAATAAGCTCACTGAAGAGATTCACGTCCTTTTTGGGCCTTGGTCACCTCCGAAAGCCGTGCTACGTCACATGGTGACATATAGATATGGTGCGTTCAGGGTATTGTTGATTATTGCAAAGTAGATCCCTATATCCGTGCTTTATGGGTATTGAACAAGCAGGCGCCGCGCAGCGCCCGTACCCTTGATGCCCTGCCGCAGGCGGTCTTGGGTGTCAAGTACACGATAGAACATAAATGGCTCTATACAGTCGGCCCTGCTGCAATTACAGTCATAAATGAAGCCGCGAGAACGATTTGTTCAAGAATATTTCCAAGCAGTGTCGTGGTAAAAGGTTGATGACGAGCTTTCATGTGAAATAATCCAGAAGAGCGACGAAAAGAGTCATGGGCTTCGTGATCCACCTCATATATCCATCTCTCGGGGAATGATTACCATCATATGAATGTGACTAATTCCTGATACCTCATCTTTAAATCAGGTCCAAGGTGCCTTCATTGACCATAAGTAGAGACCTGCTCGAGGCAAGAGCATTAATCAAACCGCAAAAATCTTGCCTAGGTCCTAGCTCTTGGGTTGCCACTGAGCCCATAGGAGGGACATCACCACAAACGGACCTGTGACGTAGGACAGAGTCTTCGTGTCAGGGCAGGAAGCATGATCCAGTACAGCCCATAAGTGTGGTGAATTTAGAAACCTTCTATTATCGATAGTGCCCGGACTTCGAGGCGGTTCGCCGTAGCATTGCTGCCGTGTGGTTGATGGAGTACGGTCCAGAGATTGTTGCAAAGCAGGACGACCATTGTTTGATCATCTGCAGCCACCGAGTGACATTATTTATACTAGGCATGTGCCCAAGCTCTCATTAAGGAGCTTTAAAGTCAACTTGAATTGCTGATTGGCATCCTCCTTGATCTTAGGATCCGCGGGATCCATCTTCATACCTCTGATACTAAAATTGGTCAGAGGCAATCTCGAATTCATTCTGAAGAAAACTTACGGCCGCAGGTCTCTCCCGATATATGGAGTTTGCCAATACTTCATGATCAACATGTTCTTCAAGATCTTGTGTTCTATGCCTGCAAATTCGGCAGCTCTCTGGAGAAATTGGACGGTATTGGCTACTCGCTGCAAATCCAGGTTTGTTGGGGGCGATGAACGGAATGAGGAGCGCAAAGTGTTCCGCAAGACGTATCGAGCTGGCGTCGAATAGTTCACAGCCTTCAACCCATGACGATACAGTTGACGGTAGGCGTCAACGACAGCTTCCGGGTCTCCCAGACTCTTAACGGACTTCATCGGAGAAACCATCGCGCCAGGAAATCGAGGTCCCTACTGCGTACCTGCGTAGATGTAGAGCTAGCGTGCAACACAGACGGGAGAGTCACAGACAGACTGGAACCACAGAGATCAGAATGCTGCAAGCCGTCGCCGGCAGCTGTTAACGCTAACCATATACGGCAGTCATAATCAACACCCGCGCGTTAGGCCGCAAAGGGTTTAAGTTGGGTCGGACTTCTTTAGCTTTCCCTCCCACTGCGTGCTCCGCCCAGCCTGCCTGCCTGCCTGCTCGCTCCCTCCATCATACTATTTACTTACTTATTATCTCTCTCGAACTTTGAGCAAGCTGATCTTCCTTGCTTACCCCTGGACTCTCTTTCTCCCAGCAGTGAGGGCACCCGAAGGACAAGCTTGTCACGTTCACCACCGGTCCTTTCTTTTCGAAGCGGCCCGTGGTTTGGTGCTTTGGAGTATCAGCGCGCCATTGTTGTGTAGACATATGTGATGGACTAGCTGGTCTCACTACCTGACCTGACCTGCCTTCCTCATCCTTTGAACCACAGCAGATACGGATACCTGGGCTCCCTTCGTCTGATATCTGCTTCGGTTCCAGCGCTTGGCTGTCTTCAAAGAGTGCGTATCTGAACCGACTGACTTGATGCCGGTAAAATGAAGGACTGTGTTCTGTAGCTACGTGCGAAGACTCTCTCCTCCAGCACCATGGCCCGAGTATCTCGGAGAGCCACGTCGGTCTTTCCCAGACGGGCGCCAAGCAGGATAGTCAAGCGGACGGCACGCAGGCATAAAGTGATTCTGGAATCCGTTACGCAGGAGAAGAAGAAACTTCGAAGTGTCGTATGTTCTGTTGTCTTGCTCATACCTCACGGGCGTCCTTGACAATCAAATTAGATATCGTTCGAAGCAAAAGCCCCTCCTGGTTACACCTTCATTCCTGCTGGGAACCCCCAGCTCACGACTGCGTGTAAAGAAATCTGTCGAAAGGGCAGTTTGAAGGTGTTTGCTGTTTCGGTATGCCGACAGCCATTCTCTTTTCTTGCCGTGTTCTTTCTTTGCCAGCAACCCGGCGTTAGAATTCTGATATCGTGTCATAGACAACGCCGCATATGCATACGCACAATCTCTCCCAGCATGTTCACCGAATAGGATATCACTTTCCCAGTACTGTTGTTGCAACAGTCTGTATGGATTTGGGACTCCATCTTACATCAGCAGGGAAAACCATGCCATTTCAGACCGCTGGTAGTACCAAATCCCGCAAGCGTGCTAATTCAGAAGCTTCTCAGACAACAATCAATACTGAAGCCAGGGATGTCCTCAGGGATCTCTTCCCTAGCATCCCAGACAATGACCTGAATCAAATCATAAAAACTGCTTTCCAGAAGGTATGTGAATAAGAATCGCAAATAAGGCTTCCAAGTTCCACGGCGGAAGAAGAGACGATACAGGCCAAGATATACTGAAATTGTGTCAAGGGCCAGCGAAAAGTAGGCACGGCCATCGAATTGCCCTTAGCCCGTCGCGCCCAGCTGGCTGTTGTGGCCCATATACGACATATTTATACTGAATATGATCGTTTGTTGAAAGCAACATCTTTCCACGAGGCGAGAAGCGTGGTCGAAGAACCTACCCTAGCCAAGTTGGTGGAATGGAGGGGTGATGATGAGAACGGAAAGATCGTCCTTGAGGATGTCTTTCGTGAGGTCATTGTGATATCTGATGAGGAGGACAGTGACACCGAGGAAGAAACAATGCAGTCCTTCGAACGTGACCCAAGTGTAGTACTTGTCTCAAGCAACCCGAGGGCTGAAGAACTACAGACAAACCCAGTCACCTATGCCAGCTCTAGCTTACGGGAAGCCCAGCTGGATATATCGGACGAGGAAGCGCCCCCTGGATTTCGTTTTGTTCCGGATGTTCCTAGGAATGACAAGCTTGATCGTCGTGGCTTCAGCCGGTACCAAGCATGGGACCGTGCTATTAACAAATATAGAAATAAAGCAGACGGGCCTAATCCGCGCAGACTGCCTGGGGACTCACCCGGAATTCAAAGGCCATTAAATGCTCGACGGCCATTGCAAGAAAACACCGGCTCGGGACCAGAGTCGATGATTTACCATGTCGAGGACAGACGCACATTCTCCATCCCATCCCATGTTACGACTAATGTGGAAACACTCAGCACTGCGCCGAGAAGGGCCTTGGTGAACCCTGCAATGGAGTATCATGTGAGTTTTCTAGCTCGACCATAGCTTCAGTCCTATGCATGCATCTACTGGAACTATTTGAATGAACTTTGTGCGTGCTAACTATCAACGAGTCTTATCCGTCGCTTCATACAACTGAGAGACCGTACCAGGTAAAGAGATTTTCACCCCCTTCTGAAGGGCTTCCCTTGGGTCGAACACAACCTTCTCAGCGAGAAAGGCGGAATAACCCCCGTGAGAAGTCTCTGAATGGCCCTATCTTTGTGAGTAGCCATAGCATTGTATCCGGACACCCGCTTGAGCAGCAGCAGCAGCCTCTGGAATATTCCCACAGCAGGACTATCTCGCACCCAGAGGATCGCGCCTTGCCCTCCATAGAGAACCCTCTCCCCGCGGACCTGGGACGCCCCAATAGTGGCCCTGTGGAGAGCCTTGCCAAACGGATGTCTGGAGGATTTGCAATCCGCTCTGTAACCCCCAATCGTGTACCTCCCCAGGAAGTTCCCCGTCGAGAACTCGCCGAGACTGTCCAATATCAGACTGCGAAGCGCAGGCGGACCACATTCTATGAGCCGGTGCAACCTGAAGAAATCCGCCAAAGTATCCCTTCTGCTATTGCGAGAACTGCTCGTCCAGGTGAACAATTGGCTTCCTCGACATATATTCCACCAGGGCGGTCAGCCCAAGGAAATTCTTCTGGCCGTAGGAATTATGCCGCTCCGGTTGGCTCCATTCATGCTACTGATCGTCAGCCCGAGGAATCCCTATATCCATCCTATACCACCCGGGTTAGCTTTCGAGACGAGGCTACTCCACGTCAGATACCGCTTCATAATTGTGACAATGCCGCGCCCAATATGCTTACCCGTGAAATGCCCAACCATTACAGGTCTCCAGCTGGCGTTGAGCTAACTTCACGGTATGCCATTCTCGAGGATAGAAGCAATGAAGGGCTAGTTCCTGTTCGGCCCATTGGCATGGCAGGAAAGAATTATGACGCGAGGTTACTCAAGCTCGATAATGGTCATTTGAGGCTTCCTGAGGTGGAAGGAACACACCCAACTACTTGGGCTGGTCGAAACCACGGACCTGCTCTTGCTCTACAAGAAAATTCTCACAGAAGGGGCCATTATGCCGATGACTTTGTTCGTGCCATTGATCTGACTAATTCCGGTCCATCGGAGTATCCGCCGGAGCGTCGTCTTCAGGCAAACTACGCTTCAGCGACCCGCCCTGAACCGGTTAGGCTTGACCATGTCCACGGTAGTCAGCATATTAACCAGCAGGTCGGATCAGAATCAAACCCCCTTCCAGACCGCATTCATGAGGATCCCTGGGCAAGATCCGCGAATCCGAGGTATGGCTTAGTGAACGACGGGATTGAGCGCTATCATGGAATGCATGAAAGTTCAACAACCGGAAAGTGTTACATTGACAGAATTTATGGAGAGGCACCGCTCCTTTCACGGTATGAAAAAATGATTCTAGTCGCTTCACTCCATCACAATGATTCGATTGAGCATATGCTAACCGGGACGTTATAGTGAAAGGGAGATGATCGTGCCTCACCGCTATGGTCGACGCCCTCAAGAAGTGCCGTATCCCACTCATGTAAGAGAGCCTGAACGATCCCGTCCTGCGATTGCAGAGGGTAGAACCATTGTTATTGTGGATTGATTCGATTTTACCCACAAGGGAAGGGTTTTCTGATATTACCGCTCGTTCGTCTCATTCGCAATGTAAATGTCTATGCGGAGTGTACATACTATTTTTTACCGGTGGAGCGCACAAGATACCCGACTTGGTGACAAACAAAGTAATTCTAGCAGGCGTGCTTAGCGTTCGAATAACGCTAGTAAATATCAACCAAATGAGACACGCAGGTTCAAGGTGATATGAACACAGTAGCCAAAAAGGAGGAGAGAAAGAAAAGAGCGAATTCCCATTCAGTCTGTTTCCAACGCCGTGCCTAACCATCGTCCCTATCTTGAATCTGACACTTTCAAGCACATTAGGCCTGGGCATCCGCATTCTCACTGATGATAGTCCCACTGAGGACAGGCTTTCCAGTCTTCTTGATCGTCTCCAGTACAGTCTCATACGACACAGACGGGTCAGTCACAACCGTTGCGGTCTGCGTATCCAGGCGGACGTCGAAGGATTTGACTCCTAATATAGACGAAACTCCCATGTTAACAACTATGCGGGAGATCACATGGCACCCGAGGGGGGGGGAAAGCAATCAGTCATACCTTCAAGCTTCTTCAGGACCCGTTCCACGGCTCCAGAGCAACCGCCGCAGCTCATGGTGACCTCGAATTTGTACTGATTGTCCGACATGATGACGACAGGGAGGGCGGGGAACGAATAGAGTAAGAAGAGTGTCGATAGGATATAATAAATATTGCTTATGTGTTATTGTTTGGTGTTTCGCTGTATCGAACGCGGATGGTCTTTAGCCTGTAGAATTCAGTGCCTGGATGTTTTTGCAGATCGGAATTAGCAACGCTGGCAATAATAAATAATGATGGCGGGGCTAAAGTTGGAGAGGCAAGGGGGTAAGGGAGTGCTTGGTGGGGCAAAAGGCAAATAATTGCTAACTATGGATTAATTGTACCTGAAACTTGCAGCAGGGGAAGCAGGGAGAAGGGACGGATGACCTCTTTGTTGCCTCCAAGTGTTCTTTTCTTTGTTTTCTACAAAAATGCGGAGAGGGCGACAAAGATAGATTATTGCTGATGATCTGACGAGTAACCTTTTTATATGTACTGTTCTCCGCTCTACTGGTGGGGTTGTTGACATGTAAGAAGAGAGAAAACGCATTAATCGCTCATCTCTGTCGGTTGGATTATTAATCCCGACAGACGCCCTTGAATAAGTATCTATATGACAAAAACGCAAAGAACAGCTTCATCATCGTCTAGAACCCGGCCGCCCGCTTCTTTTTCCTCGCCTTCACCACGCTCTTCCGCCCAGCCTCACGACCACCAAACATACCCCGCTCAATCTGGGTCATTGACACATTTTGTTCTGCCATCTGACTGCTATGCAGACGGAGAGTGGGCGGCTCATGGTTTTCGGGTTGACTTCCCCATGTCCGGGAGATGTCAGTGATGACAGGCGTAGGAAGAGGTGTTGAACCAGCTTGTTCACCTCCATGCAACGAGGCTGTCCTTCTCCGTGAGCGCCGCCGCTTGGGGGTCGTGGCCATAATACCGTGAGAACCTACGGCATGTCTTTGCCAGTTATAGTCGGCGGGGTTGACACCAGGTTGCCAGTGCTGGAGCATGTTTGCTGTGCCCCGATTCATTGCGTGCTCAGCTTTGAAGGTGGTAAAAGCTGATAGACTGGTGTATGCTGGTGCTGTGTCCTCTTGTCTTTCGAACTCAGTCGCGTCTAGCCTTCGGCTTTTCCTGCTCGTCGCGCCGCCTTCGAGTGTGTTTCTGTTGTTCTCATCTGATAAAGTAGATGATAGACCCTCCTCTCTTTCAAGTGGGGTTTCCGCAGACGAAGATGCATCTCTTACACGACCTGCTTGTTCAGAACTCCTAGGACCATGTTCTACCTTGCGTGTGATGCTGAATTGTGCTAGAATAAGATCGGCTACTACACCCCGGATGATTTGTTCTTTCATGATTCTGGTGCGTCCGGGTATGCTGTGGGGTAAATAACCAAGCCATTCATTGACCATTTCATCGTAAATTGCTATGAGATTCAATGGTTGATTAACATCGGCTGATACGGTGGTCTGAGAAGTAACCGAATCGAATATACTGGAGGTTTGGATCGTGGGATATAGGTGGTTTATAAATTCCGGGCGGCTGAGAGCCATTCGTGACCAGAAAGAGTTCCATTCGTGCGAATTCCGGTCGATATCATCCAGTAGTGGGCCGCCACCGAGGAGCTCGAGCCTTGCATAGAATTAGAGTCGGTACAAAATATAGTTTTGACAAAAGCGATCAAAGCAAACTTACCCCGTCGGGTTTGTCAGCTGGTTACTGGCCTCGATGTCTGCAAGCAGCATCTCCAGCTGTTGAATCATATTATCGAGGCTATCGCGATGATGTTTGTCACCACCTTTCTTACTCGATGATAGCCCTAATCTACCGGTTGCGACAGCATAGATCTGTGTATAGTCAATCGTCCACTGCGGAATTGCAAGTGGTGTAATGCTAGAGATTGTAGCATCCAAAGTCAACAGACCACTCCTCGCCGACTCGTCCCAGTCATGCAATATGAAATCCTCTTCGAAGGTTGTTGATTGAGTCCGTGGCATTCCTGGGCCTCGCTTTCTCGCCTTCAAGACATCGATGGGAAGCGAATCTCCGTCTGCGGCACTACCACGGGCAAGCCCGACATATACTGATTCCCGTACAGACAGCCGCGAGTCCAACGCAAACAGCTTTAGAATACTGGCCTGGCAAAAGTCGGTCGTTTTACTGATTGGTAACGACAGGTGACCGGTTTCTCTAAAAATAAGCGTTGATAACTGTGTAGTGTTCGGCGATAGCTGATAATCTGCAGGAATATCAGATAGCGGAATGTCAAGTATTACCGGGTCGTGCAGAGCTATCGTCTCTGCCCCGGTGTCATGCGTATGAGAACAAGGAAAGACCAGTGTGAAAGGATTTAGTCGCGAATAGAGTATGAGATAGAAGTCTGCTCACCAGCTGTCAGCGAACATCAACTGGTATAAGGATGCTGGCGTGCTCTACCTTCCTGTATAAGAAATGGATGAAGCCGCATCGTCGTGTCTTCTGAGTCACGAAAATGACGCCATGACACTTGAGGGAACACTGCAGGTCGCGAATGTGTCTCGTCACCAGTGATTGGACAAGATCCGGGCGTGAGGGCCAGCCAATAGATCCGGGATGTAGTCAGGATAAAGACATGCGACACGTTACAGGCGCTCCGTTTGACGTCTAGGATCCATTCGGACTCTCTCTTGAAGCCGAGTTCGATAGGATAAGGGTAGACTCGACCATCCTCTATCCGATATAATATTGGGCAGCGCCGGTCACACACAATAAAACTGTTGACATCTCCAACCCATTCAATAGCCGCCCATCCGTCATGACGAGGGCGGTCATCGTTGTCTTGGCCGTCATCAATATCGAGCCAGGGCAGAGAGCCAGCTTTAACGCATGCAGCCGCCCAGCTACTCTTATTCTTACTGTATCGACCCGAAAGGTCCCATATAGTCCAGCTACCTCGCACATCAACGATACCAAGCTGCTTCTGATACCAAGGGTTGAAGGTAACGTCTGCATGCGCGAACCCTCCAGTTTGTAAGATGGAGATCTCGACCACAGGGTTAGCATCAAGACTAGACATGCGGTATTCGCTCGACAATATATAATCCTGCTGTCGAGCAACCGTCGTAGGGACAGGGGTCCTATGATACTGCGGTCTGAAAATTGTCGTAAATTGGGGCAAACGAGCCGCCATCCATGTCGCTTGCTCTTCCACCGTTCGAGCGAAACAGATCTGGCGAACGGCTGCACCGCCCACGGACCAGTCGGTCTTCTCAACATCTCCAATAGAAGATACACGTGCCTTGACTAATTTTTCCTGTCTCAACTCGATACCATCCTCTTCGAGTTTTCGAAAGGAAATGATATTTCCGCACTCTCCCGATGCAACAACTGCTATTGGTACCCCACGTGCCCCCGACTCGCCGTTCTCCACGTCCACCGCATAACCGACATCCAGGAGGGAGGAAATCAAAGGGTCGCATATTTCACTCGTTGTTGAAATGACATGTGAGGTATTCTCGTTAGACGTAAGAGGCCAACACGCTGCAAGCTCGGGGTAAACTTGAGGTAGGACGCCGTTATTCTCGATCAAGGATGAGTGAGGTGCAGTCAAAGGTGATTTCACAGTACATTTAGTGACACCGGTATAATTGATGAAGGCAGCTTTGAACGTCAAAGTCAGTCTTTCCGTTTTTATTTGAATGGAATGCATTCACTTCGTTTAGGCGACTCACCTGGGCCCAGCTTTCGTGAGAACAGCCACGTTTGGGTCTCTGAATTATATGTTGATCGTCCCAGGTGCCCATATTGAAGAGCACCTAAAGGTTGTTCATCCATTGGACCTATTCTTTCTCGGGGCGACTAGCTCTAGCTGGGGCTGTGTTGGCGTGAGCATGTCGAGCACCGACCCGACGTGTTAATCAGATTGGGATGGAAGGACCAAATTCTTAGGCGCGCCAGTAAGTAGAAGCGGCTTTGAGCAGCCGAAGAGTCAGAGCCCCATGCGAATTCAATTAACCAGAAGTGTTTCCCTTGTAACTGGAAGTGAGGATTTAGTCTAGACAAGGCAGGACCGGAATCTCCAAAAAAAAAAAGATACTAAATCCATCAATGCCAAGCTTGTCACGCGGCGGTTGCGCCGCAACAAGTATAATTTACTAGCGTCCGTCCATGGACGCAATGGAAGAAAAACAATTACTTCCCCAAGCCCTTATCGCAATCAACTCTCGCTCACACCTTACTGATATCAGCCTCATAATGAACACCGCATTCGATCCCTCACTTTCGACAAGTGGCATGCGCCCGCCTCTCGCGTCGGCCGATGCGCCGTCGATGGCCGACTCCCTGCCCAGCATCAACTTTGGTTTTGAGGACCTACGTAATCGCATGGCCCAATTTACAGCTCGATTTGATGCCTTCATTGAGCGAGGCCGGAAACAAGTATTGGAGGAGAGAAATCAGTTCAAGAGCGGATTGGCAGAACTTCAAGGTAAGCAAGCACGTGAAGCGGACGCGTTATGGCGCGAACTGTCTCCCACTAACAGGGCGGCTTCCAGAGGACCAGCGTATGAGACACAGGGATATCGAGATTCTGGACTTGAAAGCACAAACCCATCAACAGACCCTGCAGAAAGAGGCCGCGGAGGCCGCGGAAATGCACACGGCCATCTCATCCGTCACCTTAGAACGCGACACTCGGCTCGCTAAGCGCGATCGCCTCAAGCAGCAAATCGACGAGACTCAGAAAACGATCAATCAAAGATTGGAAGCCCAGAAATCGCACGCCAAATATCTAGATGCGCAGGCTCGACTGAACATACCAGAGCTAGACTTCTGGCAAGATTATCTGTGTTTACGTATCGAGGGAGCCGGCCGAGAGGATCGGTTGAAGTTCGTCTATACGCACTTACTCGAAAAAGATTGGGAAGCTGAAGCCTGGTTCGAACTTGGAACTGCCAGTCGAGATTATGATGTCTTCCACACGCGACCCAAGGTTGATCGAGATGCGCTGGAGCGGGAACTTGACATCGTAAATGAAGATCGCGATTTTGGAGGGTTTTTGAAAAGAATGCGGAAGCTGTTTGTCGAAACAATGAAATAGCCAACTTCACTGGACAGGCATATATGTTTAATGATTCATGCTTATGGATACCAATTTGATGAACTTTCAGGAATACAAGCTACATGCGTAGGTAAGCCGCCGGCGGCCGCAACACATTTGAACATATACCAAAGGAGATGAAGGGAGAGTGTGCAGCCGTATGAACCGGTTTTTCGCCATGAGTTAAAACTTTTCAATTGGCTTCTATTGAAATTAGTTGCATGCCATGCGCGTCAAGATTAACCACCCGTAGCCTCGCGATAGAATGCTATGCTTCGGCTCGCCCCGGCCGTGGCAAACCCTTCGGAACGTCCGACTTTCGGCAGCCATCTTACGCTCCAGATTGATTTCTCGGTCTCGGAGTGAGTGGCTACACATGCTCTAGTGTCGATTGACCACACCTTGACTTTGCCGTCGAACGAGCTATTGAATATTAGCAACACAGCCTGAAGGCGTGCACCGCGTGTTTACTTACCCACTAAGAAGATATTCTCCCGTATTACTCCATGAGAGAGACATGATCCATGCTGCATGACCCGATAGATTGGCCACTTGCTCGCCGGATGAAGTATCATATAACACAATCACCTTCGAATCGCCGGCAGCAGCAAGGAACTTCCCCCCTGGAGAAAAAGCAACCGTTCTGACGGGCTTCACAAGGCCTAATTTTCAGTCAATACAAAAAGTCCTAAGGATATTGACGAATTACAAGGATAGCAGTGGACCAAGTTTTATACCTGATAAACTGAATGGCATGCGGCCTGTCTCGGTGCTGAAAATGTAGACACTGCCATTTTCATGTCCACTAGCAAGGAATCGGCCATCTGCGGACTACATGCCTGGATGAGCTTCATTTGATAGTAATGATTTTGAGGATTTTCGTTTCTTACCAGATCTATACAGGTGCCGAAGCTACCCTTTGTTTCGTAGTCTCGAATCTGCTCACCATTGGCATTTAGGTCCCAGACTTTGACGTGTCCATCTTGGCTGACACCAGCAAGATATTGCCCGTCCTCAGACAATGCGATTGCCCAGATGCCTACCGACCCAGCCTGGTTCACTGAGAAGAAATCAGTATAGCTCTCTGTGTTGCCCCAAGCTAGACACACGGCAATCAAACCTACCTGGAGCGATGCTATCCTTCGACCAAATGTCGTCGTGACAGGACCAGATCGCAATCTCGCCCACAAATCCAATGCTAGCTGCCCGTGATCCCTTGGAGTTGGTAACTACGTGGTGACAGCCAAGCTTATGGGCCTCATCGATGGATTGGACCAGCGGGAAGTCAGGGTCGACCGTCGAATGGACTTTGAGAGAAGAGGACCCAGATGCCGACAAGATCTGCTTGTCGGTCACGGCCAGCCCGTAGATGTCGGTGGGGTGTGCTATATGAGGGAATCAGCATGATTCAGCAAGTAGGTGAAAGATTCTACATAGATTTACGAACCATTGTCTGCGGAACCGCAGGAAAGATATTGTTTCGACTAGAACCGATAGGTTTCGAGTTAGAACAAAAGGCACCCAAAGGACGATGGTCTTTGGGATACACATTACCATTCCAGCTCCAAGTAAGGTCAAGACATTAAGCTTGGGCGGCGCGAAACGATACGAGCAGGTTGTGATGACGTGGTAGCTAGTTGCAAGAGTCGGCGTTGTTAAACACGCGAGCCTAAATCACAACAGCCACGGCGGGACAATCTCGCTGGCGACCGGATGAGATCATGAATCCCGGGTACGCGGAACATCAATTCATTTTACCACCCGCAATTCATGTCACAGCCCTTGAATTGCAGGACAAATAATACGGTCCTTCAAGTCAACAATGAATAGGAAAGAGTAGAAAATATAAGGAATAAAATTGGAAACAAAACATGAACCCTTAGTTGGACCAAACGCCGAATGCCATGCAGCATTTATCCTACACTTCGTATGGACCCGATATAATTATACAATACCAGCCAAATATAACTCAAGCATCTATCATCAGTCTAAGTTTCTCTTCTTGCGCTTCACTCGGTATTCTTGCGGCCCCATTGCTTCTTGATACCTGACAAAGAGATTAACGGGTCAGATGACTTCTCAAACCGCTAAGAGACAATCGAACTTACTGGCGACACAATGCGGACACAAAACATGTGCGCGCTTAATTTGCCCGCAGCCGGAGCAAGTGCTGAGACTCTTGACATCTTTCAATGCCTTGCCGGCCATCTGCCTATGACGCTTCTTCATATGGGATGTCTTCTTCTTCGGCACGGCACGGAGGACGGACTCCCAGATGTCGGACAGAATCCCGGGGATATTCAACGAAAATGCAGCCGGCCTCAAGAGAGACTGTGACAGTGCGGAGGCATTGAGTGTGAATTGAGTCCAGCGATCGACAGCGGTATTCGTGAGATCTGGTGTAAGATAACGAGCCTGGGGCAGCCCCTGGGCGGAGAGACGGGAGGAAAATAGTCGCAAGGACATTGGAACGCCGGGGATGATTTTGATGGGCGGTTTGAAAAGAGCACTCAGGACGGGGCAGCGTCAGGACTGATAGGCAAGCGAAATCAATGCGGAAACAAATAAATCTTCAATTGAAGCTTCGAATTGGCGGCGGATGGCCCGATTGGGGTCTGGAGAGCCACTAATCTGGATCGGGACTAGCGGTCCCCCTGAGTCGCGACAACAACGGCAATCCAGAGGGAACAACTTAAGGGGAATGCATCCATCCATCCCAGTCCGTCAGTCCGTCCTTCCCTCCCTCTCTCTCGCTTGCTTGCTTGCTTCATTAGTCTCGTTCCTTCCTCAAACTCTCTCTTCCACCTTGGCCTTTCGTGGAAGGACTGTTGTTCGCCTCTCGTTTTCTCCTCGGCCTCCGACCTTTGCTCCCACCCCCACCAACACTTCCTAGGAGGCTGCTTCTCCTGCTATCTAGATACCAATCTACTATCTACGACTACTATCAACCTAATCTCCACATCCCCCTCCTTCTCCATCTTTTCTCTACTTCAAAACCATGGCTGCCGCGGCCAATTCCACCCCTGCGTCGGTCTTTCCTCGTAGCCATGTCGGTTTCGACAGCATCACTTCTCAGATTGAACGGAAGCTGTTGAAACGTGGATTCCAGTTCAATGTGATGTGCGTCGGTGAGTTGCAGCACCTCTGAAGACAGTCCTATCTTTCGTGGACTGCCCATCCTGACCTACATGAATAGGACAAACCGGCTTGGGAAAGTCGACCTTGATCAACACCATCTTTGCTTCCCACCTGATTGACTCGAAAGGTCGCCTGGCCCCTAACGAACCCGTTCGTTCTACCACTGAAATCCAGACCGTCTCGCATAGTATGTTCATCTCCTTGCGCTGATAAGCATAGTCATTAGATTAACGGCTGTGTCCCCAGTCATTGAGGAGAATGGCGTGCGTCTCCGGCTAAACATCGTCGACACCCCGGGATATGGCGATCAAGTTAACAATGATAGATGGTAACGCAGCCGATAAACCTCAGTCACTAGAACATGACTAACGAATGCTGTTGGTTAGCTGGGATCCCATCGTGAAGTATATCAAGGATCAACACTCCGCATATCTCCGAAAGGAGCTTACTGCTCAGCGTGACCGCTACATTCAAGACACACGTATTCACTGCTGTTTGTTCTTCATCCAGCCCTCTGGCCATGCGTGAGTTCAGAGACTCTAAACTAGCTTTACGTGCAAACTAATGAATCATCACATAGCCTCAAACCAATTGACATTGTCGTCTTGAAGAAGCTGTCCGACGTTGTCAATGTGGTTCCCGTTATCGCCAAAGCCGACTCTCTTACTCTTGAGGAACGTCAGGCATTCAAGGAAAGAATCAAGGAAGAGTTTACCTTCCACAACCTGAAGATGTACCCGTACGATAACGACGAGCTTGACGACGAAGAGCGTGCAGTCAACGCTCAAATCAAGGTATGTAACCGCCTCAGATCCTCCGGTGCCCCAGCTTCTAATGCGTGTGTAGGACATCATTCCATTCGCCGTGGTCGGTAGCGAAAGAACGATTGTCGTCAACGGTCAGCAGGTTCGTGGCCGCCAAAACCGCTGGGGTGTCATCAACGTGGAGGATGAGAATCACTGCGAATTCGTCTACCTCCGAAACTTCCTTACCCGCACCCATCTTCAGGACCTCATTGAGACGACAAGCCAGATTCACTACGAGACATTCCGTGCTAAGCAGCTCTTGGCACTAAAGGAGAGCAGCGCTGCCGGAGGCCACCCTGGTAGCAGCCGGCCCATTAGTCCCTCGGCGGACAGGGAGCTCAGCCGTAACTCGCAACGCATGACCATGAATGGCTATTGATAGGCCTGGAAACGTCGCTAGGCTTGCTTCTGTGTGAATTGAGCATGGGCAGTGAGCCCAGCGGGGTAACCCTCTTCCTTTTCTTTCCTTGATGTTTTAATCTCATAGCACCAACTTCGTCCCGGCATGCTTCTACAGATATCCTGTTTAACTTGATAATACCTTCATCGTACATGTCGTCACTTTACCGAATGCCTCTTGCAAGGGGGTGACCTGACTACCTCTTTATTTTCTATGGACTCATCATCGCGAATCAATTCAGAGCTAGCAGCGAAGCGCCAGACGTCATACTGTCTGTTTTCATGTATCTATTTTCCTTGGTCCAGTGGGGATAATAAAAAATGGCTGGGACAAGAGATCATGTTTTTCTCCTGCGGCCCCTGCCTTAATAACAAGATTGTCCAGATATGCTATAAAGTCGTTATGTGCATCTATCAAATATAGCGTAGACGTACCCATCACACTATTGCTGGGCGCCGAATCTATCGCCGTCGACAATGAAGTCCCTGAGCTCAGCATAAGCCTTCTCCAGGTCATCATTGATAACGATTTTATCATGAGCACCCGGCTCCTTGGAGTATTCAAGCTCATTCTTGGCTTGCGCAAGGCGCTTGTTCAGGCTTTCTTCCGTCTCAGTTCCTCGTCCACGCAGTCTCCTTTCCAGTTCCTCCGCTGAGGGAGGGGCGAGGAACAAAAAGCGCGCATTGAGATCCGTGCGTTTTACCTGCTTGACACCCTTTGGTGACCGGAAGAATAAGCCGTTAGCAATGTTTTCTCCAGAAAATTCTAGGGGAAACAGCAACATACTTCCATCTCGATATCAAGGATGCAGATTCTACCCTGCTCGGCGATATTCTTCACAGCTTGCACACTGGTGCCGTAGTAATTGCCTCCGAATTGCGCATGTTCGATGAAACCGTTCTTGCTGATCAAGTCGAGAAAGTCATCCTTCGTCGTGAAATGGTATTCGCGTCCATCTTGCTCGCCCGCACGAGGGCTTCGCGTGGTATCTAGAGAAAGTATTTGAGTAATCTATGCGGGGAGAAAAGGGGAAGTTAGGCGCGGGGTGTGTCCGGCACGGTTTTGCCTGGTGTTTCGCAAAATAAGTGCAGGGTTAAAAACGTACGCGAGATCGAAAAACCAAATGTGTTCGGATAATCAGCAAAGAGTCTCTTCAGCAGTGTCGACTTCCCAGTTCCTGACGGTCCTGAGACCACAACGGGGCGGAATTTGTGCACTGCGCCCGCGGTCAATAGGAGGATTACCAACAGAAGGAGTACCGAGAAGCTCACCAGCACTAGTACCCATTCTTGATATGAAATATGGTCTTGGTCGCAAGAAATTTCTATAATTGAAGTAAGTCTGTATACGTTGTGACGCTAAGCAATGCATGATATGCAAGAAATCCTCGTCGTCGGATTGACACTTCGACAAATAGTTGCGGCAGAACATAAGGCGGTGAAAATGAAGGACATGTGCTGCCGCAAACGGGCCGCTCTGGGTAGCATAGATATGTATGAGGGTTGGTTATCTTATCCTATCTAACGTACAATTACAGCAAGAGGTAAAATGCGACAAGGGTCCAAGGTGTATGAACACAAAATCTAACAAGCTCAAAAGGCCATGAACCATTGGTTTTCAAAGGTGGCCTGAGCTCACGGCTTCGAATGTGTGATTTCAGCATTCTGTGACTCCTGCTCTAAGAAGTTGGACCACAACTCCGCCAGTGATTCTTTGCTTGCATTGCCATTGTCCAAGAACTCTGATGCCAGGGTTTGACTGCTTGGTGTACGATGCACGGGTGTATTTGGAATCCTTAATTTTCCTGAGATGCTTGACGTTCCTGGTCGTGCCAAACCAGCCTGTTCCCGCTGCTCTGTCCGGATTGTCAGTCACCGTAGTAAGACTGTAGTATGATGATGTTTACTGACCATCTGTCCACCCAAGAAGCGCGGCAATAAGTTGCAAGATCTGGAACTTTTTGGGATCCGACCGATCGAGGGCAAGGAAATGCAGAAGATGGTTCGTAACAATATGCCTAGAAATAAGATAAGTCATGAGCCGACGCTTGATGAAGCCAGTCGGGGACGGCAATCATAGAACGAGAGGATATACCTGTCCACATTATCTTCTGGCTTGCCCTTTTTGAGGAACCGTAGAGCTTTCGTAAGATGGTCATTGAGTGTGACTGCTTCATGTCTCAGCTTCCCTATCAATAGGTTCTTCTCTTTGACTTCCTTTTCAAAGGGCCGAACTCTTTCGAGCTCGCTCTGCGCGTCTTTGAGGGATTTTTCGGCCTCGGAGGCTTTCTTCATCATTTCATTGAGATTCTGCTTCAGCTCTTCGAGTTGGGCGTCGGAATTCTCCACCAGCTCACGAAGCTCCTGTTTCCGCGCTACATAACACTAGGGTTAAAACAGAAATTGGACCATGTTGGGGATACAGGCTATTCTCACCCGCTTGGACTTCCTGTAAGGCTCGCTGTAGTCCTTCTACGGCAGCCATTTGAGAATTACGCTCAGTTGCTGCCTTCTCGTATGCGTCTTTGACACTTGCAAGCTGTTCCTCGAGATCTATCACTTTCTCTCCGAGGCTCTCCCTGATGGAACGCTCCTCCATAGCGAGAACCTCCCAGTTGTGCATGGCCTCCTTGGCTTGGTCGAATTCTGACTGAAGGTAGTGCTCTTGCTCTAAAAGCTCTTCCTTCTCTTTCAGCCAATTTTGCTGAGACAGATTCGTGCGGTCTCGCAAGGTCGAAAGCTCCTGTGATATGGTTTTATTATCTTTTGACAACTGCTCAAGCTCGCCGCATTTCGCTTGGTATTGGTCTTTTATGTTTGAGTTTTCTTCCTCCAATTCGTCAATCTTCGATCGAGCCTGTGCGAGTTCTTCCTGTTACTAGTTAGCATGCTCAAAGACGGCATGGAAACACAGGTGCAGACGGCATACAGCATCCTCCCTCAGCCTCTCGCCAAGTTGAGACTTAATTGTATTAACCCTTTCAAGAAGTTTCTGAAACTGCAGCTCGGCATGCTCTTTCTTGCTCTCGGCATCATCTAGCTTCTCCTGCAGAGCTTCCATCTCTGCCTGATGTTTCGATTGTATCTCCTCCAATGACTTTCGCATATCCGTCACTTCCGCACGTAATGTGTCCCGGTCCCGCACGAGGGCATCGAATCGGTCGTTTGAGTGAAGAGCCTCAGCGTTGTGGGGATTGTTCCCATGGTCTGTAAGCTCGATCGGATCGCCATCCGAATTTGTTGCTTGATCGCCAGTGGTCTCAACTGGTGCATCTGCGGCTGGCTTATCTGCATCCGTAATCTCTTCGGCAGAGGGGGGTTCAGCGGCACTGGTCTGGCTATTATCGTTATCCTGCTCCCTGCATGGTTAGCTGAAGTAGGCAAGAGATAATTCGGCGGGTCAAGCTAGGTACCCTTACGCCTTGTTGCGCGAGTCTTTGGGCGTCCTCCGAACTTCTATCCTGGACGCTGCCTTGGTTTTCATTGGAAGACTTCCTTTCTCTTTCTTCGGGTCCGGCAGCGCCCTTCGCCTTCTTCTTATTCTTTGACTTTGCGCCTATGGGGGTATTATCAGCGGAAACGTCGGAGCGTTAGAAGAGCCGCGAGTTTGCACAATTGAAGACAGACCTTCAGGCATCTTTTTTCCCCTTTGTAATGAGGCCGGATTGAAGCGTCTTTAGTACTTGAGGATGGTATTTTGGTCACTATACTGCGGTACAGGAGTGTGGTGATGAGGGACCGACCACAGCTGTCAACATCACTAGTGCAGGGGGGGAGGCTGCTCCCGCAGTCCGCGACTCTCGCTTAGTTACGCCGGATTACCACACCTGACAGTATAAGCCGGCACCACGAAGGAGCTAATGAGGAGTTTAGTTACGTTTGTATAGTGTAATACGCTGTATTGACGCCCATTTCCATAGACTGCCTAACTGATATTGAGTCTATATCCAATTACAGCTTGCAACCACAATTTAGTGGTCCATTTTCAAGTTCAGCAATTCAACGCTGCCCCGCTATATTTTGCGGGATAGCGACAAGGAGTTAAGCCAATATGAGTTGTGGCCAAGAACCAGCATCGTAGCTCTGTATCCGTAATCAATGATATTGAACCATGCGTATACATGCGATTTTGGGCCCTATGCTTCCAAGCCATTTGCTGTGGAGCTTTGCGACCACGCGACAAGGTCCAGTGTCCATCTGCTGCTGATACATTACGGGCGAATGCATCGTCATGAGTAATGTGCGATATTGCTTTCGACGCGTTCATAGCATGCGACATGCTAGGATTAATCACCAGAGACAACCTCATTTTCCACCGCATGCGTGCTGCTTCACATGAAGTCATCATAGAAGTCGGAGTCCCGGTCTTGATTGCTGCTTGCTTGGATTTTCTCCTCGCTCATGAGGTCATCATAGGCATGCTCCTTCTGCCATTTCAACTGGTCTCGTTCCCTCCGCTCCTGTTTATCCCTCGTGCGTTGCTCCTCTCGTGCCTTGCGTTCCTCCTTGTTCTTCTGTTTCATGAAGTCATCTTTCTCGGCTTTGAGATCGGGAAATTTTTCAACACGGGTTTTGTTCAGACGATTGACGATGGGATTTTCTCGCTGTCGGACAAAAACCTTGCGGACCAGTTTTTGATTATGAAACGAGACCTGGCCAGCTGCCATAGATCCATCCTTCATCAGGTTTGACCAGGGCGTATATATCACGGTAATGTTGTCCTTTTTGTTTCCTATAAACCTTGTTCAGTCTGTACCGTTCAGTTGCTTGCTGTTTTCCACCGGTGACTGCCCAATATGAGCTATGTCTGACCTTCGATTGAATTCGCCTTCGTTAGCTGAGCACAATCTTCTAGCAGCGCCTGCGGAATTTGGTCCCAATTCTCCCCATCATGAAGGCGGAGGTACACATGTGCACTGGACAAATTATCGACATGGAACTAAAGGCTAAGTTAGGCTACCCCTCGAGTGCCAGTCTGTGGCGCGAATGGGGAAGACCAACCCTAGCGGAGACACAATACCACCCATTAGCTCACTTCATGCACGGTTTGGATGCGAGTAATCATAGCAAAAGGTTGCAATACCAGACATCTTTCTCTAAGCCAAACTTGATTAAGTCCTCATCTGCTCGAGCGTTCTGTTAGATTTTCGGCATCATTGTGCTTGAACTGGGTGTCGTACTTTCGAATTTATCCTTCCCAACATAGATAAAGGCCGAAGGTTGAACCACATTTGAGGTGAAGTAGTAGACCATTATGCCAGGAGATCTTCCCGAGTCTTAAGTCTCGGAGCAAGAATGTAAGGCTGATGCTGCTGTTGCAGAGGGAATGAATAGCGGGGCAAAAGACCTCTTGGGGATGGTCACTAACTCGAATTGCAGCACGATGCACATTGATTAGTCACTGTCTTGTGCAGTCCGTGGATTGATTACTAAGTGTACTGGTGATCTTAAGATAATTAGAGAAGAGCATCTAAAAAATCTCTAACTCTGTGTGCATGCACTCTTGTTTATCTGTCTACTTTCGCGAGATATAAGTGTTTAGACTTTTACTGTAGGCGGTCCTGTCAAGTTAGGAACACCAGGTCAATCCCAATCAATTGTATGCATGCGAGTGCTTGACGCCCTCGCGCTGTCAAAGGTCTCAAGCTCAAACGGGGTTTAGATCAGCACCCGAATACACGTCGCATGCCTGAACAGACCGTGCGATGGCAGTATATCAATATTCCCATTCTTGGTTGAAGAGGCATTCGTGTGAGATCTATCGGGGTCAACATGCGGACGAAATATGTCGACCCTCTCTTCTGAGCGGAGCGCGAAAACCGATTAACGAGTGACGGCAGGGAAGCTTGCGTCAAAGGGCAGTAGCATGGTGACTGTACTACAGGAAAACAAGCTACTCAATGATCAAATTCAGAACAGGCTCCTAACGCTAGTGCAGTTCCAGTTGCGTTTAAGATGCGCCACCCAGATCGATAACTGTGGCGTGATAGCCTGTCAGCCGAGCCTTGACAGGATAACTACAATGTATATAGAGCTACGTGGTCCAAATATTTCATCTCTGGCAAGAAAGGAAGGAGAGATGAATGTCGGCGGTGGATTACTCCGCGCGGTATACCTTGGGACAAACAGTGGTTCACAGCAGGGCAAACAGCATTAGATAGCTGCAGAAGGCATGAGTGGACCTCGGATGGGATCCATAATTAATGGCTTAAAAGCGGAAATAGCACATTAGGACGGACGGACGGTAGGACTATTTAGCTTAGCCGGTATCAGTATAGTAGTCTAGTCGGCATCACGTCGTGCATCCCCAACCTATCTCTAGTGCAAGGCCGTTGAACGGCTGACTAAAGGGAGCCACTAACCATGGCCTCTGCAGATTAGCAAACTGCCAGGGTTCAAAGCCTGTGCCCGGCCGATACAGGGTCGCTTGGAAGGCAGGGCCCCTGGCCATAACGGCGACAGAGTCAAGTACGTACTAGGTATGATTACTAGGTCGCTGCCGGTTCATCCACGAGTACTTGCAGCTTTGTTGCCTGCGCAATTTTAGACTTTGTCCGCTAGCAACTGATTGTTAGCGCCAACCTCTCTCCCAAACTGAAAGAAACAAACAGGACGTGACCTATAGAGCGGTGGGAGAAAACCTGCATAGGCGGATAGTTGAGGTATACTAAGTGCCTGCTATTGCTGAACTACCGGCAGCATTATCCAATGTACAGTCCTCTTGACAGCTTTGCGTGCCAGTCATGCAAGGATTAGTGGTCCCCATTGGAGCATTGATGCCATGGTAATGCGAGTCATTTCACCAGAGAGCGCCCGCCTAGCCTGCCGCCAACCAAATCGGCCTCGCAGCAAACTGCTTGGTCTCCACTTAACTTCATGCACCGGACCAGACGGGTCTATGGGCATGTTTGTACACTGCACAGTCCTGAATCAGAAGGCGAAGATACTAGAGTCTACCCCAGGAGCTCCGAACCACCCGAAGGGATTTTCGTCCATTCCTCCTCGGGTTGCCCCGGGGGACGCACGCGCATACAGCCCCCATGAAGCTGGTTTTGGCTGGGAAGGTCTTTAAAATAAGTGGGCTTGGTACTTTCTTTCTCATTTCCCTTATTTTGGACGGCCATGAATAGTACTGTGAATGGCATACCACCGTAGGGGACAGTAAGTAGGTAAATTGAAGTAGGGGCCGGAAGGGTGATGGGTGGACTCTCTTTTTCCCCCTCCCTCTTCACTATCGGCTCATCCAGGTTCGACGGTTGTTCAACCCTCCGTGTTTACGTACTTAGTAGCTCGTTCGCCGATAAAGTTTTTCTGGATTCTCGGTTCCCCGGCGCTTGAGGGATGGAAAATGAACCTTTTTTCCCCCTTCAGAGTAATGGGATGATATTTTTTTCCCTTTTTTGTTTCTGCTGCCCTTCTCCGGCCGAATCCACGGGCCAAAGAGACTCAGTCTCTTGAAGTCAGACCGAGTCACCAACCGCGGAACCGCATTGGATTACACTGAACTTACTCAATTAGTGTAAGCGCCGGCTGTGCCTAGGCGGAATACCCGTAGTTACCGGACGTCCACCGATCGGTGGTGGTGCGACTGTAAATACGTAACCGCTGACCATTACGCGGGCGGCGGCTCGTTTCGGCCAGGTCCTCAAGTTCGCAACCCTAGCGTACTGTCACTACCGTGGACTCCAAATCTGAGGCCTTTTCCAACTCGAGAATAATAAAAGCCAAGAAAAAAAAGGGAGAGAAAAGAGAAAAGAGAAAAGAGAAAAGAGAAAAGAGAAAAAGAAAAAGAAAGAAAAAGAAAAAGGAAAAAAGAAAAAAGAAAAAACGTTACGCCAAGGAATTAGGTCCTGATGCTGCTACAGCGGGTGAGCCCGTACGAAACCCCACCTGCCACATGGCCAGACAACAAAAGGAACCGAATCTGGCTTCCCACCCTTCGAGCAATAGGAATGAGCATAGGCGTTGGACATGGTAAGGTAGGGGAAACGACCTCAAGGATCCGGAAAGGAAAGGCAAGCGCATGTAAAAGGTGCAGGGTAGCAATATTGCCACACAATCATAGGGGTTCTAATATCGGCAACTGCTAGCAGTAACCTAAGTACACCTGTTGTCCAGCGCCTCTTTTTAGTTTTTACAACGGTCAAGAAACTCTAATCAAGAGAATGGCCAGGGAGGAGAAAAAACCCACAACTTCTCCATCTGTAATCTCCGAATGTTCTAACGCCATCATACTCTACAGCCGAGGGGTACTCCCCATGCAGACAAAGGACTACGAACAATGCTTGCGAGCTAAAGAAAAGTGATCACAAAGGAACAGAAGTAGAACCCATGCCAGTGTGATACAAATCAAGCACCTTGCTCAATGCATGTTTTCTCTTGTTGAGGGATCCTGTTATTAGGAGTGTTTATCCCTATGTATGACTTACCTGGTATTCTTTATCGGATCAACCCTGTTGCTTTTCAATGGAGATGGGTTGAAGAGAATAACCTTTGGGCTAACAAAAATGCAATTTCGACCATCCTTTTTTTATTTATATTTTCTCCTGCTACGGCTACAAGACCCCGACTGACAAGTACAGTCAAACTACTTACCACCACCATTATGGGCTTGTAAGAGATTCGATCCACGATTGCCCACCTTTTGGACAATCCAATTTCCTTCTCCCCCCCTTCTCCTCTTCCCCTCCCCCCCATCTCTCTCCCCCTCTTCCTTTCCTCCCCTGCTCCACCTGCTTTGTTAAATTGATTGGGAGGGTCGTAGCTTGCCAAAGACAGCCCGTCCAAGAAAAATTTTCCTTTCTCTGTTGTTAAAGGGCCCACGAACTTATTTCTATTCCTTTCCTCCTTCTCAAGATTAATCTGCGCGCCGCTAATGCTTTAACTTCATCCCACCTACATACACGCTCGCTCTATCTCCTTTCCTTTCACTCAGCGCGGGCAAGTCGAGCGATCGTGTTGAAATCAGAGCAATCCGTCTTCCTCAGGTTCCAATGGCCGACTCAGCGTCGTCTCCTAAAGTCCGGCAGGCACTGGAACGTGCCCGGGATGGCCATACCGATAAGACAACCAGTGATACCTTGGAAGGAGCCATCACGGACTTGTGGAATAAGATAAAAGCGCAGGAGGATTATGTGCTCAATCGCGACGAGTTTGCCTTGTTCAACTATTTCATATATCGTTACACGGGCAACGCCATTGCACAGCGAGCCGTCGCACGATTCTGGGATCATTATCGAGGCGACCCAAACGCGGCTGGGGGTAAGACATAGTGCGAGCGTGTGCCTCTTTGACCTTTGTCTCTTATCGGCTGCAACCATATTCAATTTGAGGAGGCATCGCAACGACTTCCCCGCCAAAACCTGGGTGGCATGATCGCTTCATTCGCAAGGGACTAGACATCTCTGGACCGAAGGACTTAGCGACCAGGTCTGGAGCCATCGAAGGGCGGTTCGAAGGCGCTACTTCGGCCACGCCCCTCTCGGGCTGCTCGGGGGCCAACCATGAGAAATACTGTGGCCGCGGAAAAAGTCTAGAGGAAGCCAAACAGTTTCGGAGAAACTGTCTGTCCGGTTTCGCATCCTTTGAGCCTGGACGAAACCGACTCGCGACAAGGATGAGATGGGCCTTCCCCGATGTCGAGTCGCGTTACACTCGATGCTCGCATTGAGCCAAACCAACCAACTTCCGAGCGAACAGGGCAATTCTCGGTTATAGCCGTCTGCCGAATGCCAATACCTCTTCTACCTGCATGCACGAGCTTAGTAGTGGAGACTTGTTTTTGTACGGCCGGACACGCTGTTTTTCTTTTTCACACGTTCAACATTGTGTTCTCGATCACTGATCAGAAATCTCCGGGCTTTACCACCCCCACCCTCCGGCCTCTGGCTGCCGTGAGTCGTGGAGTTTTTTTTTTATGGTATGCTGCGCATACCTTGAAGCATGATATCTACTCATTCCCTTCTCTTGTCCTATCCTGGTTTGATAATCAACTTTTCATCCTTCTCTCTTTGCCTCCCAGACATTTCAGGACATCTTTGGGATTTGATTGACAAGGCTCTTCCTGCGTAATCTTCCATTCTTGCGTCATACCGAATATCCTATAATTGTATATAATATAAACCCTAATGCTAGCAAAGGCCGATGCACGGATTTGCCCTTGAGAAACACGTGTGGCCCAGAACCCCAGGAGCTTCCCTGTCTGCAGCCACGTTTACATCGTGATGACCACCGGAGCAGGTCAAAAAGCCCATTGGTAATGAAGGATGAGGTACGCATGGCTGAGTGCTCCGTGATCATGCCACTACATGAAGTACAGCATACAACAGGCGTGACCTTGGGTCAAGATTCGTGGGGAAATATGCGCCTTTATATCTTCGGAGTAAGCACATGGACAGAGAGGCTTTTCGCATCAAAGAACTCTCGAGATGTAAATACAGAATTCTACATATCCTCTACACCTTCAAAATAACTTCTATGTGCAAACAGGTTCAAGCAACATCCAAAGGCAGCCCTTACAACACAAAGGGGACATTCTAGAATATATTGCCGCAATTCGCATAATATGATGTGCCAATTATTCACTTCCGCTTATTTATACAATATTTTATCTATGACGCGCGACTGTTCTATTTGTTGGCGGGGGAATCAGGTTGGATCAACTTGTTAGAATCAGATGAGCGGGTATCGTTTTGAAGCACATCCGCCGGTGGATCTATAAAAAATAGCCTGTTAGCCCTGGGATTGCTACTAGCAAATTTGGGGAAATTTACCTGTCCTGGCAAAAGCAGCTCGCTGCGCAATATCAACCTGCTTGACCTTGCCGGCCTCAACATCCGCTCTGCTCAGACCGAGGAAGTTCTTTGGAAGGCCCATCGAGGACAAGAACTTGACACTCTCCATCCACTCCACATCCTTTCGGCCGCTGTCCCAGTTCAGCTCTTCTCCCATAAGGTCGATGACACTAGGAAGGGCTTCAAGTGCTGCTTCGGCATTAAGGAACGCCAAGCGAGTTCTGCGTGCAAGAACGTCGACCGCAGTTTGTGCGTACTCGTGGCGAACGGCATAACGGACTTCGCCATCGATGAAAGGATAGAGAGTTGAGATGCGCTGGCCTCGAACAGGGAAACGAGCATTGGTCGGGGAAGCCAAAGCCGCGACCTGCCAGGCTCGATCACCGTATGATTGTGTCAGATGCTGCGCAACGTCCGTCTCAAGCCCATAATGTTGGATGAGGTTGATGAACAGGGTCTTTGAGTAACCATGGGCTCCGATCAAGCGGACCTGGTGGGTCTGGCAAGAGCCATCGAGAACAGCGCCGTCGGCGACCAGCCCGCTTCCTCCGACGCCACTGATATCGGGAGCGTCAGATACTTCGCGGGGTTTGAGACCAAAAACGTCGATAGCCTCATCCACTGCCTCTTCGGCCATCTGCCGATAGGTAGTCCATTTGCCACCAGCGCATGTCAACAGCCCAGATGGGGAAACGGAAATTAGGTGGTTGCGGACCAATGCCTCGGAACTCTTGACCTTGGGGTCACGGACTAGAGGGCGAATTCCAGACCAGGCAGCAAGCACGTCACTTCGCTCAACATTGATATCAGGTGCCAGGTACCGGCGAACTTCTGTGAGAATCCAGTTGATATCTTTCTCCGACGGCTCGGGCTGGGTAGTGATCTCGGAGGGCTGGTCTGTGGTACCGGCGATTGTGTTTCCTTGCCAGGGCAGGAAGAAGATAACTCGACCGTCAGACGTCGATGGATCAATCAGACCCATATCTGAAGGGCTGTAGTACCCGGGTAGGATTACATGTACACCAGAGCTAGGTGCCACAATCTCCTTCACATCAGGCTCGTCCATCTTTCTGATCGAGTCAGTGAAGGGACCAGTTGCATTGATAATACCCTTCGCCTTGACGGTGAATTCTTCCTCCACCTGGCCGTTCCTTCCCTGAATCACGTCCTTGAGGCGAGCGCCGGTCAACTTCCCAGATGAATCTTTGGTCAAGCCGGTGACTTGCATGTGATTGACAACAGTGGCACCATACAGCGCAGCTGTCATCGCAAGAGAAACGTTCATTCGGGAGTCGTTGTGAGCACCATCTACCCATGCATACCATTAGAGATCATCCCAAGCGACAGGGCGGCAGCCATTATCGGGTGAAGATGCTTACCGTAGTACACCATAGCACCGATCAGATTATCCTTTCTGAGCATTGGGAAGGCATCGATGGCTTTGCTCTTTGTCAGGAAGTAAGAGCTTTCGATACCTTCTGATCCAGCCAGAAAGTCGTAGAACTTAGTGCCTGCCCAGAAATAGGGCGCCTGCCACCACTTCTGCACCGGAACCATGATTGGAAGCCAGCTTGAAAGATGAGGAGCGGTGTTCAAGAAATATTTGCGCTCTCGCAAAGCTTCCTTAACAAGCGCATATCTGGAGCAGGGGAGCCCTGATGGTCAGATCTCTCACCAAAGGAGGGAGGGTAATTTGGGTAAACTGACTGGTTATAATCCAATTCCCAAACTGCCTTTTCTAGGTATCGCACACCTCCATGAACCAGTTTTGTGCTCTTGCTGCTAGTTCCAGCACTGAAATCATCCCGTTCGACGATGGCCACTTTCAACCCTCGAGTTGCAGCGTCGAGAGCAATCCCCGAGCCAGTGGCACCACCACCAATCACCAGCAGGTCATATTCTTCCGCTTCACCTCCCTTTGCGGAGCGTTTCAGGTCCTCGATTTGTTCCAGTCTGGACTTGATGCGGGGGAAACTAGGCGGCACCAGCCGGCCTTCATGGTAGCCCGGGGGCGGAACCGCAGGGGCCTCGGAACCGGGAATATTGCGAGGGCGGTAAGAGATGTAGAGCACACCGGCACCCGCAGCCGTGGCGAGTGACGTATAGAGCAGCGGCCGCAGCAATTTACGTGAATGACGGGAGGCCATGGTATCTCAATTCGATTATCTGACAATGTCTGGGAGAATTCCGTTGGCGCTTGATCACCGATCAGGATGCTGACGAGACGACTGATATAGAGGGAGAGTGGGCGGCTATATGTATATAGATAAAAGCTATAATATCCAATGCTTCTTCTCGTCAGTACCCGAAAAGGGTGCAAGAACTGCGCGCCGGTGGGATTTCTTCCCCAGGCGGCTTAACCGGCAACGACTTACTTATCAAAAAGATTTGTAGGATAGGGGGAAGACGGAGGTCCGATTGATGTTTAATTGAGTATGTGGGAGATAGGAGAGAGAGGCTGGAGGAAGGGTAAGGAAGAGGAGGAAGGGATAGGGAGATGGAAAGACGAGGAGGGAGGAGGATTCGAGGTTTGGGAGGGGTGGGGGTTTGGGAGATGAGAATGATACAGAAATATGTTTTAAGAACAATCCGAATGCCGGACTACTTGTCCACTTTAGTACTATAGCAATAATGTTGGAGACGGAGGAATGAAGGACAGGTTGCTGGAAGTGCACCCGTGTAGGATCAGCTTTCTCAACCGGCTAACCTTCCAGTCTTCCACGCTTTTCTCTTTTTTTTTTTCTTTTTCTTTCTCCGACCAGCAGCTGCGTCATGAACTCTGCCTCTTTGCGACAGACAGAATCCGGGAAGGGAATTGGAGGGAGAATGGGGGCGGGTCACGATGACGGTGTCGCGGCGTCAATCAGCATTGTCCCACCAATCAATCTCTCGGCAGCTCCGGCTCCTATGGGTCTGGTCGATAGTTTGGCTGTCGAGCCTGGACGCCGTGCCCGCATGTGACCAGCAAAGATTTCCCACTAGTCTCTTCAAGAATCGAGAACTCTTGACCATCAGTGATTAATCTCCAATCTTTTCCCCAATTCGTTCCCCCAGGCTAACACATCCCCCTCCCCACCCCCTTCTCCCGAGTCCCGACTTTCCGACCTTTCCCCCTCCCTCGTCCAAGCTTCCCTCACCTTTGGCTCCAGTATAACTACACGTAGTTAGTGAACTAATTACCTAGTTAGTTAGTTAGTTACTTGAGTATCTGGAGTCCTTACCAAGTCCCTCGATCGTCGAGTCTCTCGAATCTCGATGGCCTAGCCCAGTCTGAAGCAGATTATTTATTTTTTAGTCTCTCCGTTCTTTCAGTAGTCCAATGGCTCAGCCCCTGCCCGTAGGTGTTATCTATTTATGGTGAGGCTCTTGTCCATCAAATAGGGATATGAGATGTATGAATTTCACTAACTTATACTAAATATGCAAAATACTGAGTACAGTGGTACATAGGTACTAAGTGTACATTGACGAGCGGAGCCGATCGTCTTGATCATGCTCTCCGGGCTCCAGTTATTGTGCATTGTATCGATATCACGGTATCGGCTCTCCCCAAAATCCAACCTTCCGCTTCCTGGTCCAGACTACTCCATACTAAGAAGCGAATACCTCGTCTCATTCAAGCAGTCAGTCATTCTCAAGTGTCGAAATATCCAGGCGCGTTGGGCCTAACACTTCGGTTGATGATGACCCTTCTACTCCACTTGTCCAACCCCGACCCTGGAAGGTGGGTAAAAGTACTCCGTAGTGTCTGGTGCCTTCAGGGCACACACAACGGCATGGCGTAATACTCCACTCTCGGAAGGGTTTGCTCGTCGCTCACAATTGAATGAACGGTCGGTCCCAATGTGGCTGGGTGGGCGTTTGACGTCAATCTCTCATCCACAAATCTTGCTTTATGGCTGTTCTGAGTTCTGACTATGCGGAACGGGTGCAGCACAGATTTCCTTATTCCGGAGCACTGATCGGACTGCTATTCACTCCGTCGTCGGGAAAGATAACTACTGCCGATATACTGTAATCCAGCCCTATCCGCCAAGACTGTCTGCACAGTCCATTACCCACCTTGAGTCTATAAGAATCCCCAGCACAGTCCACAATCTCTTTTCTTCATTCAAATACCGCAACAACATCCAGAGTTCCATCTTAGGGCCTTGGCCTATTTCGTTTCGGCTTCGTACCTGTAGTGGCGATTGGGACCAACCCGTCTCCCATTCATCCGATCGGAAGTTGGTGTCACCGGTCAAGATCATGGTACGGCGGGTTGCTACGGGTAGATATCGGGGTAGGTACAGTACAAGCCGAGCTTCTCTATGAGATAGGGATCGTGGTAGCTCAAGAGGCCAAAGATTCTTTCAGGCTGGTCAGGTTACTGGAGATAAAAGGGAACAATGTCTGTCTTGTGCTCTGTGCGATCCTGTCAGGACTGGACTAGAGGTATTGCCAAGCTGAATACATATCCGCATTTCCAACCAATTGGGTTTGTTGAGTTATCCTGATGTTATCTATGTGAATTGTATCCGAAAGGAGGGTGGTTTCACCTGAAGAATGAAGGGTTTGTGATTATGCTTGTCACTAACCAGGGATCGAATGCTGGTCAGCCCGGCAAATGGCACCCCCCTCTGGCTTTTATACTTCGTATACCACGCGGGCTGTGCTCCTCGCCATATGCGCGTTGGAACGACGACTGCCCGCGCCTACTGCCGCTACTGTAAAAAGTCGTCTCAACCCCGCGAAATTGATGCGAAGGGAGGGTGGGGGGCGGAAGAGTTCCGAGTGCGGAATGTCGGCTGCCCCATCATTCGTGCCCCTTGAGTCCTCGGGCTCCCACGGCACGACTACCGTACTACTTTGCTAGCTGGAGCCTACCCCGGCCTTCCTCGGTCTGGGGTAAGATTTCTGAGACAAGGGCTGATAGTCTCCTGGCTGTTTGTAGGCTCATCCGTACAACGGAAATGTTCCTCGCAAGAGGAGGAGGGCGGGACTGTAGGTAGCATCACGTGGGATGTCATCGAGCACAGCTACATTATATTATGGCCAGCAATTGAACGGCTGATTTGACTCGTTGTCCTTCGATCATCTCGACAACGGGAATCGATCCTCTTCAATTCGTTCGCATGGCTATCACAGCAGCCTTGTTTCTTCTACAGAACAGCATAGTGCAATCGCCTTTGCGAGTGCTGGCGGTCCTATCTGTCACTATCCCTGTGATTTATGTCATCCTGAACGAGTTTATCCGAGCTTCAGCCAGAGTACCACGACTCAAGGGCCCTCGTGGCTTACCGCTAATTGGAAATCTCGCTCAAATACGCAACAACGCCGCAGAGCAGTATCGTATTTGGTCTAGAACATATGGACCTGTCTATCAGATACAGTTGGGAAATATTCCCGTGGTGGTTGTGAACTCAGCTGCGGCTGCGAAGACTATTTTTGGCCACAATGCGCAAGCACTGAGCTCGAGACCGGAGTTTTATACCTTCCACAAGGTGAGACAGTTTTGTCCCAGCTCTCGTTGTCTCATCTACCCTGGATAAGCCTAATATAGTGAGTACAGATCGTATCGAACACAGCAGGCACGACTATCGGAACGTCTCCTTACAGTGAATCCCTGAAACGACGCCGAAAAGGGGCAGCTTCGGCGCTCAATCGTCCCTCCGTGGAATCATACGCGACTCACTTGGATGTGGAATCCAGAGCCTTCATCGAAGAGCTCAACCGCTATGGAGATGGAGGGAATACGCCGGTAGATCCCATGGCAATGATTCAGCGTCTGAGTCTCAGTCTATCCTTGACACTCAATTGGGGAGTACGCGTAGCGTCCCAGGAGGAGGACTTATTCGATGAGATCACCCATGTTGAAGAGGAAATCAGCAAGTTTCGGAGCACTACCGGTAACCTACAGGACTACATCCCTCTCCTGCGGCTGAATCCTTTCAGTGGTAACTCAAGGAAGGCCAAAGAAATGAGAGATCGGCGTGACAGGTATCTCGATTCATTGAACCGGGATCTAGATGACCGTTTGGAGAAGGGTATACACAATCCCTGTATACAGGCAAATGTCATTCTTGACAAGGAAGCCAAACTCGACACCGATGAACTCATTTCGATCAGCCTGACAATGCTATCTGGGGGACTCGACACTATCACCACATTGGTGGCCTGGAGTCTTTGTCTTCTGTCGCAACGACCTGATATCCAAGACAAGGCTGCGAAGGCTATTCAAGAACTGTATGATCAGGGTATGCCGCTGTGTGACTCTGCGGATGATCAGAAATGCGCCTATGTCGCTGCTCTTGTCAGAGAATGCCTGAGGTATGTTACAAAAGTTTCGGAGTACTAATATGCACCCATAATAATCATTTTTGCATCCAGATATTTCACCGTGCTTCGGCTCGCGCTTCCTAGAACGTCCATTAGAGATATAACTTATCAAACAACTGTCATTCCTAAGGGCACAGTCTTCTTCTTGAACTCCTGGGCTTGCAACATGGGTTAGTAATCACGCACTCTGGATCGCCCCTGGTAGCCGAAGCTGACTTGACCATTCTTGATCAAGATCCTGAAGTCTGGAGAGACCCCGAGGAGTTTCGACCTGAACGATGGTTTGAGCAACCAGATGCCCCTATGTTCACATATGGCATGGGCTATCGCATGTGTGCCGGATCCCTTCTTGCGAATCGCGAGCTATATCTGGTTTTCATGCGCACCATGAACAGCTTCCGGATTGAACCGGTCGATGATGTCGATTGGCATCCTGTAAGGGGCAATTCAGACCCCACCAGCCTTGTGGCGATCCCTAAGAAATACAGGGTCAAATTTGTGCCGAAAAATAAAGAGGCACTTGCGGCATCTCTGGCTCGGTGACTGGTATCAAGAGCTAACTGGGCTAGGGATTCGGTCAATCCAGGGCGTTCTTGTTGCCTAGCCTTCTGTGACTTCCTGCCTTGCTGGATACGGCGGCTTTGCCGTCCCAACTTTATTCTCGCATCTCCCGCGCATTCAGGTGGATCTATTAGGCAACTGGGAACACTGCGAATTTGATATGGCCAATGCGCTTTTGGCAGCCACCTCCAATTCCGGGCCCTAGCGAGTTATGTAATCGAGGGATAAGCTTGTTGGTTATCAAACCTGAAGACAACCGCTCGTGCCTCTTTTTCACCTTTTCGACTCCTAGTAAGCTGCCTTTTTTGCACCTCACGGAACTGAGGCATTTCTTCCAGATCCTAAATAACTGCAGATGCACCTATAGATTCAATGGATATGAGAGCTTGCATCGCAGACCAGTTTGGCACTAGGAGTACTCTACCTAGTACAGCGCTTTACATCCCTTCTACAAATATTGTGCGAGCTATGCGTATACAATGCCTATCTCGTGGTTTTTACACCCGGTGTGCCACCTGACTTCAAAATAAGATGAGCGGTATCACATAGGCATTAGGGATATTTACAGGATGAAGACCGTGGAGGGCAGGTGACACGATCCTTCAATTTTCTACTGTATCTAGTTTACATGAGTACTGCTAGGACAAATTGATTACCGTCATATTGGTTGAAAAGAATGAGTATACTATAGAAGGGGCTGTGGTTTAGTGGTATAATATTCCCTTAGCATGGGAGAGGTCCGGGGTTCGATTCCCCGCAGCTCCAGCTTTTTACTACTCAACAAGTAGGTATACTGTCATATTTTTCTTTTCATTCAGCCAGTGAGTCTACCTGCTCCGATGAAATATAAGCAATACCCAGTTATATAAATTGATTTTTATTTATACTCGTCAGTGAAGTGGTTTATCCCTATACCCGCCCAGTCCAACAACATTTCACTCACTGTCTTGACTCTAGAAGTGATCCTGTGCAGAATTTGGGTAAGGAGATGTCTTATTGCACATACACGTAGGGGCTCTGGCTGCACACCAATTACGAACAGGTTATGAGCCGTGTGCCTGTGCCTTGACACCCACTGTATGTGATATATCATGCATGTGACGCTAGGCGTAGGCGGAGAGGAAGAACGACGGTGACCTGGCTAAGTCAGCATGGTGGTTCTTAGAGTAAAGCCTGCTGCCATGCGGCAGTACAGATTAATAGGCACCTTTTTTTCGGCTATGGTAGAATATGCGTTACCAAGACAAGAAAAACTATAACCCTGTAAGTATATTCAGGCATTTTCGGCTTTTGGAACAGCTATTGGAAGAAAGGAAATGCTATCAGTACTTAGTGTATTGATTATGCTACTTATCTTAAATCTCCTATGGCAAAAGCGGTATATAAGCCTACCTGTATATATTCGAATGTAAATCCGTATGATGCATCTCGGCAAATAAAAGAGTCATGTGAACCTCAGAAAGAAGTGATTACATTAACGTATTCGGCAAGCGAGTGGCGCGTGTAAGCGGGCAGCGCGGTGCTGTATTCCATATAAAATAGTAATTTTATAAAGCTGAATATCTCAACAATAAAGATACTTAGATAATTAAGACTTGGATATATAAATCTGAAGTATAATCCTTATATATTCCTATACTTTTTGACAGAATCTGAATTAAGAATTCAAGATTTATTAAAACATTATATTAAATACCAAAATTACATATATATTGAGATAATTAAGTTATATTGGATAATAGTTCTAGTATAATTCAGATATAGCTAGATATTAAAGACTATTTTTAAGATTTTTTTTTGAATATCAACAAGAATTGATTAAGAAATCTGAGTTTAAAAAAGGGTGGTTTAATATGGAATACAGGACCGCGTCACCCGCTTACACGCGCCACTCGCTTGCCGAATACGTTAAAAGGTAATAAAGCTTACTAAAACTTATAATTACTCATATGGAAGACTCCGGATTGCAAACAGTCAGTCAATACTAACTCTCTATAATTGTTGTAAGTCACCTCTACCTCTTCCTATATAGGCAATAATTGGAGCGTTCAACCAGCAGATACTCATCATATTTGCCGGGAGATCTTGTAGCGCTCCTTCGGCCCCACTGATATTCTGCCGTTTGTGAATGAAGCCGCCCTCCCAGACCGCCCTGGCGGGCCACATGTAGGAACTCGTGTCTTGTAAGTTCCATTGATTCTACCATTATCAAGACGCTTACATTTCGGTCACACTGTGAACTGCTACAGATCCGAGATTATTCTGTCCAGTGAATTTTCACATTCTCGTGGCGTCTCACTGAGTGTATATGAAGGTGGAGGAATATCTATATTGATATGTTTTCACTATACTCCTTTGCTAGTAGTAAATCAATACAAATAGTATTCTTTATACAGTAAGTGTCAATAGCATCATGGATCTTCCTATAAAGGCAAAAAGTTGGAGCTGCGGGGAATCGAACCCCGGACCTCTCCCATGCTAAGGGAATATTATACCACTAAACCACAGCCCCATATACTTATTAAGAGTGAATATAGATGCTACATATTCCAAACATGAGAACAAGGCCGTCAAGAACTGATACATATAGGCACGCAGCGAATTGAACATAAAATCCCTTGTACATAGACATGCCCGCCAGTCGAAAGCAATAAGCGAAAAATACTGATACACAGAGCTCTATTAGGTTAAGTAAGAGTTGCCACAGTTCTGATAATACCTACTCGCATGATAGAAGAAGAGATAGGGCATTACCGACCATGCTTCAGAAGCCACATGATGTGGGTATCATATCATCGGATGAGCCACCTAAGGGAACCGTGCGTGGTGACGGACAATAACACCGTATCATTGCTGCCGCAGCATTGCCAAAAGAGCATAACAAGAAGGGCTCCTCGATGGTCATCGCACGTTCAAGCGGAGATTAAGCGGATGTAACAAGTTCGAAGGTAGTGAAAAGCGACAGCTGATTCATGGTTGGCTATAAATGACCAGGACATAGCACGCCTCATCCAGTTACAAGCAGAGCAATAAGATCGTTCCTTGAAGTGAAGACCCATCATCTATGTAGTGCCAATCAACTACGACCCAAGTCCATGGCCATCCCAGAGACCAGTTCTCTGTGTGTGACAGCTGTAGCATACAGCGATCGGTATGCAATTATTATGCCGCAATAACGTTCAATGGGGAACGACCAGAGCATCATGCGCTGAGATGAGACGACATCAAAATTGACAATTAAGTATCTCTGATTCCTCAGAGCCATGTGGGTGGTCGATCAGTGCAATAGCCAAGCTAGGCCATGTTCCGTGGGTGATAATGGCCATTGATATCACTTTATCAATAGGCGATACTCTCGTATCAAGTACGCGGGCTCTATCTGCCAACGACAGTGACGCATGTTCGGCCAGTCAACGATTAAAGAATGACCTATGTTGTGCCCAAGGATAGTCATTGATCAACGATCCTCCGAAGTAACACGATTCTCAACAGGGACTCGCACGAGTGTTGCGGGTAAGGGCGAATTGCTGGACTCGCCCTTGCTCGTAGGTCTAGGGCTCACAGGGTTCACTATGAGTGACATCATCAGCGCTATCCACCCACAATTAGAACGTTTGCGCAAAAAACTCACCCGACGCCATACCAATCGCTCTCAGCACATTATCCCAGTTCGTAAGGACACACGCAACAGCTGATAGCAGAGAATGGCAACAGTCAGCACAGCCCTAGACCCATCTAGTCTGCAAAACTCACCTTCAGTCCCATCTCTAAGTGTTCCAATCTTGGCTTCTAAGGATTGCATTTGTCCTGCCAGTGCACTGCTCATGTCTCGAAGTTGTTTCAAGTTTTCTAGCTCGGCCTTCTTTGAGGCTATACGAGCCGCCAAGGCCGAAGACTGCTGAGCAATGGCAGATGGCTGATTTGGCGAACGAAAGGACGCTGCAGCAGAAGTACTTGATGGTAGCATTGTAGTCGAATGGAAAGGGTACGCAATCGAACCGAGATGGCACGACGATGACACGAAACTAGATTATCGCCCCTGGTGGTGGAGAGTTTCTGGTTAGTGGAGCAAAGTTCCAGGCTCAATGTAAATGTGTAGCTTCAAGCGCGAAACAGTTGCTGTATACAATAGTACAGTATGTAAGCATCATTAGTCGCTCACAGTGGCGTCAAGTGGACATGGCGGATGCCGACCGAGCGGCGGGAGCTGACGCAACTAGTCCAAATTAGGACAATTGTCAACAAGCTCAACCACATCGTGTTTACCATCCTGGGTGTATCTTGCTTCTGTGGCTCCAACTGACCCTGGGCGACAAGAGCGCATTCACAAGATATCGTTTACCACTACCACGCGGGGCTATCTGGTCTAGCAGCAAGCCACGAAGAGAAGAGAGGAGAAAATCAGCAAACCTGCTGTTTCTTTTTTTCCCACTCCTTTTTTTTTGGCGACACAAGGATGGCTCGATTGAATGAATCAACAGCACCGACCGAGTCCATTGAAGCCCGTATGTCCTTGATCAAAAGCTAGCACGGGACTGATTAAAGAGGGCTAACTGTGGGTAATTGTTAGTTAAGAGACGCTTTGTGCGGCAGAATCGTGAGATCGCTCGAGTCAACTCAATACAGTCTCTGCGCATCCGCAGCCTGGAGTCGGAGATATCTCAATTACTCGCCGAAAATGTGTCCCTTCGAGAGCAAGCAATAGCGCTCAGTCAGGAGCTAGAAAGATATCAGGCCGTTAAGCTACTTCAGGAGGGGGTTTACGACATCAAGTCAAGGCTAGATGTTAAGCTGACGGAATTCAACAATCTGGTGGCCGAGCTGGGTGAGCTACCGCGCAACTACAGAAAGAAAAACACTGCCGCGCCGATAACAAGCTCGACGCAGTCAGTATTGGATTGGGAGCGCAAAACAGCCGAGAACGAGTTGAGCCTCGCCCCTGACGAGGACGGAAAGCTTCCTGTCATACTCGAAGACAAATACTACCCAAGAAAGACATTGGAGTAAGCACACAGTAGTACGGCCCCCGGAACTGTACACTTGCTGACTGCTTATAGAGCGCAAGACATCCAAGGTCTGCTCGATAGCGATTGCAATGTATCACAGTCCCCTGCGTTCAACGATCCTTCCAGCGTGGATACAAACAATGACGTTACTGGATGCTCGCCGAACTCAAATAAACACATCGGAGTAGATGAGACATCGCAGAACTACAGACATGGAAATGATGCCGATATTCTCCAACCACGCGCACCTGGCCATGGAGAAAATAGTTATCAACATGATGTGACGAGCCTTCAGAGCCATGCCGTGGCATGTGATGCAGATCATGTGCAGGTAATCCGGAGCCATGGACCGAGCCTAGGTGAGAAGCGAAAGTTCTCAGCAGAAATAGACGACCGATACGGGGTTCTGCTGGATGAGAACGACGATTTCGAATTCCGGCAGACTCGATCACCTTCTAACACAGCCGAGTTGACTGAACCGGCATGCGGCGGGAAACTACCCTTCAAGAAAGATGCACATCAACACAAAGAGAGCAAGAAGAACTTGAAGCAAGCCCGGCGGAAGATCCTCGAGCAAAGTAAGGCCAATGTGCATTGATTATTGCGTGGGCTAGAAGCTAATACTTCAATCAGAGAGCACCAACTTCAGTATCAATTCACCGAAACAGGCGTACAACAACATCCCCGATGGTGTACTCTCTCCCCAAGGAGACTCGTTTGCGACAGTGGCAGATGGTAAGGGCCATGAGACAAGCCCGGCAACTGCTACGCTATTCACGCAGGACGGAACTAACAGCACTCTGATGCATCATGACCCCGGCACTTCTCGCAAAGCAGACGAGGGAAATATCAACACCGTACGCGAGTCGGAAGCCTTGGGATTCCCAAGTAAAGACGAACAATCTGAGCCACCCATCTCGGGAACAATAGAGAGGCATGCAGTGGCATATGGCGTCGGTGGCTCCTCCAGGCCGACAAGGCGTCAAAGAGCCGTTGTGAGTTATGCAGAGCCTAATCTGCGGGACAAGATGCGTCGGCCTACAAATGAGCTAGTAGCGGCAGTTGGCGATCAAACAAGGAGAACCTCTGGCACAGCGAACATCTCGGCAAGCACGAAAGAGGATGAGGATACATGTGGGCGACGCAAGTCGGATGCAATGAAGTCACAGGTTACGGGCGTTGGGAGTAAGAGTTCGCCTTCACTTCCATTGAATTTTGCTACAGAATCCCCATCCCAAAGTATGAAAATGGTGTCCCACAGGAAACGCAAGGCCTCTCTGGCAAGCAACTATGACCATGCAGTGGCTCGTCAGGCAGCGGATGCAAGTGGTGAGCACCCCGATGATTCGTTGACCGGAGTCGATCAGCAGCCGGAAGCTCAAAATATCGCCACGCCCCCAAAAGATCACTCGAATGAATACTTCGATACACGGGCAGCCACGAATAGTACGACGAAGACAGTATTGGGTGCATGCCAACTACAACAAAGCACACCTCGACAACCCAAACGGCGCTCATCGAGCCTGAAGCCCTCCGAACAAGCCATGAACAAACCGGGCGAGGGAGTCTATGCGGACAGGATATGTGCAGATATAACACCAACTCGTTCAAGGATATCGCCTCCAACTCCCCACGAGCTCCTTGGGCAACCAGGTCAAGATGGGCGTGCTTCAACAGAAATCGGCCGGGTTCCTTCAGCCACATCCGTGCCAACAGACCCAAGGCAAATTGGGCGATCTTTGCGCGCCGCTGCTAGGAGAAAGAGTATGATGTTGTAAACACTTCGGTGGTGCGATGGAAACAATGCTTTGTATATAATACCACAATTAGACTGGTTTGCATATCACATGATAATCTCTTGAGCCGTAGGAAGGAGAAACTGTCGCAATGCCGAGCCGGACTTCCAACAATGATAGACAGAGATGTAGCAGAAGCTCCGAAACAAACGACCCCACAGAGGGCAAGTAACCCACCTTAGAAGCACACCCTCACCCAGGAAGCTTGTAGAAAAGTGACCGGGTTGTGGCAGTGAATCCCGTCCACAGCAGTCCACAGGAGATTAGGTTACACTTCGCCCGAATGAACTCGAGCTGACAAGTCGGAGGTATATGCCTAGAACTGTCCAGGTATCGGAATTATCTTCAAAAGTCTCTTATCGTTGCAAGATACCTTAGTGATGAAGAAGACCTATTCAGCGGTCTCTTCTTGTTTTGGGCATCTTCTCATAGGCATTGGGACTTGGCTTCCTTTGCCTCGTCTTTCTAGCACTGAATATCCGGTCTGATGACGCATGCTGATGACTACTGTGACCACAACCACCGTGATGACGAGACCGCCGCTCGCTGTTACAGCGAGTCTCATTTTCGGCGTCGGAGTCGGAATCGGATGCACTGGAATCAGACGATTCGGATTCTGAGCTACTTTCGCCGATAGGCCGAACCTTATGATAAATGCAGCAGACTGTACCGAGTGAGTAATTTATCTAAGAGGACATAAATTTCAAAATGGATGTGAGCTGGTTCACCTTTAGAGCTTTTCTTTCCCATTCCTTCGTTATCTATAACATCATCACTCCACTGTATGTGTCGAGATGATGTCTGGTTCGTAGTTCCCTCAATAGGCACGGGCTGATCTTCTGTGTTCTCTGCACGTAGTCTCAACGTTGCTGAGATTCGAGTTGTTGAAGGGCCTTCATGATGAGTTTCTGCGAGTGATTCAATCCGAGAACCACTGGCTGAAGTGGAAACTGTTTGGCGGGCTTGAGACATCTCAGCGAGCCAAGAGCCTTCGGCATAGAATGGAGTGACAATTATCTTGGAACAGACTGAGGTATCCTCGCGCAATCAGACTAGTGAAGTAGAACGATTTATCTGTTACTATTTCCAACAGACGCCGCTCATACCGCCTTTAGTCTTCACCAAGCTGAGTAAGCACCAAAAACGTTGTCGCGAAACACAATCGCCAGACACATCATAAGATTCTGTCCCTAAAAGTTCGAGAGTACATGCAGTTTCTACACGATTAGCTAAGTGATAATTTAAAAGAAATCTTCTTTCTCCAAGCCAGTAACAAGAAATGATATTTATCTGGGCCCCCGCTGGAACGGAACAACTGTGTACAAGAATTAATAAATGGCGGGTGTCAATCAGATCGAGGGAGCCTCCATTTGATTTAGGGTTGCTTTGCCGTAAACCATAGAGAGACGAACGTAGGCACATGTGGGAAGATGACGTTGGTCCCAAGTGAGATGTTCGCGGACATGGGGTTCTGAATAGTATCAGAACCCATAATACGACCAGCCATCATACAAGTCATCGCATGCCAAGGCATCGGAGTTTCTCTCCGCATCCGAAGACCCAGAGAACTCCGCGCGTAGTTCCCTTTCCAGTCAGATTTCTTCATCCTCATCCATTTCCGACGGCTTCAACAGCCCTCCTACTTTCAATGCACGGTCCCGTTCAGCGGCCTTGGCGTCTCGCGCTGCCTGTTCCCTTTCATCGGCATACAGCTCGGCATCGTCACCCGAGTATTCTTTCAAGGAAATCAAGAAATCCCGTAAATGAGTCTTGAACTTATTGAAGTCATCGTTGTAAGTGAATAGGCCAGCGACAAATTGTCTGGCTGAGATTCTGATCCAGGAGTCAGCATCGATATCCGAAAGACAGATGTATCAAGAAAAACGTACTCTTTAAGATTCTTGAATGCGCCTATCAAAACATCCGCCAGATATTTCTGCAAGAAATCTTTGTTGGTAGTCCCCAAGGGCGCTTTGTCAGCAGTATAAATAGGCTGTTGCACTTTGCCGGACTCGATCAAGTAGAACATGCGCGACAAAAGCATTGCCTGAGACTTGAAGCCTGCAGCATATAATGTTAGTATGGTCTTGTAGCAAGCAGGACATTGACAACATACCGGCCTTGTGATCACTATCACAAAGTACAAAGAACACATCCCCCAAAATCTGGAGGAAGAACTGATGGAAGAAGACATTCGATGTTTGAGGGTCCGTTTCCGCCATATTGTTGATAAGTTCGAGGCACATTGTAAGGCCGGTGGTCTCAACTTCACGATTGTCATGTTTACTTGCCCACATGCAGGAATCAATCACAATCTTGAACTGCGCAGGTTGAAGCTTGAGCAGGGCTGGAAAGCAATATAGGTTAATTGCTTGCAGCAATTTGAAAAACTGCACTCGATGCTCCGGATATTCATGGTAGTCTTTGTTGATCATTTCCAGTGTGCACTCGAAGACACTTTCCATAATCAGAGGAACCTTATCCTCCATCAGGTTCTAATAAGGTGGTTAGCGCGCTGGAGACAAAAGCACCCATTAGTGGTGAGAAGGCCTGAACATACGTGCAACTTATGAATGATCGTAGTCATGACGTTCAAAACTTCGGCCTCACGTGCATCAGGGACATTATGATTGTAGTCCACAAGAACAGCCTCAAGTAATGGTGGTACCATGCTAACATTCACCATTTCTAAATCGTCGGCCTTTTGCACGTAGGTGTCTATGAGCTTCAAGATTTCTTTCTTGATGGTTCTGAGCCCTCTGACTTTGGGCGTCTTGGTTGCGATTTCACCTGAGAAGTGGGTCAGATGTATGCGCCGAAGGGACAAATAAGACAAAGATAGAAGACGGGCAAGAAGAAGCCAAGACGAGAAGGGAGTGGATGGGGTTTTAGGTCATTACCATCTTGTGCAACAGCATTGTTGATGAGCTGGCTGGAAGCCCGGAACATGTTCAACATGTCATGGTAGATACGCCCGAGTTGAGAATAGAAATAGGTTCCGATCGAAGAGCAAGCAGCCACGTTTGTTTTCATAATATTCCCAACGATCTTTATTGTCTCGCCATCTTCCAAGACTTGAGGGTTCTGAGTGGCCTGTCCGATGATAGTGTCCCAGGCGGCGTTGGGCAACGACATGAGGTTCTCAATCAATCGATCCTGTAGCCCTTTTTGGCCTTGAGCGGAAATCATATAACCACAAGCCTCATAAAAAGTATGAACCTGCTGGGGTGAGAGATCGCAGGTGATTTTCCTCATATTGCGGACTATCTCTTCGATGAATGGTTCGTTCTCGCCTGGCTGGAGCGCAACGAAGTGTCGGCGGCATTTGTTGGCAATTTTGATGAAAGTATCGCAAGCCATATCCTGGACACCTGCACACAGTTTAGGAGAATAGCTTTAGCTGTATGGATCGACGAACTTACCTTCGTGCGTTTCATGCATGAACTCAAACAATTTGTTGACCACCGTCTTCAAGAACTTCCAGTGCGCTTTCAGAAACCTTGGATATTGTCCCACAATGTACATGATGTTACTAGCAACGACGGCTTTGTTATCTTTGCCACGCTTCATTTCGGTCAGACCCAGTAAATCCTTGATGACGTTAACCAGGAATCTCTTTTCGGTCTCTTCGTTCATGGCCCCGGAAATAGAGCCAATTGCCCAGCAAAGGGTATTGCAATTGACCCAGGACCACTCGGACCCGTCGACCTGTTTGGCCAGCTTCTCGATCATGATGTTTTCTGTATCAATAACGTCCAAATGAGTGAGATACACCAGGCATTCGCGTATCGTCTTGTAGAGCTGGATCGTGTCGCTCTCCTTGACAAATTCGCGAACAATCTCGCCCTCATCATTCTCCACGATAAGGACTTCTTCAGGCCGAACCATTTTCTCAATCATGACGGTACGTAGACTGGATAGGACCTCGTCGTATTTGTGTTTACGAAGAGCAGGGTAGTTAGCCAGGGTACTTGGATGCGGCGCGCCTCCATTTGACAACCCACTTACACCCATGCTCACTAATGGGTTGATGTCAGTAATCGGGAGCTGTTGCATCTCTTCGTAAAGTTCTTGCACCAGCTTTGTCCAATATTCCAAACAGATTTTGAACACCTCCCTGTCATCAATCTGACTGATACGGATCAGGTAGAAATGGGCGTGGGTAAGGTAGTCATGGTTTGGAAGCTTCTCGATAAGCTAAACATGGCATAGACATCAACGACTGAGCGAGGTATAAATCCAGGTGGTGAGAACTTACATTGAGATGAGCGCTGAAGAAGCTGCAAAGGAAAAGAGCTAGATTGAGCACGAACTCCTGGTCTCGGGAATTGCTTTTGGAATATGTTTGCTTCAGGTCCATCGACAAAGGGATGATTCTGGAGACAACCGTTAAGGTCTCTGTGAACATGTGAACCAACCTATCATCGTAATTATAGGGGTTACCAATCTGCAGCCCACCAATTTCAGTGAGACACTTGAGAGTTACGTTGCGGAACTCTGGAACATCCAGGAAGCGCTCCAGAAGGGTGTTGATAATAGAAGTCTCGAAAATGTATCCGAGCGGAATCCAGTTCAAGAACCGAAGGAGGGTCTCCAGTGTAGCCTTTATCAAGCTCGGTTGATTCGCGGTACTCAATACCTGTGAACACAACTGGAAGATGGAGGAGAATTCGTGGGTCATTGAGGTCTTCAGATTCCGCGCTTTCACGGAAGTCATTTGGTCCTGCGAGAAATCGAAAACTTCTTCGGACAATAGGCGAAGTATAGCCATGTTATTTTCGCAAATTGAGAGACCTGTATGGCACGATGTAATGATATCATTTATGAATGTAGGCCAATTGTGTGGCCATTCTTGCTTCAGGATTGAAACCAGCACCAAGTTAAGCTTATTCAACAAGGCGCGTTCGCTCCTCAGCTTTTCCTCAGACTCGGAGCTGTTGAGGATAAATTGGACGACAAAATTTCGAATGCCTGAGAAAGTCAGATAATCCCCTGCGCAACTCCTAGGATATAATTTACCTAAGCACTGGTCCCTGGGTAAAATCTTCCATCTTGTCATGATCACATCGTCGAGGACTTGAAGAGCCAGGTCTGAGAAGGATCAGTACCCTGCCAAATCTGGTAAATATCCTGTTCAATCACGTACATTTGGTTTGTGGATATGAAGATTCCTGAAGAATATTCGCTGCAAGCATCCAGGCGTCTTCATTTGCTTTGAACTGGGCATCAAGCACAAATCAGAGAAGCGTTCTTTATCCAATCCCACTACGAAAGTAGTTCACTCACTTCTGTCAAAGTCTGCTGGGCTTGTTTTTGCTGTGTGCAGCCGAATTGGCAAAGATTAGTACCTAGGTCCCTCTGGAAACTTGAAAAGTATGAGGTGATAACTTACCAGATCGCCCTTGCCTTCATAGAAGGCCCGGACGGTGTTGTCCAGTTCCTGTATGGAAACAGACATCCCGCTCGAAAATTTGACGTTGCTGTACGTTGAACACCTCGGCCTTCAAGGGTTTGGGGAACGGTAGCGGCCGAGCCGAAAGATAGCCAGGCAAGAGCGTAGGTTTCGAAGATGTTCGACAGGTTGGCAAAATGCTTGGCGGGGTAGGAGGTTTCCTTGGAGGGGTTCGACGGAGGTAAAGAGAGAGCTTGGAGCAACCTACTCAAGTACAATTTGAGGATGCACCATTCACAAGGAAGTGAAAAGTGGGGTACAATAACTGCGAGGCAGAAGTAGCTTGAACTGAGGATCTGGCTTGAATTAAGGATACGATGTCTGAGGGTAGACTAAAATCAGCATGTCTGGCGGTGAGAACAGCGCCTTCCTCGGGCTGTTGGCAGTTCACTTTGTATCGGAACGGCGCGATGTATCTCCTGTTCCTGCTTACTAAGTATATCAGTTTACTCAGTTCAGATTAATTCTAAGATATATTACATCTCATTTCGCCGCCCATGATACTTACCGGGTGCTCTTACTGTACCTATAAACAAGCTTTGCCATAGACATTACTTACTATGCAGAAGAGCTCCAAGAATTTTGGTTGTGTCCGTCAATTAAGCAACGCTCACATTCGAGAATGTTCATGGATTATAACGAAGTGCAAGACTTGTACTCATCATTACTAGCATGGCCATGTACCTGCTCAAGTGATTGTGTCACTGAGTAATATCTGCTTTCCCTGGAAGACATGTTTGATCAAGATATGTAGCGCAACGCACATAGCGATATGGGTATACCGGTGACAACTTTGAAGTTATCAGGAAGTTTCAAAGCGGTGGGATCACGATCACCGAAGGACGGGAGCAGTCGGGTGCAATTGTTGATACAAGCTATATGGCTAAGTCTTCTGTGGGAGGCTATAACTAATCTATAATCGTCCTCGTCTTCTCTGAGTGAGAGGAGATGTGACAGTGCTGTCACTGCGTATTTACGGGTGTGACTTGGTCCGTAAATAGATCCGGGAGCAGCAAGCAGGTTGGAAAGTGTACTACCTATGTTTGTAATGTACCACATACTAACCGCATTCACCGTCTGCCTGGCGCGGCGGCCGGGTGTCTAGCGAGTAAGTGGCTAAATCTAAAGGGGGTGCCAGTAAGCTTTAGCTATGTACACCGTAGACTCAGCGGTGGGAAACCCAGCCCTGAGCTGAGACGGAGCCTGGAGGAGCCCTGTCTCCAAGTTGTTACCTCGATTGTCAACCTGCAGGAGCGCCGGCCGCTTCTGACCCATGACTGGACGGTAGCTACCTCTTGCGCCGGCGCTTCCCTCGCGCGGCAGCCAGTCATGATTCGAGGTTCAAAGGCCCCCTCCGACAGTGGCGTATTGCCTGAGCGCGCCAGTGCTATGCATCTGCACCAAGTTGCGCCCATGATTTTGAAAATACAATGCTACTCGGGTTTACGCTTTCCACCTGGGGAATGGACAAAGACCAACCAAGCTTGATCATGTCGTGAAGCGGGGATAATAGGTAATTACTAAGTCAGTCAGTTGAACCTTGCCAAGTGAACTTCTTGGAAGCTGTCAGCTCGGTATAGTCTTGAGGTACCAGTTAGACAGTGATTGCCAATTGCTCCGCGCCGCCCATGGCCGATCGCGCGCCAACCCTCCTCTCCCATCAGCCAGCTGGCACGCGCATTCATTTACTTCTCTAAGAGCACTGATGGATACTCTGTGGTATACAGAGGTAGGTACCGATGACCATGAATAGTTCTACTACTACTAGACCACAATCACCACAAACCCTCCTTTTAAACTACAGAGCTCACGGTAGACTTGAGCCCATTTACCTCTTTCCCCCTCCCTCCCTCCCTCCCTCCTCCCTAGTTTCCCGGTAATTAATTCTTTTCCCCTCACCCTTCCCCATAATTTGTTCGTTCCTCTCTGTCCTCATCAGGCCAGCCTTGGAGTTGAGATTTCCTATTCTGAGTTCCGCTATCTTCCCTTCCTTTCTGCGATTTACATTGGCAATTTCGACAGCTGTCGACGATTACAGTGCTATTGGTTCCTGCATGAGATGACTTGCTTTATTATTCTCCATCATCAGGCGGCAAAGAATTTTATACTAATGCGACTGGCTCGACATCTTACTCGCTGATTTATGATTACAGTCGCTTACTTCCACCTTCATCCATCCACCACTTACCCTACCCGACAGACTACATACCTTCCTTCCCTTCCCACCTGATTTGACGTTCCCCCTTCTCTCTTCTCTTTCCGTCCCTTGGTTGAAAGTTGCCATCTCTCAATCTTTTAGGCCATTTAATACGCCGTTCTTCAGTTGAGGATAAAACAATCTCATCCTGTTACACACCCGACTTGGTTAATGTCAACATAGATCACGACCGCCTTTGAAGTCCAGTCGATGATCCTCATAGCCCATCATCATAGAAAACCGGCACGAGCACTGCTTTCCGTACGCTTCCACGCTTGGCTCGGACTCGATATCGAGTCTTCATCCGTTCTAATACACTTGTACTTCACACCTATACGGATTCGACGGTGCTTTTCCTAAGCCGCAGGGCAAACGCCTCCATATTCATACATCATACCTGTGGATCGTCGGCCACACTGACCTCATCGATATCCGAGTATCAGTCACGGTCTATGGATACCTCGCAAGGCAAGAGGGCTTCGGAGTCACGCGATTCAGTTTAACTTACATCAGCGATCTAATAATCCGTGGATCAATCGTTGTCGCAATTGGGTGATATTTTGCTTGTCTGCTCACTCTGGGTGATCATGACCCCCAGTAAGTGATTAGTAGGATCCACGACAAATCAATGACTGGGCGTCTGTCTGGCGGTTATCCTCTCTGATCGGCGACGTGCAACCGCTTAACCATCGGGTCATATCCATCACATAACCTTGATACACCCAGGATTTCCTGGAAAGGATTGGTCCAGGTGAACTAAAATTTAGCCATGGCTACCGTTGCATCTGCGTCAGTGGTGCATGACAATGAGGCCGAGAAGGAGGCCAAGGCAGGGAGCAGCCCTTCTCGCTTCACAGCAGTCAATGGACGAGAATCTCTGGCCAGTGGAGCAGCCACACCCACCTCAAGCACAAGCAGGCTATCTGCGCGTGACAATCCGGCTGTTGAAAGTACCGCCTCTGACCGGACTTCGAAAAATCGCGGCGATGCTCCGTCGCGATACGATGGGTCTACGAGAGACGTTGATTATGCAGAGCTAGGGAACATTGAAGGAGACCAGGAGGACCAAGAATCACGGCATTCGCTATCTTCCCCGGAGCCCCTCAGCAGAAACAAGCGCAAGAGATCGGAATCTAGAGAGCAGGAACAAGCGAATGGTACCTCTCATAAGGCACCTAGAAGTCCAGATCCACGCCTGGACGATAGCGTTGGATCAAGCATGCAGCCATCCCCAGAAAATGGTGTTGTCATATCTCAGGGAGAATCCGATATTAAGCCAATATCTACTCATTCTCGACCGGATGAAAACGGTGAACTTCGTACGACGTCAGCAAATTCAGCATGGCATGAGATTGATTCCCAGTTGGTGAAACAGGCACAGCGTGCGCAGCATCTCGACGCTACGGATGCTCAGCTTGCTGAAGCACTCCAACGAGAGGCAAATGATCTTGACATGTCGCCAAAAGGTTGGAGCACAAACAGTCGTCCACCCGAGAGTTCTGTGCAGAATGAGCAGTCTGTATTAATGCCTAGTCTTTCACAAGAGCGGCCACATACTGCTGTCCAAGTTGCACCTAAACGAAAGCGTGTTTTCAGCAATCGAACCAAAACCGGATGCATGACCTGTCGCAGAAGGAAGAAGAAATGCGACGAGCAGCACCCTGCTTGTGAGTCTGCACGCTGTTCTAGTCTGAGTCATATCGGTTTCACTTGTCTTAAATCTAACACAATGTAGGTAACAATTGCATCAGGGGAGGATTTCTCTGCGAAGGCTATTCGTCTCGGAGCACTTGGCAAAAGCCTTCAACCTCGAAGCCACCTGTCCCTCTGCAATCAAAAGATGGCTACACTGAATTAAATAGTCAATACCTGCATGATATCGGCCAACCACATGAAAGGGCCCAACATCTGACGGAGCATATAGAGGCAAGCAAGATGAGGCCGATTGTAGTTGAGGAAGCCGACCGTCCTACTTCCCAGTTCAGCACCAGCCCAACAGGCGTTAGTTCTAATCGTGGGTGGACCAAGCGAGCATGGGGAACTAGCAACCATCCGACATATATATCCGATCATTTAGCGAAATCGGACTACCGCGAAGTTCCATCGATTCATGAGCTATCTCGAGAAGGTCATCCAAAGTCAGATTATGCCATTGTGCCTCCGATCAGAGACCTTCCTCACGGAGCTCACTCAAAATCAAGCGCCCTGTTTCAAGGTGGGATCGATCAACGATCAGCACACACCAGCAATCCAGACACCAGCAGCCCGCAAGCTCAGGCACGGATGGCTCTAAGCATTGAACATCAACTATCTGCACGCACCATACCCGGAGAGGAAACAGAGAAAGAAAAAATGGTACGTGGCGAGCTGTACAGGCCCTATGATGTTCACCTTGTAGAAGAAAGGGATCGTTGTAAGGCTGCATTATGGAGATTCAACAATGCGTGCAATCCGGTATCGGGGCTTAGCACTAAGGAACAAATACGCCTGCTGAAGGAGGTTCTTACTCCTACAATCTTGGCCTCTACCTCCAATTCTCCAGCAGGTACCCCCGCGTCTCGTTCTTCAGGCACGATCGGCCAAGGAGCGATCGTTGAGGCCCCTTTTCACTGCCATTATGGTTACAATGTGCACATAGGTGAAGACGTCATGATCTCTGAGGGCTGCCTATTTGTCGATGACTGCCCTATCACCATTGGAGCGCATACGTGGATCGGCCCTCGCGTCACTATACTCAGCTCAATGGCTCATGCAAATATGCAGGAGCGCAAAGGCTCGCAGAGCCGCTACCAAGGGCGCTCCGTCGCCATTGAAGAAGATTGTTATGTTGGTGCCGGTTGTACGATCTATCCTGGTGTGCGTCTTCGCCGTGGTGCATACGTTGCTCCAGGGGAGGTGGTGAAATCCGATATAGTAGCCTACGGCTTTCAGGGTTTAAAGCCGGGTTATATGTGATGTCCTTGAAGCAGGTGGCATGGTGCATAAATATTCCATTTCACCAGAACACTACATCACAGGAATGTGTAAGCTACAACTTATGAGTCTTGTTCGGATCATCCCGCTATTCAAGGACGATTGTAGAGTGTACATTGTATATGTATATCTTCATATTTACATATATACATCAATGTTAGAGACCAATCTTGCATCAAAGCTCATTGCTGCTCCTCAACAAAATTTCACCAATATATCCGACACCTGTGTCATAGCTACCAAATGACTAATGTTAAGCACGGACAGTTCTCCCTATTGGTCTGAGTGCTCCATCGCTGGGAGGCAAAGCTGAGATTTCTGCTATTGCACATCCATGAGGGCACAAGCACCTTACAAATGCACATTGGAGAGGCAATATAATAGATAGTAGTTTCCCTGTATATGCGATACAGCGGCCCGAAAAGATCATAGCCAGTCTAAGAACTCAGGGACAAAGTAGCTCACCACGATCCCTGCACCAGCTCTCAAAATGCCTTCTGTGCTCTCGAATGCCATAGATTTCAGATCGAAGACACCTGCCTTTGCCCCTGCATGTATCATGGCATATTCACCACTGACTTGATATGCCGCTATTGGCATGTCCTTCGCAAGTTCTTTTGCATCCCTGATGATGTCCAAGTAACTACTTGCAGGCTTCACCATGATGATATCAGCGCCCTCGCTGATATCCCTCTGTATCGCGCGCCGAGCGAGTCCTCTACCTCCAGGGGGAAGTTGATAACACCTACGATCACCAAATGAGGGGCAAGAGCCTGCTGCATCTCGAAAAGGCCCATACAAGCATCCACTGAACTTTGCACTGTAAGACATAAGGAGGACCCGATGAGCCATACCGGCCTCGATCAATTTAAGTTTGATGGCGCGTACCCGCCCATCATTCATGTCCGATGGAGCAACGCAGTGAGCACCAGCCGCAGCGTAGGCCAAAGCAACGTCAGAGATTCGATCAACAGACTGTGCATTATCTAATGTACCGTCTTCGCGGAGAATCCCACAGTGACCGTGGGAGGTATACTCGCAGAGACAGACATCAGTGACGATGTAAAGCTGGGGAAACCGCGATCGAAGAAGGCGAATAGCCTGGACTACTGGCCCATTGGGGTCGTCCGCAGCAGTTCCTAAGGCGTCCTTAGCGGATGGGTGTAGTGGAACGCCAAACAGAATCACGGAGCGCAATCCTTTGTGGACAAGAGGCCTCAGGAACGGCACTAAGCGATTCACTCCCCGACGACACTGATTGGGTAGTGATGGGATAGGTGTCTCTTCATCCGGATTGTCGGTAATGAAAAGCGGATATATGAGCATTTCCTGTGGCGTGTTAGGAAATAATGCCTAATTCCTTACTGAAATACCCACCTTGGTCAATTGCTTTTCCGCTTGCCATGACCTGCTCAAAGGATGGCTGTAACCAGAATGGAGCTGACTAGAAATATCCCCTGATATGCTGACGCTGGTTGCGGCTGTACTGGTGTAAGAACGAGCAGTGGCTTGGGATCGGGCGTGGGATATTTGAGAACTCCGGTCGTCCTGGACATCACGGAAGGCAAGATCGGACACGAGATTTGAAAAAGACATGGCTCAAATAATGATCTGGACCCTTTTGTGAGACTATTACCTCGCGTCGTTGTTGTGTAAGTCGGAGTGGAATACCCAAGCAACCGAAGATAATCCCTATGCTGATAAACACACTACAATTTAGTTACAGGTATTGTTGAACTTCTTGTGAACTCCCAAGGTTTGGGGGGTGACATGTGACCTCTTAGTCAGTATTATGACATAGCAACTGATATGATTCGCCTGTCAATTAATACAGGCACCAGGCTGTAGCTTAGTATAATCACCTCAGAGAAGTGACGAGCCGGCTTGGCAGCCAGGCTCTCACCACGAAAAAGTTGATATACGCGAATTTATCTTAGATCCATAAAACTTTGATTAAATTACTTGATTTAAGGTTTATTTTAACTGTAAGTTATTGATCTATCAAATTTTTAGTATTTTATATGGCTATTATAGATAGTAATATAAATGAAATATCTTTTCTATTCAGAGTCAATAAATCTTTATAATAAATATTTAATTATTTTGATTATGATTTTATTATAGAATCTCTGTTGATAACAGCTAATTACTGCTGCCTGTTATTATCTTCTAGTATAATACTAGACAGCTGATAATCTATTTATTTATTTACTTAATCTTCTTTACTTTATTAATTTATTAATCTTTATAATTATTTATTTATTTTTATATATATTTATACAGTAGATAAATTCTTATTTTTATATTAATAATATATCTTTTATTAATCCTAGGACTCCTGGGACTTTTATTTAATAGAATATATAAATATTCTTATACTAGAATAACTATATATAATTAAAAATTAGTTTTTTTATTCTAAACTTTTTATTTCTATAACTACTATAACTAATTAAAAAATATTAAATCATATTATTGATTTATTATATTCTATAGTATATCTTATTTATTACTTATTAGAAATCTGATAAGAATAGAATATAAAAAATAATTTATATATTTAAAATAAATACTTTTTTAGTATTACAAGTTAAGTTAAAATGATTGATATCTATTAAACTTATTATTATTATTATTTTATTATTTATACTTATAACTCTTAGATTAATTATTCTTAGATAGAAAATTTTAAGAAGATTTATAATCTTAGACTTAGTATTTCTAAGATTTCTTAATTTAGATATCATAAAGGGTTTTACTTTATTAATATTATTAATAATTCTATTTTTCTTTTTTAACTTATCTATTTACTAACTATTATTATATAAATATAGTATTATTTAGATTTTCTATAGAATTTTTTTTATAAAATATTATTCAATCTCACTAAGTAAACAGCATTAACTTTATTTAAAATTTAAGAAAAAATATATTTATGAAATTTATAGGAAATTTATCAATATTAGTTTATTTATATACAGGCTTTTTAAGTTGGAGAACAAATAAATATACTAGTTAAGTATTATTCTATATAAATATATTTATAAATTATAGTAAATTATTTGTTTATTATAGTATTATATAATATTTTTTATATATGAATATATCAATATTCTTATACTATATATAATTTCATCACTATTTATTATAGAATTTATTTCTTATATATTTAATAAAAATACCTGATTTCTTCTAGTCTTAATTTATTTGAATTATAGAATTCAGAGTTATATCATATTTAGCTATAAAAATAACTATATAAATATATATTGAGTATTTTTTACTAGTATAAAATTAATAAAATATTTATTTATTTATTTAATAACTTTTTTTAATCTGAGTATTTTGGTAAATTAAGAATTTTGGTTTTTCAATATTCAAATATTGATTATTATTAAGATAATTATAAATATAAAAAGTAATAAATTTTCGAAATTGAAATTAAGTACTAATATATATATTTTGAGATATATTTTATATTTTAGATATATCTAGTATTAATTTAAGTTAATATAATTATAGTTAATTTAGATATTATTTTTTTATTTTTAATATAATTAAAATGTTCTACTAATAACTAATTTATCTAGATAATTAGGAATTTGCTAATACTATTATCTACTAAAATTGATAATTTTTTAAAATCCATTTTATAAATTATTTAAATTTTATTTTCTATACTTAATATTAGATTAAAGATTTTTTCAAGCTATATCATATCTTTTTGAATATATACAAAGAATTTCACTCTTTTCTGAAGATTTTGAAAAGTATATCAAATAGTTAAGAGTATTTTATAATAAATATAAAAAGCTTTGTGTCAGAGCAAGAGTCTGTCTACAGTACAAATATACGTAGGAATAAATAGATAAATCATGAGAATTAATAAATTAATAAAGTAAGAAAGATCTAAGGAAGATTAAAGGAATAAGTAGATAGAATATTAGCTGCTTAATATTATACCTAAAGACAGTAATAGATAGTAGTATTAATTATTATTAATAATATTATAATCAAACTAATCAGTAACCTTATTAATTTTATTAAGTATAAAATAAATAAATAAACAGATAAATATATTTATAAATAAATTTTTAATAGAAACTATAAAAAAAATAAGATATATATAAATTAAAATATAGGAAATTAAAGAGGTAAAAAGAAAGAAAATATCTAAATAAATAAATAAAAACTATAAATTAACTTAAGAAGTAGATTTATCTATTTAATAAACTAATAAATACAGGTCTCTATACTATTAATATATATAAATATATTAATATATTTAAAAAAGTAGTTATAATTAATATATTTAATTTAATATTTATACTAGTAATTACAGTAATTATAGTAGAATAATAAATAATAATAAAAAAAGATTAAATAATAATTATAATAAAAGCTGTAATAAATATAATTATAATTATAATTATATTTATATTTATACTTATATAGATATTTAGTTATATATTCTGGAGTATAGGGATTAAGAATATAATAAAAATATATTAATTAGAATTAAGAAAGTTAGATAAGCTAAGAAATAGTAAAAATAGAAGAAGTAGTAGAGATTATAAAATTAAATAATTACTAACTAAGCTAGTTATCCTATTATTAGAATTATTAAATAAAAGATATATTTTCTTCTGTCTACTTATTAGCTTAATTATTTATATATTTATATAAAAAAATTAAAGAGATCTGAGCTGAGTAAGACTTATAAAGAAACTTAGAAAAAAGTAGAATACTTAATTAATATTAAGAAAGTAAAAGATAAAGAGTAAAGTTAAGAAGCTTTAATATAATTTAATAAAAAAAATATATTATAAAAGTTTATATATATAAAAAAGAGAATCTAGATATTTAAATAATTTATAAATTAATTAAAAATAAAAGAATTAAGTAATAGATATATTATTATTACAGTAGTTAATAGCTAAGGCAAGAAATATAATATAAGAAGATTAATTTCTGGAAGAAATCTCAGAAATAGTTAAAACTTAGAGATCTAAGAAATCTTCTACTAAGATAATATAAAAAATAGTAAGAAGATAAAATAATAAAATTCTTAAATAAAATAAGATTTATTATATATACTAGTTTAATAAGCTTAATATTCTTATAAAATAATTTATATATATATAAATAATAAGTAGAATAAAAGTATTAATAAATATATAAAATAATTTATAATTTATAAAATAAAAAAAAATATAGATATAAAAAAATAATATATTATAATTAAAATAATTAATATTTTTTAAATTTATAGATTAAATTATCTACTAGAGTGGCTTAACCTGACTGTTATACCTTAACCTTAACCTGACCTTAACCTGGCGGTCAGGTTAAGGTATAAAAATCAGATTAACCGCAGGTATAACAGTTAACCGCGGTTAACTGTTATACCTGAATCAGGCAGAATCAGGCATAATGAGGCAGAAATCAGGCAGAATCAGGCAAGATTCAGGTAGAAGTATTCTGCTGCCTTATACCGCCTTCTTAAATAGGCTTAGTTGCCAATAAATTTGACCCGCAGGTTAACTATTGGTTAACCTGGGTAGGAATATATATTTCTTATACCTGACCATTAACCTGCGGTCAGGTATAAAAATTTTGATTAACCTAACCTGACCTGGCTGTTAGCCACTCTATTATCTACTATAATATTCTTTTTATAAATTTAAATATTATTAATAAAATTATATCTAAACTAGTAAATAAAATATTTAATAATAAATTTTTTAATATATTTATATAAAATAATATACTTTTTTAAAATAATAGAAATTTTCTAATATTCTTTATTTAAAAATCTTTTATTAATAATATAAAAAAATTTAAATAATATATAATTATAAAGATTTATTTTTATAGAAATAGATTTTAATTATATAATAAAAATAATAAAATGAATGATCTATGACTCTAAAAAACTAAAATAATATATATAATATTTAATAACTTTAATAATAGAAAATAAGTTAATATATTATTATATTAACTTAATCTTAATATTCTTAATTATAAAAATAATATATTTTTTATATATATATAAATATACAGAATTATTAATATAAAAAATATAAATTTATATTTTATATTATATATTTTTTTATATAAATAATTATAAACTTAAGAATTTTCTTAATATTAAAATATAATAAAAATCTTAATTAATATTAATTTTAATAATAAGAGTTTTTTAGAAATATTTAAAATATTTTTTAATTTATTTAATAAAAATATTTTAATAATATAAAAAAATAATAATTTTAATTTTTAAATATTTTAAAATTATATCTTTAGAGTATTTAAATATATTAATATTTTTAAAAATATTAATAAATTTATTTTTAAATAATTAATAAATTTATTTTTAAATAATTAAATATAATTTAAAATATTTTTAATAAAATATTATAATTATTAAAGATTTATAATAAAAAATAATTAATAAAATAATTTATTTATAGTAATATTTAGAGTAGAATTAATTATTAAAATAATAAATAAAATAATAAATAAAATAATAAATAATTATAATTTTTATTAAATTATAATATAATATATTATTATTTCAATAATTTAAATTATATATTTTAATTAATGATTTATTTAAAAACATAAAATAATAAAATAAAATTAATAAAAATTAAAGTATAAAAAAAATCTTTTTTAAAAAAAAAATATAAAATAAATATTATAA